TCATCAATTTTTCATCAAATCTTTGAAAAATAGAAGCAATTTTGTGGAATGATTGGAAAATAGAAACACTAGAAAATAGAAACACTAGAAATACAGCAATCCAATTCGCGAGGATCATAGCCAAATGGTCAATGGCCAGGCCAAAAGCCAAGAATTTCTTTGGCTTTGGCTTTGCTTGGCCTAGAAAATTGTTTCTCGGAACAAATCTGTTCTCATGAGTTATTCTAGCTAGTGATCTGGATTGATTGATTTTCGAACCGGCTGGGAGTGTAGCCATAAGGAGTCGAGTCGGAGCTGGTTAGCTCACGGTGATCCAATCAAAAGAAAGCTATCCGATTCGCTCATTTTATAGTGCTAGCCTCTGATCTTTCCAGAATAAAGCGAAGCTAAGCTAGAACTAAGCAAAGCTTAAGAATGTTTAGACTGTAGCTATTGTTTTAGCATTTATTCATTTTTGAAACATTTCCTCTCGCCATTCCTTTCTGCTCATTTTCTTGATTTCTTTGAGATTTTTCTTGATTCAGCCCAGTGTACCCAAAGAAAATTCACCTGTTTTCGAGGGAAAATGGTTTCAAAAAGCATTTAGAGGTGATCACGTTGTTCAGGTGGAAATCTCGTTGAATTAATTGGATTCATGAAAGATTCTTGCAATTTTTTTGTGGATCTGACTATTGAGATTCGAAAAAATCTAGTATTGTAAAAGGTTTTTAAACCTTTTAAACCGTTCAAATCGTTTTTATGATCTTTGAATATAGAAATTTTAGCTCATTTTAGCATTTTAGCTCAAAAAATGGTGAATAATGAAATTTGAGATGGGTTTTCAAGAGAGTTTTTCTTTGCTTTAATTACCCAAGTCAATTTTGTCTCAATTTAAAGGCAAAGAACGTACTTTTGAGCATTTTGAGGGGGGTGGGATAAATCGGCCTTTTTTTTGCTGGAAAAGGCCTTAGGCAAGGCCGTAGAGCTTCGAAAATATGTCCATATAAGGGAATCGTATGCGTAGATTCCGAATTTCGACAAATCACACCTCGCTGATACGTCAAATTTGGGCTAAAAGGCAAAAACTACGCAACTTAACGCTTTTCCGCAGTTTTTGCCTCTTAGCCCAAATTTGACGTGTCAGCGAGATCTGATTTGTCGAAATTCGGAATCTACGCATACGATTCCCTTATATGGACATATTTTCGAAGCTCTACGGCCTTGCCTAAGGCCTTTTCCAGCAAAAAAAAAGTGCGCAAATGTCCAGGTACGCAAAAAAAGGTAGCATTTGTCCCACTCCCCATTTTGAGCCATTTTTGGCTAATCCCTTTTCTAAAAGACACCGATTTTAGAAAACTACTGTAAGCAGGGTCTAATTTTCCTCAGATCAGCTTCATTTTTTCATCATTCAATGAGGAATCACAAAGACTCAATGAGATTTGTGCAAATTACAAATCAAATTCGCAAACATCTCACCCTTTTGTTTTCCACTAATTCGATTTATTCTTCAATAAGTTCTGCACTAAAAAACTTACTTGATTTGTTTTGTTTACTTGATTTTTATAAAACTTTTAAAATTCGTATAGATCACGTTTTTCTGAACCTCTCTTCACTTATTGACTCATTTTTTTCTAAGCAAAATCGAGTCTCGTCAACGAACTCAATTAGGGATAAAATTGAAAGAAATTGACGAAAATTCGGTTTATTCTTTAATACGATAAAGTCTTGAAAATGAAAAGTTTGATCATTTTTTATTTAGAAATTTAGAAATTTAGCTATCACTTGTAGTTTTGTCCCACTGTGCGTGTGTGTCCCACTGTGTCCCACTGTGCGTGTGTGTCTCGTAGGAAAAAGTAGCGTCTGGCACACAGCCTCTACGGATACCGCGACAGAGACCCGATATTTGGTTTCTTTTTTTTTTTGGGTCCCCCCTATTTTTTTCCCCTTCCAGACGACCCCATATTAGGCCCACTATTAGAGAATTAAAATTTTGAATATTTTCCCCGTTTGAAATTCATATTTTTTCTTTATTCTTTCTTCATGAGGACCCTTTTTCCCTCCAACCCGGGGCCATGGGAATACGGTAATTACCCAAGTTTGAGTTTAGCGTTGTCCCGAGACCTTTTCAGGAGTGTCTCGTTATATTTTGGGATGCATGCTATTGAGGAATGCATTTTTTGGATAAGGATAAGATTTTTGGATAAGGATTTTTGTAGAGAAAAGCTTCGTTTTTGTTTTAAAAGTCTACTCTCCCAAAGTTGGCTAATCTTTGTGAATAACTCCTGTGCCAATTGAACGATTCGATGATATTAGTCTAAAGCTTATTGTTAGCTCTTTAAACTCCGGCATTAACACAGCAAATAATGCTCTAATCGGTCCTTAGGCTTGTAAGCCGGGTAAGACAAGAGTTGAGTCAGAACCCAAGTCCAGGTCGAGGCTCTGGTTCGGTCGAAGATGAAGCAAGCCTGCTTACTTTAAATTGACATTCGACTGACGTTGTTAAACGTTGTTTCGGAATGGACTCGAAGAACTGAATGAGAAATGGGGGTGGGGATGTTCGAACAGTTTCTTTACTATAGTATCTAGATATTTAGATGTCTATATTAGATATCTAGATATTTAGATTAGATATTTAAAAACTCAATTTTCCAAGGGTTCACTCCTTAAACGTTGTTTCCGAATCGACTTGAAGAACTGAATGAGAAATGAATGAGAAATGGGGGTGGAGATGGTCGAACAGAAAACCCGTGATCCTCTAGAAAAAGAAATCATTCACGAATAAATTTCTCTTTTCTTTTCTTTTTTTCACTCAATTTCTAATTAAGTGAATAAGTAATTCTTTTTTTTTTGTTTAAATCTTTTCCTTTTCCCATTCTGACACTTTGAACCAATTGGAGACATTTCCAGAAAATCACGCGCTTTTTCTAAAGAAGTTTTTTCTCCTTTTTCTAAAGAAGTTTTCTTTACTACAGTATCTAGATATTTAGATATTTTTATTAGATATTAGATATCTAGATATTTAAAAGTTCTTACAAAATTTATTTATAATTAAACAAATTTATAAAAAAATTTGATTTATTTATAAAATTTCGAAAAGATTGTAAAAACAAATTTCAATTAGCATAGAAAATTTTGTTTTTTTGCAGGTGCTATAAGTAGTTTTTTTTAGCCGCATTCAATCTGCTCAAATATCAATTTTTCTAACTCAATTTCTATAAATTCAACTAACGAAAACTACCATAATCTTTTCTCTAGCTTTATCCAGCAGAAATTTGTATTGATGTACTTTGTGCTACAATCGAAAATCAAATGATTCTTTGGATTCATCAAACGATTCTAACAGAATCCAAAGAATCATTTGATTTTGCTTGGCTCAAAGCAATTGTTTGATTTTCGATTCTGTTAGAATGGTTAGATGATTGTTAGAATGTTAGAATTCTGTTAGAATGTTAGATGGTTGTTCTGAAATGAATTCTTTGAGAGGAACACTTTGAGAGCAGTATTTATTAAAATTTACATACCTATAAATACTGTAATAGTACCCCACCCCCATAATGACAGTGCGGAGTGTTGCGTAGTCTAGCTTTGAACGCGTTTTTCTCGACACTGGTTTATGCTACAATGCGCGCTTAGGTATCAAAAAATAGCTGAAATTCAGGGCTATTTTTTGATACCAAAGACGCATTTTTAGAAAATTTGGGTGCTTTGCGAAAAATGAAATACTAAAAAACTTTTGCGACTACGCGACTGTACGAGGGGGATGGGGTGCTATTACAGTATTTACGGTAATATATATGCTTTATTCAGTTGAATAGCGACAAAACAAGATCACAATAGTTACCCGGAACACCACTCAAAACACACCCAAAAGATAAATAGATACCTCAAGAAAGAATCACGGAGCAGTCAAATCAATTGCCGAAATTGCGGCTTTAAATCTAGCCAAGGTGGAAATATCACGAACATGAGGGGGTAAAATGTTCCAGAATTTAATAACTCGATTAAAAAAGAAACTTTGGGGGCTTTTAGAGGAAACGGAAGGTTGGCGTATGAGAAAAGGCCCCCTTCTGGAGGCGCCCCGTAGAGAGCCGAATTCAAAGAGACCAGAAAAAAGAGGTAAATATTGTCTTTTTTTCCCCTTCGTTCACTGAGATTTAATTGAAATCTTCGATGATTCAATAAAACTTTTCTCTTTTTTTCTAGAGGATAAGCTAGATTTATCCATCGGGATGAAGAAAAGTTTAGAGAATTTTTTGGATTTCAATTTTGATGCCATGTGTTTCATTATTGAAATAGTTTTCCGTTTTATTAATATTCTAACATTTTGTGCCAAAAAACTGAAGAAATGAGTGCACTAGGTTTGATCAAAGCACTAGGATCAAAGCAATGGTTTGATTTTCGATTGTAGCACAAAGTACACAAATTTCTGTTTTGATTGTAGCACAAAAGTTCATCAATACAAATGAAACCTTTGAACTTGTCAAGAAAAGAATGAAACTAAGCCCTTTTTTTTTCAGAAACTAGACTCGAATTCACTCATTTCCCGAAAGTTTTCCCTCAACACGTGTCCATTGAGATCCTAAAAATAAGTCAAAGAAATTTTCAAATTTTCAAATGTTGAGGAAAAAAAGATGAGCAATTAGAAAGGGGAAGATCTCTATATTCTTTCCATTTTTGATAGAATCCCTTAGCGAAAAGTTCTAATTAAAATTTGAACTTAGCCTCGATATTCTCTCGTTTTTTTGAGTTAAATTCGGTTCTTCCATTTTTGAGGAGAAATTTATGAGTTTTTTTTAAAAATAGTGATTTAAATTTTGAGCGAGTGGGTTTGTGTTTTGTGTTTTGAATTTGAATTGAACCTTTTTTTACCTTTTTTAACCTTTTTAAACCTTTTTGAACCTTTTTTACAACTTTCAAACTAAAGCTTATTGAAAATTTTCTCTTTTAGATCTTATTTTCTTTGGAATCAGATTGCTGACCATCAAATTTCATCAATTTCAATATCATATCAATTTTCAGTAATGGTAAACGAAGATCCACCCTTGCTCTTGGCTGATAACATGGAAGAACACCAATGGCTGGCCTATGTGATCGCTGTCGGTTTCATCATTTATCTCATTGTTGTCATCATTGGATTACCGGCTAATCTCTTCGTTTTGGTCAAGATGCTCAGATTGAAAAGGTTTTAAAGGGGGAAAAGTGGGATTTGTTTAGAGATAGTATTGATGTTAATTATCTAAAAGTTTCGATCAATTAAATACGGGTTCTAATTGGTAGACCGAAAATGAATAGCTCTAATCGATTTCCCAATCCGGAAAACCTGGCTACAAGTACAGCTAACTACCTTGTTGTTGTTGCTTTTTATTGCGTAGGCGAAGAAGCGGCTAGCGGGTTAGCCGGCCTCGTCGTCTCTGTGCACCGCCATGGCCAAGCTCCTGAGAAAATTTTCGTTGTTGCTTTTTATACCATCAACGAAGCAAAAGACAAATCCCTATTTAAATGAGCAGCGCGGTGTTCTTTGTGCGCGCACAATCGCTTGCCTTCCGGCACACCCTCCCGTTAGATAGGTGTTCCCTTTTGGTTTCCGTAGGCGAAGAAGCGGCTAGCGGGTTAGCTGGCCTCGTCGTCTCTGTGCACCGCCATGGCCAAGCTCCTGAGAAAATTTTCGTCCCAATCCTGTTTGTATTCTCTACAAAATCGTGAGAAAAGGCCGACCCGGCCTGAGCCCTGATCCCCGTTGACAAGGGTTCTTCTTCTTCGACTCTCATTCAAAAATAGCACAAAATTCAGGAGAAAACCGGATGTGTTTCGCTGTGGCACGGGCGCTTGTTTATTGGTGATGGCGGTGGCTGATCTTTGTTCTTTAATTGCAATCATTTCATTGGGTCATGTCTCTTCATCATTCGCCATTCCGATGCCAGATTTCATCGCTCAAACCGGCTATGAAGTCTACTTGTGCAAGGTGGGTTAAAGGTTAAAATAGGAGCTCAAATCATAGGTTTGCAACAAGGTCAAGTGGATTTTTGAACTGAAAACCTGAACACACAGGATTCTAGAATATCAGCTATCAGCTAATTTTTCTAAACTTGACTTTAAAAAACTTTTCTAGATTACAATCTTCACGATGGGTACAGCAACGTCAGTGGCCATTTGGTCGTGGCTTTTGATGTCGATTTTAAGGTGAGAAAAATAAACTGAATACTTTGTATCAATGATTCCTTTACTTTACTTGAATATTTTCAGATGGCTAGCCTTATACCATCCCCTCCTTCACCGTACTCTTTACGATTTCCCGGTGCGTCTTTTGTCTCTAATTCTTTTCATCGCTTCACTCACCAATTGCTGGCTGCTCGTCACCGTCGAGTACCGGGTTGGAGCTGTGAGTTTTATGAAAATTTGATTCCAAATCCACAGCATTCAGAAAAAGCTGAGCAATTGAATATTTTAAATATTATCCAATTTCCATCAATTTAACCATAAAGATGTGAAGGAATTGGTAAGATAAAGTAGATTTTTGGAGAGGGGATTGAACCCTCGACCTTTTGCTTAGGTTGGAGCTGTATTGGAACCGTATTGGAACCATATTTAATCGAAATAGGAACCGTATTGGAACCGTATTCTTTTGGCAATTACTCTAAACACTGAGCTATCCGGTAGCTTAACTTGCGAAGACAAAGAGGGAAAGATAAGGAGGAAGAACATGGAAAGGAAGAAAGAAAGAAAGAAAGAAAGAAATAACTCTTGTTTCAGCGCTCCTTTTGCACGCAAACACCTCTTTTCGGAAACGAGACGTTGACAAGGATACTTCTTTTGATCGAAATTGGATGGTTGGTTGAAAAAGTTGAAAAATGGGAAAGAGATCCATTAAACTATAATAATAATATATCTAATCCATAGATTCTCATGAAATTTTACCATTTCAGGTCCTTCGTGATCCCAATTTTCGTGGTCGCCTATCTCGACACGGCCGCTCTCTTGAGCATTCCAAAATTATTAAGGGCTAGGTGAGCTTGAAAATCTAAATCTAAACTCTAAATATATTTAAAATATTCAAATTTTATCGTAGATTTTTAAAATTGTAATCCAATTTTCAGTTCAATGCTAAAATCAGTGAATCCGCCGAAGATCCATATTGAGGACAACTTTCAGAGGGTGGGTTTTGGGTAAAGTTTGAAGAATGATAGTTGAATATCTTAAAAGCTGATACTTGAATATTTTAAATTACAATAGTAATTAGTTAATTAAAATAAATATTCCAGAAATGTAAAAGAACCCTCGCCCGCTGGCTGCTGATCGCTTTGGTGGACATTTTGTTGAACGCTCCCGTGAATATTCTTCGGTTGATGACAATTCTTGGATATGTTTCAAAGGATGATGTCATCAGTCCGGCTTATGTTGTTTTCAAGACCGTTTCGGATGTGAGTAGGATAAGAAAAAGAGATGAACTGAATTGGTAAACGACTTGATCTTGTGTACTTTGTGCTCAAGCTCAAAGCTGGCGCAGTTTCTGGCGCAGTCAATGCTCCTTTTTCAGATTGCAGTCATAGGCAGTGCCTAGAAAATAAAAAATAGAGTGTGCCAAAAGGATGCGCTTTAAATTTTGAACACAAAGTACAGTTTAAAGAAACTGATAAATAAAAATGAATTCTATAAAATATCTGGAGAAATCTGGAGAAAAGACATGCGTTTTATATAAAAAAAACTTAAACTTACTAACTTACTTACTTACTTACTTACTTACTTACTTACTTACTTAACTTACTAATGACTACAGATTCTCTACTACTCTCAATACAGCTTCAACGCTCTCTATTTGGCACTTTTCATCTACGACAAAACGATCAGCGATAAGAAAGCGTTGCCGAGCACGGTTTGGAGAATACATTATTCAGAGAAATGCTTTCCTTTTAGGCTTATGCTCCTCGAGATCATCGCAGTCGAAAGAGTACAAATGTAAGTTTTTTCCTTATGACTCTAATAAGACAAATGTGACTCTATTATAGAAAGAATCAACTATTCGTTTGGTGCCTTAAATCTTTACAATTTTTTTTCGAAATCATTTAGAAATAATGTCACCACCAAATATCTATTTGAACTTTTAAAAAGCTTGATTGTTCCTCTGGAAAATGTCTTTTGGGAAATTCTCGGAAGTCGTTGTTTTTATGGATTTTCAAAGGCGTAAATCTACGCATACGATCAAATCAAATCAATTAATCAGAACCTACGCATACGATTCCCTTACATGGAACATTTTTGAAGCTCTACGACCTTTCCTAAGGCCTTTTCCAGCGAAAAAAAGTGCACAGAGGTTCAGGTGCGCAAAAAAAGATAGCATTTGTCCCACCTCCTTACAATACAAAGTTTCTACAATTTTTTCCAAACGTCTCTTAGAAATAATGCCGCCACCAACAAAATTTCTATTTGAACTATTAAAAAGCTTGATTGTTTCTCTGGAAAATGTCTTTTGAGAAATTCTCAGAAGTCGTTGTTTTTATGGATTTTCAAAGGCGTAAAGGGATTTCAAAGGGATTTTCAAAGACGTAAAGGGATTTCAAAGAGATTTTCAAAGGCGTAAAGGGATTTTCAAAGGTGTAAAGGGATTTTCAAAGGCGTAAAGGGATTTTCAAAGGTGTAAAGGGATTTTCAAAGGCGTAAAGGGATTTTCAAAGGTGTAAGGGATTTTCAAAGGCGTAAAGGGATTTTCAAAGGCAACCACCCAAAACTGATCCAAAGATAAAGTCGAAAGTTTGAACACTTTCTTCAAAACAAACCTATTTTTGTATTAAAGTAAAAAAGTTAAATTAAAGTTAATTAAAGTTAATTACAGTAAAAAAAGATAGAGCTTATTTGAATAAATAAATCTGTAAAATTTGAAAACGATCTGTCCAGCGATTTTCTTTAAATCTTTAACAGCAATTGAAAATTTACATTTTACATTTTACAGCTTTGAGGCTCTCTCAAAAGTCTGAGAAATTTTCTAGAGAAATTATAGGCCTTTTTAGGAGCCAATCAATTTGGTAAACGATTCTTTTCTAGGGAAAGAAAAGTTTGAAAAAACATACCGTATTTCTTCGAATAGAAGACCGGGTAAAGAGTATCATCGCGTACTCCTGCGTAGCAGCCCTTTTTAAAATTTCTTTTCTGCAAAAGAGCTTTCAATGAAGTGCTATAGAGCTGGAAAATGGCTCAAAAATCTGTTAGCTCATGTCGTATTTTTGAGTCATTTTCCAGCCCTATAGCACTTCATTGAAAGCTTTTATGCAGAAAAGAGATTTTAAAAAGGGTTGCTACACAGGAGTACGCAATGATACTCTTTACGCGGTCTTCTATTCGAAGAAATACGGTAAACAAAGCACAATTTTAGCCCGAGAGTCAGAACAGTTCGGATCCGGATCGAGAGCCATTACAAAGCTTATGAGATAAACTTTTGTAGGAGAAACTTTGAAAAGATGGCTACAGCTGATTGTTCTTTAAGTGCACTTTGTGCTTAGAATGAAAAGAAACCCTTTCTAATGCACTAAATTCTGGATCTGGAAGAATTGAGTGCACCAGAAAGGGTGCGTTTCCATTCGGTGAGCACAAAGTATATTCAAAAAAGCTTCCTAGTTCAATTGAAACTTGTTTTCTCGCATTTGTGGATGTATTTCTGTTTCCATTTCTCTCATCGTGTACTTTTGATTCGGGACGTTTTCTTTTTTGATCTCTGTGAAGCTTCTGAGCTTGGGTTTACTGTAATAAATGACTGTAATGACGTTTTTTTTATTTTGCAATATCCTGAATATACAGACAATGGGAAAGTAAGTGAATGAATTGGTGAGTGGAAGGGAATACAAGAGAATTGGTGAATGGAAGGGAATACAAGAGAATTGGTGAATGGAAGGGAATACAAGAGAATTGGTGAATGCAAGGGAATTCAAGAGAAATGGGGAAAGGAAGAGCCAGGGTTTCATCTGTTTCAATGATAAAAATCTATGCACAGTGTGTTTTCTACAGTATTTTTTAGATAATTTAGGTAGAGATGAAGGTAAATGCAACATTATTGCATGTGCCTTCGCTGGATTTATTCTTTGTTTTCATTACTCATTGTTTTCATCATTGGACTACCGATTGTCTCTTCGTTTTGGTGACGATGCTCGGATTGAAGGGGTTAAACCGGATAGAAGAGGTAAGTTAAACCATTCGATGACTTAAATAGCAGCTAAACGGGGAGAACTTTTTGGGAAACAATGACTTTTCGAACTTTCTGAACTCTCTGTTTCGTATCGTCCCTTCAATTCGCTCTTGATCCAATCTTGAAACCCCGACTCCACCAGAAAAATCTCGATAACAGAAAAAGGCACATTATTATCACAAAAACGCTTAAATATTCGAAAATTGATCGTTTCATTTTCTAAACAGCACTCTCTGTTTCGTATCGTCCCTCCAATTTGCTCTTGATATTTGCACAGATCATTCCCAATGGATTCGATGCCGCGTTCTCCATTTGGAGTACAGTGCACAGGATGGCGTAGGCTAAAATGTACACTTTTACAGAGCTTTAGTTAGTTTTAGATATCTTTAGATTCTGGCTAACAGCTTTAACTAACCACTTTTTGATAAACCCTTTAGCTTTAGTTAAATACTTTTAGAAATTTCTGTTTTTACTTTAAAATCTTTTTAGTGATTAGGATCGATAGACTAAATAGTACATGCCCTTTAAAGTTTGATATATATAGAGCCTGGTATTTTTAAGCTTATACTGGTTACCAAAAAATGCTTCGCAGCAAAGAAAAAAATTTGAAGCAAAAAGAAAAAAATTAGCGGCAAGAGGAGTCGAACCCTCGACTTCTCTCTTCCGTTCGTTTGAGAGACGCGCGCGTTAACACTCGGCCATACTCTGGCGCAGTGCGAGCGCGTGTCTCTAGCCCACAGGACCAGGGTTCGACTCTGGTCCGCGTCGGCAATTTTGGTTTTTTAAAAATTTCAAAGCATGTTGCACAACTACATGAAATTCTAAGCCAAACTATTTATTAGGGACTTGCAAAAGAAACTGCGGATTGCTTCCGAGGACCAAAGTTTTTTTTATTTGAAAGTGTGATGGTCCGGTTTAAATTGTATTATATTGTATTATTATTGCTTATTCATTTTAATTATTTTCACAACTATTGCTATCATTAAATATTACATAATCTTCGGTAGAAGATGACGGATCAAAAACTCATGTTGGTTATAATCCGCAATTTCTTTTGCAAGTACCTAATATAAGATTGTGCAGAAAAGTAGCTCTTTTCTGTGAAATCTTATTTGATGTTTTGATTTTGAATATCTCTGATTCTCTTGTCCTTCCTCTAAAGATCGTTTGTGTGATAAAAAGGGACGGAGCCCACTTTGTATTGCTTTTCTTTGGCTTTGAAACACTGAACCAACGATTGATTCTATTTATTATATTTTCTCGCTAGATTAGTGATTGTGTTATATTCGAAATAAATATCTAATAATCATTGCGCCATCGGTACCCTCTCACGCACTGCACAAAGATATTTGAAACGGCCCGCTTGGCGCGGAGGAATAGTGCGCACAGACAGACAGACAGACAGACAGACAGACAGACAGACAGATAGACACAGCTCTTTAGTACGTCCTTTAGACGTTTTAGAGTAATGTACGGTAGTTTAAGTCGTACCCACCTTGATTATTATAAAGTGCCTTCAAGCCGACGCCCGTTGTCGCCAGTGTTCCAATGCAGACGGCGGCTTTGTATCTAAATATAATTGGCTTTGATTTAGAGGCTAAATCAATAAATTTACATCTAAAATCAAAGAATATCATATATTTAAATAGGACAAAATAACAAGGTATCTAGATTTATTCAGGAAAGATTGGGTGCGGAAAATTTGGCGGTTTTGGTGTCTATGCTCTGTAGAGCTACAGTAAGCGCACCAGATTTTATCATCGTAAATTCTATTTGAAATTCTATTGATGAAATTTGATGAATAAATTCCTCCTTACCGTATTCTCCTACAGTAATCCGAGTGAATACTATCGGTGACGGTGAGCATTTCGAGAAGAACCGGCACAGCACCCTGGGAAACAAGGCAATCCTCGTAGTGACGAGCGGCCATTCGCGACAGAATCGTCACCAACTAGAAAATGAAAATTGTAACGAAAAATAGATTGCATTTAAATTTCTACCTGTTCTTGGACGAAAATCGTGCTGCAATTCTGGCGATTGTAGGCGGAAATGAGGCGAGAGACGGCGTTGAATTTGTAGAAAAATTCGATTGCAGAGGTTTCCTGCATAATTAAGAATATTTCATATAAGAAATTTACTATATTTTGTTTGAAAAATCGTCTAACGGTTTGTGTGTCTGTTGGGGGTGGGACAAATGCGACCTTTTTTTTGCGCACCTGGACATTTGCGCACCTGAACCTCTGCGCACCTTTTTTTTGCTGGAAAAGGCCTTAGGAAAGGTCGTAGAGCTTCAAAAATGTTTTCATGGGAGGGAATCGTATGCGTAGATTCCGAATTTCGACAAATCAGACCTCGCTGACACGTCAAATTTGAGCTAAAAGGCAAAAACTACGCAACTTAACGCTTTTTCGCAGTTTTTGCCTTTTAGCCCAAATTTGACGTGTCAGCGAGGTCTGATTTGTCGAAATTCGGAATCTACTACGGCCATTCCTGGCTCCCCCCCCCTCAAAATGCCAAAGTACGTTCTTTGCCTTTAAATTGAGACAAAGTTGACTTGGGTAATTAAAGCAAAGAAAAACTCTCTTGAAAACCCATCTCAAATTTCATTATTCACCATTTTTTGAGCTGGAAATATTTTCGAAGCTCTACGGCCTTGCCTAAGGCCTTTTCCAGCAAAAATAAAGTGCGCAAATGTCCAGGTGCGCAAAAAAAGGTCGCATTTGTCCCACCCTCGTCTGTTGTCTAAACTTTCAAAGTGCTCACTCAACTGAATATCTTCTAGTTTCGTGGGGGATTTCTGGGCAGCTACGAAAAATCTACGCAGAAAAGAGGGCAGGACTTCTTAGCTTTCATAGCTACGAATTTGTTTGAATTTTTCCATAAAATTCAAAGATATTCAACTAGAGCTTAGGGGGATACTTTGAAAGTATACTGTTACCACAATTTCGCTTTACCGGATGCGAAGAGCGTAAAGTATCGAATTAGGGGTAATTGGGGGTGAGGAAGACAAGGAAATGGCCAAATTTTTATAATTCTTAATATCAAATATGCAAATTTCTGGAATCGACTGGGATTTTAGCAAGAATGAAAGAAAGGAAAGCTTTCAGAAAGCGAATTTGCAAAGTTAATGCAAATTTTAGCAAAGCGGATGCCCAGCGCAGCTTGTTGTTGTTGTTGAATCAATAATAATCAATAATATGTTGAAAATACAATTTCGAAGTTACTCTAATTTTGTAGTACCTGCAGTGATGTATTGGCCAAAGCGGCCGTACAAAGAAGCAACGATTCGGCCGTTTCGCAGACGTCGATCACTTCTGAAAAACGTGAGAAAGTTTAGATTATATGTTCAAGTATTTCTTTGAGATATAGCTATCTTTTTTATATAAATTACCCAATAATCGAATCACAATCGCTTCGATATTGCTCAATTGAACGAAAGCGTGCTGAGGATTCGTCAATTGAGTCAAAACACCGGCCGCCTCGATAGAGCACGGGATTGACGTGCCATGAAGTTGTTGAAGGATTACTTCAAGGCCACCCACCTGAAAAGCTAGCAACGGTTAGTGATAGTACAAGTTTGTTTTTTTCTTTTTCAATTTGTCCTTAAGAAAAACGCACCGCTAATAGCTGAAGGCACCCTTTGGAGACACCACAGAGAACGGCCAAAGCTCTCAACAAAAGTCTCGATGTTTCATTGTGAGTTGTTGGTTGACGAAGGAGTTTCAAGAGGGATGATAGACCACCACACTGAATAGTTTCCTTTGATCTGGGAAACTTCTTTGAATTCTTATTTAAGAATCTCCGTCTCTTGAATTCTTATTTAAGAATTCGGCGGAAATTACTGAATATCTTTAGATTGAATTGAAGAATGCCCAATCTGTTACTCTGTTCTTACTGTAATGAAATCGAATCCGATAACTTTTCCGTCTTTGAGCTTTTCTCAGCTTTGAGCTCTACCTGAATTGTCTCTAAACAGAGCTCGTCACCAAAAAGGACAAGATGAATGAGATGTTCCAAAGCGATTGTTAGCAATCGATCCTTGTTCACGCATTCGCCCAAGTATCGAGAGATTATCTAAATGGTTTTGATGGTTACCGTAACTCTGAGTACATAAACTAGATAAACATATAAATTGATAAGATAAGATAATGATAAGCCAGAGAAGTTCTCAAATCAAAAAAAAACGCACCTTTGAAAACAAAGACAATACTTGTTCGACCATTCTCCGCAAAACGATCGTGAAATAGTTGGTGATTAGTGGAGGTTTTGAGATGATCGTTTGCGGGTGAACGATTGACGGATCGGGCAGGGAACGCTGCAGATCGCCGAGTTGCAATCTAACCACATCGAGATCCTAAAACATTGAGTTAAAGAAGATTTGGTAAAGAATTAAAAGATGATTATGTTGTGTCCGATTTAGATTTCCTTCCGATTTAGATTGAACTTATCGCGGACGTCCGATTTAGATTACAGTCTATATCGGACGTTCGATTTAGATTCAATCTAAATCTTATATAGATTGAACAATAATATGAACATGCTTAATATATGTTCTTAAGCGTTTTCTGTAGTTTTTAACTTTAATAGGATAATAGTAAGCATTTAATAGGAAAACAAGAAAACAAAAAATTCTCAAAAAAAGACAATAAAATTTCTTTGAAAAGCGCAGAAAATTGCAAAAAAACGCTTAAGAACATTAAGCACATTTACATTAAGCATGTTTATATTATTGTTCAATCTATATAAGACGTATTATTGTTCAATCTATATAAGACGTATTATTGTTCAATCTATATAAGATTTAGATTGAATCTAAATCGGACGGAAATCTAAATCGGACACAACACATACATATTTCGGCAGGAATGAGGCGCACGGGCTCGACTCGACGATTTGAATGAAAACAGCTGACTTGGCGAGGAGATCTCTGAAAAAAATGATTTTAAAACTTTTCGAATCATTTAGATATGCTCATTTACATTTACATTTACAGAAATTTACATTTAAAATTTCATTTATTTGCCAACCTTGCAGTTTGCGGTGTCTGCGATGAGCTCACGAGGGAATAGATTGAAGAAGCTGTGCGGAGCACGTGATCCATTGTGCCTAGATAAAAATGGTTGAAAAGTAAACAGAGATTCAATTAATGCCTTTTTCTAGTTTATGAAGTTCTTTATTTTATCGTTTAAAAGGCTGTGTTACAACTTTAAGTACAAAGTTTTCACTGACTTGCCATCCTGGGATAACCAGGTAAACATCCTTTCTGATAATTTGCATAGATTTCTTCATGAATCGATATTTCGTCTTGTGATTGATTGATCGCTTCCATTCGTCGCATTTGTGGTGGACGAGATTTGGGAAGAGTTGGAGGGGGAGGATCGACGGATCGCTCGGATTGTGGGGGAAGGCAGTTACCGTCTGCAATTTGATCTCTTTAGTTTACCAAAGTTTATGCTGTGGATATAGTCAATTTTTTTGTGTGCAACCATGGCCGACTGGCTAAGAGTGCTGTATCCTAGTCGGGGCTCAATCCTGACTTCAAGGGTTCAATCCAGCCGGCTAGATTATTGGTTCTTTTTTCCCATTTATCTTTTGTTTCCTTCCCTACATTCAGCGCTTAGGGTCTTGGAACCGTATTGGATCTAAAAAGAACCGTATTGGAACGGTATTGGAACGGTATTGGAACCGTCTTGGAACCGTCTTGGAACCGTATTGGAACCGTATTGGAACCGTATTGGAACAGTATTGGATCTAAAAAGAACCGTATTGGAACCGTATTGGATCTAAAAAGAACCGTATGCTTGTGTATTTTTTATACCAAATTATTCGTCTGAATAAATGTCTTTTAAAGATTTACTGAATTCCCCGGAACACTGCCCGGAATCGACACTCTCCGTGCTTGTTGAGTTCAGCGATTTCGGTGAGGGAAGCGGTGGAAGGGAACGATGATTTGGATTCGGTCTTTCACTGAATTGCAATCTTTAGCAGTTAATAATTGTCATAATTATCCAATAAAGCCGAATGCTGGATTTGAATGCACACACCTACCGTAAATACTGTAATAGTACCCCACCCCCATAATGACGGTGCGGAGTGTTGTGTGGTCTAGCTTTGAACGAGTTTTTCTCGACACTGGTTTATGCTACAATGCGCGCTTAGTTATCAAAAAATAGCTGAAATTCAGGGCTATTTTTTGATACCAAAGACGCATTTTTGTGAAAGTACGGGCGCTTTAAAAAAAATGAAATACTAAAAAACTTTTGCGAGTACGCGACTGTACGAGGGGGGTGGGGTACTATTACAGTATTTACGGTAGTAAATCTCTTGATCGGAATGCCGTTTAGGATCGGTGCCAGATCAATAGATTCACGAGAAATGTAAATCTCTTGGCTTGGCTACTTGTGAAAAACTTTTGTATTAATAAACATTGACTTTGTAAGATCTTTTGTGAATTTACCCGTTATTCATAGCCGCCTCAATGTCGTCGTGATTTACGGCAATTGTGTGCCGCAATTGATGTTGAACCGCTTTCCGGTAGCCGATCACCCGACTGCCCGATCGTTCGACTCGGATTCGAAGCTGGAAAATGATTCTTTGTTAAAATTGATTGCTATCATCGTGAGTTTAGGGATTGTCGATTCTGAAAAAAGCGAATTATGATTGGTTGATTTACCAAAAAAATACTCAACCTGATCATAGGGTGGCGGTGTCGGCGGGACAAAATTTCCCGAAATATCGATCGTCGAGATGCGACGGCGCTCACGGAATCCCGGGGGAGTCCACTGAAATCGATGATAGCAAGACAATAACAGATATCAAGTCTTTATAATAATAATAATAATATCAATTATTTATTTATCAAGTATCAAGTATTATCAAGTACCAATATTTGTCCAGAAAGTCTTTTCTGTCTTTTCATTTTCCTTTTCGTACTTTCGTTAAAAAACAAATTCATTCATTTAATCTATGAGCTCCTCTAAATAAAAAGTGTTTACTGGTCAATTTCCGGTTCACTTACAGCGCAAATTCGAGAGTCAAAACAAGTGTTTCTATAAAAACTTCTACGAAGAAATTGGCTGAGCCGATTACTCTGAAAATTTGGCGATAAGCCTAACTTTTTGTGCTCTATCTTTTATCTATTGACACGAAGATAGGTTTCCTTAGCTAAAGTTTGTCTAAACCGAATCAATCATCCCTTCAATCATCAATCAATCAACTCGACTTCACGCTTCCAACAAAAATCCAGACACAAGACATTTTAAACCGGTTTTAATGTTATTTTGCAGAGAAATAATTGGTCTTTCCAATGAAACAAATCGTAGTTTAATTGGTGCATTTGTTCGTTTTAAACAGAAGTATGAAAAGGAACGAAAAGACTTTCTGGACAGCCGAATCGGTGGTTCGGCTCTTGTCCATTATTCGTGGTTTTTGAATGCGTAACCGTGCTTTGAAGATTCATAGCTTCGTTTAGAGATAGCGTTATTGTTAACTTTTTATATAGTTTTAAAGGAAACATTTGAGGCTTTTGATTGATATGAAATAGAGCTTGATTGGAGCAGTCTAACATGGAAACTAAAGCTTTTTATGGTTTCGAAAATTCGATATGCAAAAAATATCATGTTCAAGAAAGCATCAGAAGCGGGAAGGAGTAGCGAGTGGCTAAGCCGGCTTTCCCGTTTTAGATCGCATAATGTCCAATCCCAGTCCAGTTATTTCCCTAATTTTGTTTGTATTTTTAATGTATTTCCAAAAACCCACGAAAATCAGACCAAAAACCAGAACACGAAAAATCCTAATAGATGGGAAAGATTAGGCATTTCAAAAAAGACTAGTAGGGCAAAAAAAAGTGTTTATGTTTATGTTTAAAGGCATGGGTCTTAAAAAAAAGAGCAAAACGATGAAACCCTGCTCAATTAGTGGAAAGGAGTGAAGGGGGAGAAGTGGAGGGGTGGAGAGGTGGAGAGGTGGAGAGGTGGAGAGATAGGAACATCTGGTCTCGGGTCTCCCTATCCCCAACCACTTCTCGCCGCAAAAAGGACCACCCTTTGATCTATTCGAAAGCAAAATTCGGTGGCTAGTTGAAAATTGGAAAAGTGTATTTTTCGAAATCTCAGAAAAAAATGTAAAATGATCTAGTTGACAAAACATTCCCACTTGTGGTAAATTGGCCACTGAAGGCTAAAGTTTACAAGGCTCACTGATGACTAAAGCTTTAATTTGTCTTGAAAAACATGTAGTGTGCCAGAAAGGTTGCGTTTCCGATTTACTTTACTATCGAGATAGTGGGAAACAGAAATCACAGTTAAACTGAATCTCCTAGCATCGATAGTTATTTCCATTTCTACCATAATCCATTTTTTACTATAACCCACTACCGTAATCTATTATCTACCAGCCGCAAAATCCAGCTAAAAGCGGGTTTTTCTGGCTGAATTTTTTGAAGCGCTTCTTTGTCACCGTGGCGCAGTCGGGAGCGCGCTTGTCTACGGCTCACACGATTCGGGTTCGACCCCCACAGTGCCACTCAATTTTGAATTTTGAAATTTTTATTTTAAAAACCTAACTACAATATATTCTAAGGTTTTCTAAAGAAGTTTTAGCTTTATTGGTGAAAAGACGGCCGAGAAAATACAGACAGACGACACGGCTCTTTTATATAGACAATTCTGCACTAACATTGACCAGGATATTCGAACTGGCTCTAGAATCTGTAAACTAGGCCAAACTGGGTAAGACAAGGTTAGAATTCAGCCAGAATTCTCCATCGTTTTGTGAATGAAACCCCCGAAGCAAAGCTAAGCCAGACCCGCAAAAATCGCTTTTGAAAAAACCCTAGCTTTGACCGCAAGTCTAGAACTTGATCATAGAACAGATTACAAATAAGTATAGAGCTACACATAAGTATAATTTGAAATGAAATATTATAGCTAAAAATTCGCAAACCTGAGTGCCTTTGTCTTGTTTTGGAATCGGTCGACGAAGACTTCGCGGCGAGTCGGCGGCAGCGGTGGGAAATTGGGGAATCGCTGAAAAAAAAAGCCGGAAAATATGGGCAAAGATGAAGAGATTTCGGGAATAATTTAGATCCTAAGGCTTCAAAAAATTTTTCTCATTTGAGGATGAGTCCTCGAAAAGTTCTCTAGAAGAAATGGAGGGGATTGACCCGGCCAAAATATTCCCCAGTGGCGATCCATCAACACGGCTTTTGCCTGGGGGTTTTCTTGCATAAAAAACTTGCAAAATTTGTTTTCTGACTTCAAATTTAGTGCGATTTTTGAAAATATGAAAGTTTGCTTTATGAAAGCTGTATTTAAATTGTACTAAGTGCTGTACTGGCACTGATCTAGCACTGAGAAAAATTGCAATTAGATTAGTCAATCAAATTCGACTACTGATCACAATATAGTGCTTTAGATAAAGCTACCGTAATCCCCGTCAGACTACAGTGGCTTTTTTCTAGCGTAGTTTTTAGAAAACAGAACATAAAACATAGTTTATAACATAATTCTAATTTTTTTAAATCAGTGACAAAATAAAAAGTGCGCTAGAAAAAAGCCACTGTAGTCTGACGGGGATTACGGTAACTTTATCTAAAGCACTATATTGTGATCAGTAGTCGAATTTGATTGACTAATCTAATTATAATTTTTCTCAGTACTAGATCAGTGCCAGTACATAAGGGTAAATAACTTTTTTATTTTGCACTGAAAATACTGGAATACTGGAATACTGGAATATCAATCTTGTGCCAACCTTGTGCCTGCTCAAATTCCTTTGATTTCAAAAAGTGCGAATCTCTGCACAACTCGACGAGATCTTGAGTGGAGTACGATGAAAGTCTCGTCGAGGAGGGAGTGGCCGCCGAGAATGCCCTGAATATCGTGAATCGGGGTCGAACTCGGATCGATTGCTCGCGAATTGCACCATTTGGCAATCGACCATTGAGGACATTCATTTTGAAATGAAATCTAGGATTGCAATCCTCACGGTATATCGGGATTCCCGTTGGCGGCTGTCATCCGGGCGATGCATCGCCGCGGCTTTGGAGGCGGTTGGTGGACATTTTGAAGGGATTGCGAGAGTTGAGGATTGCTGTAAATTCATTGGACTCTACATGTTAATAGAATTTTTAGTTTTTTTGTAGAGGATTTGTCTTGAATAGTGCTCTAGGCGAGTCAAAGCGAGTCCAAGATCTGTAGTCTTTGCCTAACAAAGAAAAATCAATTGGATCAACTGGATCAGCTGGTCAAATGCTACAAGAAATATACTATTCAACGCAGAATTTTGTGCTGGTTTTGAATATGGACTTTCCTTAGCTTAATAATGTTTTGATGAGAGTTATGAGCACTGAAAGTATCACTCTTACAAGGGAAAGTCAACTGGCTGAACCATAAACTGGCGATTCTATGTTAACAACTGGCGATCTATGTTTACCATTCGACGCAGAATTTTGTGCTGATTCCGAATCTGTACTCCGTTTTTGCTAAATGGTAATCTGCCTGAAGTTATACGCGTCTAAAGTTGTATTAGAACTCTGACAATATGGTCATTCTTTAGCTTTCTGATGAGAGCTTAAGCTTTTGGGACTTAGCAGCCTCCCTGCGGATCTGATACGGTTCAGCTGTGAGTGGTACAGCGTTCGTTTCCAGAACGAGACCTCACAAGTTCGACTCCTACTTTGGATTACTTTGGATTTCTTTTGCTTTTCTTTAAGAAGTGCTGACTGGTGTTCTAGAACATATTTCTTGTTGTCACACTTTTATAAAGTTAGATATAAATAGCATTTGGTTGGCTCAGCCAATGGTTGGCTCAGCTGTGATCTGATGATCTGTGAATGATGTAATGATCTGTAAAAGATCTGATGATCTGTAAATGATCTGATGATCTGTAAATGATCCGAAAAACCCTCACAGTCTTTGATTCCTTTCGTAGATCTGCTCATAGACATGGCCTTCCATAATAGCAAAAATTTCAGATAAAATTCAGAACCAGGAAATCTTTTGCCAATCAAATGTCGATAGAGACAATCGAATGTGTTATTTTTCTTGAAAGAAAAGGTGAGATTTTTGTTAAGAGAGTTTCTTTTGGTGGATTTCCTTTCTCGAATCGAACAACTGTGAGTGCCTCAAACCGAGAAGAGATTAATGATATTTACTCCTCAAGAGATCTCACTTTTTTTCATCGAATAAAATATTAGGGCTGATCGCGGAGGGTAATGAGGTCATTATAAAGGAGGGGTTGAAAAGATCTGGTCACAGGGTTTTTGATCTTTGGCCCGTATTAATGACGATTTCATTCAGATTTCGTTCAGATTTTTTAACATTTTTGTATAAATGCGAAACACAGAATAGAATGAGATCCAAAATGGAAAGCGATTTTGTAATGACATCAAAAAAAGTCCACTCACTTGATCAAGACACTCACGCGATGCGACCGCAGTTTGGGACTCGATGGGCATTGCTGAAAGAAAGGATAGTCAAATATAAGCGTTATATATGTTACTTCCTATCTAGAAACCCGCTCAAACTAGACTGATTCTGGATCGGATATCCGATCTAGAGTGAAGTCAAGTCAAATGTCTGATCTAGAATCAAGCCGATCACTCAAAATCTAAGTCTGGATTGGATGTCTGATTTAGAGTGATCGGCTTGATTCTAGATCGGATGTTTGACTTGACTTCACTCTAAATCGAACGTCCAATCTAGAAATAGTCTAGATTGGACGGATTTTTAGATCGAAAATATACAAATTATTGGCTCTTGTTCTGGGCTTTTTGAATGGTTTTTGAATAAGTAGCCGCACTTTGAAGTTTCATAACTCTGTTTAGAGAGAATATTAGCGTTGGCTTTGTATATAGTTTTAAAGAGGACACTTCAGGCTTTCCATTGATATTAAATAGAGCTTGATTGGATCCTAAGCTCCCAAGAAATCCTAGGAAAATCAAGAGTCTAAAAGTCAAAGCAAAACCACTGTACAAAGTGATCAGCGAGGTGTTCTTTGTACGTGTGTACAATTGCTCTTTATCTGGCACACGCGCCCGATAGATAGGTATTTCCTTTCAGTGAAATGAGAGGTGGGCGACTGGGCCGAGTTCCTCATCGTGCGCGTCATTATGCTCAAACCCCTGGGAACTGTTTTAGCCCCAACTTTGCCTGTATTTTTTTATGGATTCTGAAAAACCCCAGACAACAGCCAAGAGTCAAATTATCTAATCCTGTCCATTTTTAAAAGTATCCCACCTGTGTGCTTTCCTCGAGATTGAGGAGACTTTTCGCGTAAAGAATCGACGAGCATTCTTGCTCGATCGAGAGGGATAGCTGAGAAAGCCATTCTCTGAAGAAATTTTGATATAAAACCGACACAAATACACAATAAACTATCAAAATTGTCAGATCTAAAGCTTTCCAAGAGTACAGAAAGACAAGAAGCTAAAGAAATGCAGATCACTTCAAAAACTTTCCATTGTTCTAGCAGTGAGTGATCAGTAAACTACTGGGTTGGTGAATTGAAAACGGTCGGCTATTGTCATATGTGACAGTTCTCAGCACTTTCTTCAAAAGAAACCCATTTTGGTGTCAATGGAAAAGTTGTAGAGAATCAAAAATCAAGCTTATATCCAAATTTTCAGAACGATTCAAAAACTGGTTTTTAAAGAAATGCGAAATTTACGAATTTTTCACAAAACTTGCAATTTAAGCAAAACTACTAGGTGTATCTTTTTGGAAATTTGGATATAGGCTTCATTTTTGATTCTCTACAATTTTTCTATTGACCCCAAAATGGGTTTCTTTTGAAGAAAGTTCTCAAACTGGGTCCAAACTGGACATCTCCAGTCCTCCATTTTTGAGTCCCACACTTGTCTCACACACAAACCAGAATCCTACTACGAAAGAGGAATCCGCAAATTGCCTGTAAAAATGGGCACAAGTCGTCAATAATAATGGAAATTATTTGGAATGAATTTATGGTTTTATGTTGAATAAATTTTAGTTCAAAGTCGCGCAGTTTTCAATTCACCAAACCAATAGATAGGAATTTCAAAAAGTTATTCATATATCTAGATTTATAATAGATTTAAATCTAAATTTATCTCAAAAGAAGTTTCTCAAAATCTGGACCTTGTCTCCTTTTTTGTCGTGTCGACCTGTTCGGGATCTTCGCTTTTCTCGCGGCCGATCTCGGAGTCTAAACACAAATTTGCATTTGAAATCAATTATTTTCTATTATATAACTGAATATCTTATTTAATAACTGAATATCTTTAATTTAATAGAATATCTTGCTATTTTTTCAATTTTCCAATTTCCTCACCAGACGCATTCTCGAAAGAATCCCAATATTTCGCCAACGCGGCGCTCATTCGAACCATTTTTTAAAAGTTAGATTATAATAGTTAGAGAATCATTCTAAAATTTACATATAAAAAAAGTTTAAGTTTAAATTAGAAAAAAGAAAGTTCAAGAAACGTCAGTGAGTTTAAAAATTCATAAAAACCTGTGTTAACAATAGTTTTTTTGAAGATATATATATGCTTTATTCAGTTGAATAGCGACAAGACAAAATCACGATAATTACCCGGGACACCACTCAAAACACACTCAAAAGATAAATAGATACCTCAAGAAAGACTCACAAAGCAGTCAAATCAATTGCCGAAATTGCGGCTTTAAATCTAGCCAAGGTGGAAATATCACGAACATGAGCGGGTAAAATGTTCCAGAATTTAATAACTCGATTAAAAAAGAAATAGATAGACTTGAAGATAGATAAAAAGACTTGAAGCTGAATAAAAACTGTAAATAGCTTGATTTCTATTGTTCAAAGATATCTTTTTTTTAATGATTTTTTTAAAGATATTTTTAAGAACGATTTTAAGAACGAGAATCCTTAAACGAATTGCGTAATCGTTTGTGATTGGGAAGGGGTTGACCTGGAAGTCAAAGAGGTCAAAAAGGCGAAAATAATCTCGCAAACCCTCACAAAAAAAGACGAAGAAAAACAAGGATTTGAAAGAAAATGGATGATCCATCAAAAAAAAAAGAAAAGAAAGAAAAGAAAAAGAAAATCGGTTTTCCTCAAGAAAAGTATCGCTTGAGGAAAGAAATTTGCATTTAAGCGGTACTCTTGGTTGGAATGGAGAAGGACGAGCTGACCCTCAATACGAAAAAGGTGGGGTTTTTGGTGAAATTGAATTCTAAACACGGATCAACTCACCGTAATCTTGAATTCTTTGAGTATTTTGGATTCAACTATATGTTGTGTCCGATTTAGATTCCCTTCCGATTTAGATTGAACTTATCGCGGACGTCCGATTTAGATTACAGTCTATATCGGACGTCCGATTTAGATTCAATCTAAATCTTATATAGATTGAACAATAATATAAACATGCTTAATATATGTTCTTAAGCGTTTTCTGTAGTTTTCTGCATTTTTCAAAGGTCTGTTACTGTCTTTTTCTGAAATGAAAACCCAACTATGAAACAATTTAACAGTATACAAGACGCATTATTGTTCAATCTATATAAGATTTAGATTGAATCTAAATCGATATAGACTGTAATCTAAATCGGACGGAAATCCAAATCGGACACAACATATAAACATATCCTATTTAGTGCACTCGGCTTTGTTTTGCTCAAACAATGACGTTATAAGAGAAATACAGAATCCAGTGCATTAGAAAGGGTGAGTTTTGCGCATAAAGTACTTCGAAGAAATCTAGTTAAAGTCTAGTTAAAGTCTAGTTAAAGATATTGCTAATTTCTCATTCTGTATGCCGAAATAAAAGTATTTTTGTTTAAAAAAATCAACTTTAATTAAAGACTTTTAAGAGAAAGTAGTTTTAGTGAAAAATGGAGTATCAAGTCATTGATTGTTGAAGCTTATGAGCAAATGTGGAAAGCAATTGATGGAAATGAAAGTGAGTGAGTGTTGAAAGTGATAATATCGCTGAGAAATCATAGAGAAAGAAAAGAGACGAGTGATACACCTGAAGGGGACGACTTATAAAAGGAAATCGGGTGAAAGGGGGATCGATGATGATCGAAATGTGAATGATTTGTGATTAAAACGAGTCAGTGACACCTTTCTTTTCATTTCCACAAAATAAAGGACAAGTTTCGTCCTTGGCTCAGCTTTTTCACAGCCAGGAACTTTAGTACAGCTCACATTGTAGAGCTTTAGTACAGCAGCTGTATTTTGATCAGCTGAATGTTCTTTATGAGTTAGTGCATGAAATCCAGTCATAGGCCATAAAGAAATGATGGAATTGGCAAGAAAAAAAGTCGATTCCCGGAGAGGGGATTGAAACCTTGACCTTTTGCTATCCTGGCAATTGCTCTAACCATTGAGCTATCTGGTACTTGCCTTTCTGGTACTTAACTTGCCAAGAGAAAGAAGGAAAGACAAGGGGGAAGAAGAAAGAAAGAAAGGGTACTGTAAGCCAGATTTTTTTGTTGTAAAATTACAATGTCTTATTACAGTATGTCAAAATAAAAATCTGACTACAAAATGATTAAAGAATAAACTTATTGCCACTTTTAAATATCTTTAGTTGAAGTTGGCTTTATTTTGATTCGATCATTACTTTCAGCTGTACTTTCTGATTGAATGTTGCATTGAATGCGCTTGAAAGAGATGCGTTTGATGCATTCGACACTAGTTTTCAAGATTAATCCGTAAAACACTCTCTAGTACAATAAAAATTCAAAAATAACATTTGAAAATCGAAGAAACGTTCACAAAAACAAATGCAAATCCCTCTTTTTTTTTCATGGAGAGCTTTGTCAAAAAAAAGAGATGTTTGTAAACATTGTGTCACAAGGAAAACCTTTAAACAAAAGCATAAAACGGCTAAAACTTAAAATTATATTATAAAGTGTTTACGTTAAAAACTACTTATTGTTAAGCAAATCGAATTTTGAGAAAATAACAGTGATTGGGGAGCACAAATTGGTGACAATTGGGGGCGGATATTGGAAAAGAATGGGAAGAGGGGGGAGAGGGGGAAGAAGGGGAAGGGGAAGAAGGGGAAGAAGGGGAAGAAGATTGATTGACATTGCTCATCCATTTCTTTTGGAGATTTGAGATTTGAGAGGATTTAGCTGATCATTTCACTTACTCCCCAAATTCGATCGGATTTTCAATGAGGAGACGAGAAGCTGAAAAGTAAAGCATAAGACCCTACCCTGGTGGCAATGGGAATGGCATCGAATCTATCTACGTTTCTGTATCTTTAAGGGTTCTGAAATGCTACTGAAGGAAGTAGAAAAGTAAACTTATAGGTGTAGCTTATTTGTTCGTGGAACTCTAAGTCAAATCGGGATGTTTTTGGTAGATAAATGTTGCCGAGAATTAGGCCTACAATTCCCTGTATAACACTTGCCACTTTTGAAATAAATTAGACATTTCCCAGATACTCTTCCAAAAAGTTTTTGCGGTAATTCTTGGTCACCCTGTATATAGCTGAAAGTAAACTCGATTCACGATCAGTCGAAAGCCGTTTTCTAAAACGTGGCAACTTTTGAAAGTATCGTAATCTTGTCTCAAGGTTTTATCGAATCTATCTACGTTTCTGAATCTTTAAGGGTTCAAAAATACTACTGAAGCAAGTAGAAAAACAGCAAACTGCAAGCTTTTATTCAAAAAACTTTCTTTTGAAAAGAAAAGTAGCAAACTGCAAGCTTTGAATTTGCCAAATTTTGGCGCCAAAGTTTTGCGGAAACATTTCTTTGTCTACCGAACTTGCAATGTGGGTTCATTCGTTCAGGAAGAGGTCTGGGAAACAATTTTGTCCTTGACGAGTTAAAAACTGATCAAATTTTTGATCAGTTCAATTGATCTTTCAACTTTTCCATGTTTTGTGCCTCTAAATCATGGATTCCATGCATTATGCGATCAATCACTTTCCGAGAGAAACAAAAAAATTGCTCAGACCCGGGAAAAGATGCGATTTTTCAGCGCTTCTTTTCGAAAAGCCTTGTGCTTTTTTTTTGTTGGAACTGGAAGACTTTGATTGATTGGAAAGCCCCATTTTGATCGGTGAATTGAAACAAAGGGGGAAGGCATTTCTCGAGTTGCCATTTATCCTTATCCACTTAGCCTTATCCATCTAAAGCTCTTTTAAATCTCCTTTAAAGCTTCTTTAAAGCTCCTTTCAAGCTCTTTTAAAGCTCCTTTATAGTAAAGTAGCTTTAAAAGAGCTTTAAAGGAGATTTAAAGGAACTATAAAGGAGCTTTAAAAGATCTTTAAAGGAACTATAAAGAAGCTTTAAAAGAGCTTGAAAGGACCTTTAAAGAAGCTTTAAAGAATCTTTAAAGGAGCTTTGGATGGATAAGGCTAAGTGGATAAGGATAAATGGCAATTCGAGAAATGAGATCATGAGAAAAACATGGCTATCAACAAAGAAGAGCGAGAGAAGTTGAGCTTTGTCATAAATCATTTTATTTAATCTCATAAATCCCCCATAGAGTATCGTATAGCTAATCTTTTATATAAGGTATAAATTCAGATTGTCAATTAAGATTTATTAATCTTGATGGACCGTAATTCCTCTCATTTACTCACTCACTATTATGGCCACTTGTCCTCTCACACCAAAAATGCTCATGGCATTGTTGATGAAATGAAGAGGAGATTAATGGGGTCATCAACGAGAAAATGGATAAACAAAAGGATTTTGAGTATTTCTAAAAAAACGATGAATGGTAAAAGGCAAAGGAAAGACATATTTTGAAAGATTTAAGAGGCATGTTTTGAAAGATTCATAATCAATCTATAGTGAGTTTTCATAAGTACCAGACAATCCGCAACGAGATCACAGACTCGAGGAAAAAGATAAAGAGAGATAAAGGAAAAAGACTCGAGAGGTTTCTTGTAAAGTTTAAAGCTTATAATTGGAATGTTTTGCTGAAAAGCTTTAAGCTAAATGGTGATAGATATATTATTTATAACGTTACTCAGGAACCCAAGAGTTCTATTCGATCGTAAAGTGTTAATGAGTAAAGTTGTGTGAGAGTAGGAGAAGATGAGGTAGGAGAAGAAGTGGAGAAGTGGGAAGTAAAGTGAAAGAGGAGAGACAATAGGTCCTCACTATTAGCATAAGCAGGCGATGGTGTTGGGTGGGAGGAAAGGGTGCGCGAGATTCGGAAAGGGTCAAAAGTCAGTGGGAACTTCTCACACATCGAACAGCTGACTCGAGATCAAACTGATCTATCGAAAGAGTTGGGAAGATAATGGGAAAGTCTTTCTGCATAAAATAGAACTAACAAGGGAAGTACCCCAGCTCGCCGATCGCCAGACACCGAAGGAGAAGTTATAGAACCGAATAAGCTGATCAAAATGCCGCAAAAATTAGCTGCTCATTAGCATAGAAGTTTTCAATATCTCGCTTAAAAGGCTTTTCTTGCGCGATGCCAACATGAGCTCTCGGCTTAGCGGAGAAGGTGCTTGTATACAAAGTGAGCTATGCATGTTTTTGCTCGGATTCGAGTCCTCGCCTCGGCGATGGTGGTGGCGGTGGCGAACTTCCTTTGTACTTCCTTTGTAAAGGGTTTTGTTAGTTGGTTAAAGGATAGTTGTTGCTTATTTTTCTATAAAAGATCAAGTAAACTAGCCTTTAAAACCGCTTTTTGATAGATAATCCTTTCATTTAAGCATTTGAAATACTGTCAACTGTTTTGCGTCCCTTACAAATATTTGTGGATTAAACTATGCACCATCTTCGCATAAGATATAAATTAGGCTCATAATTAGTACCAACAAACGTTACAATGTTACAAAAGGACCTTGGCACCTTATTTCTTTACGTATAACCTTGTGTAGCTTTTACTTTGCAACTTTAAAAACCTGTCGTTTAGCTAATATTGAAACTAAACTTATTACCAAAGTTAAATTTTGAGCTTAAAGCTCTGAGTTTTTCAAGAACTTTAATAAAGTAAAGTAAGGAATGGCAAAGAAAGATTTCTGGAGAGGGGATTGAACCCTCAACAAAGTTTGTTTTTGCTTTTTAGGCAATTGCTTTGATCACTGATCTAACCGGCATCTTCTTGCCAGAGAAGAAAGAGGGAATACAAGGGGGAAGAGAAGGAAATGCATAACTTTTCATAAAAGAAAGAATCTAAGTCAACAAAATGGACCCATTTTCCAAACTGGCCAAAGTTAAAACTCACACATTTCCACTGCAGCTTTTAGCTTTTTCTATTTTAAGCTCAAATAAGGCTTGCAAAATGAATTTGAACAGCGAATTGGTCAAAGAAATAGGAGACTTTCAGAAAAAAATTTGCATAATGAATGAGGGGAGTGGCTGTGTTTTGAAGAAGTTGGGGGGGAAGATGAAACAGACGAAGAAGGAGAAGAAGAAGAAGCCAATATTTGTTCGTCAAACCCATCACACATATGAGAGGAATGGTGGAAGGAATGAAAAGGATGGGGATGGTTGTCGAAGTCTCCATCGGACACAAACAATCACCCCGCCTTGAAGAGCCACTTCTTGCACTAGTTCGAGGGTGAAAAGCTGTCATACAGTCCAGCCTGAAGAGCTGAAGAGGGCATCTTCTAGGGTGGATCTGATATTCTATATCAGATCCACCGTATTCTCTCTAATAGTAGTGCACTCTCTAATAGTATTGCGGTCCAGGAGGGGATTGAAAAAAATAGTAGTGCGCACTACTATTAGAGAGGATACGGTAATAGCCTTCACGAAGTAAAGTGAGAGATTTTGAGCTCACAGAAGAGTGAACTTTGTAGCACACAAATTCTACAATTCTTACCGTAAATACTGTAATAGTACCCCACCGCCCTCGTACAGTCGCGTAGTCGCAACAGGATTGGGACGAAAATTTTCTCGGGAGCTTGGCCATGGCGGTGCACGGAGACGGCGAGGCCGGCCAAGTCGCTAACCACTTCTTCGCTTACGGAAACCAAAAGGGAACACCTACCGTAAATACTGTAATAGTACCCCACCCCCTCGTACAGTCGCGTAGTCGCAAAAGTTTTCTTAGTATTTCATTTTTTTTAAAGCGCCCGTACTTTCAAAAAATGCGTCTTTGGTATCAAAAAATAGCCCTGAATTTCAGCTATTTTTTGATACCTAAGCGCGCATTGAGCAAAACCAGTGTCGAGAAAAACTCGTTCAAAGCTAGACCACACAACACTCCGCACCGTCATTATGGGGGTGGGGTACTATTACAGTATTTACGGTAGGTGTGTGCATTCAAATCCAGCATTCGGCTTTATTGGATAATTATGACAATTATTAACTGCTAAAGATTGCAATTCAGTGAAAGACCGAATCCAAATCATCGTTCCCTTCCACCGCTTCCCTCACCGAAATCGCTGAACTCAACAAGCACGGAGAGTGTCGATTCCGGGCAGTGTTCCGGGGAATTCAGTAAATCTTTAAAAGACATTTATTCAGACGAATAATTTGGTATAAAAAATACACAAGCATACGGTTCTTTTTAGATCCAATACGGTTTCAATACGGTTCAATAAAAAAATAGCCTTGAATTTCAGCTATTTTTTTATACCTAAGCGCGCATTGTAGCCTAAACCAGTGTCGAGAAAAACGCGTCCAATGCTAGACTACGCAACGCTCCGCACCGTCATTATGGGGGTGGGGTACTATTACAGTATTTACGGTAAGAAACCGGGTGGAAGAATTAAACATTGAAAAAAACACTTGATCTTTTTAAGGAGAACAAAATGGTGCACCAGAAAAGGTGTGTTTATCTTCTTTGAGGTCATGCAAAGTACCCGAAACGCACTTTGTACTTCAAAGCTTAAAACACTGCTTTCTAGCGCACTGGCTTCTATGTTCAAAAAATTTAGTGCGCTAGAAAGAGTACGTTTCGATTTTCGAGCACAATGTACATCAAAGAGTGTCTTGTGGATGGAAAACTATCGAAGAACAACAACGGAATGAGTAATCATCAGCAAAAGCGTCTCTCTATCGGTCATGTCCGTCTCTTACCATTAGTTCAACTCTAAAAGGAAAAAAATTCCCAACAAAAAACTTTCACAAAGCCTGAGAAAATAGTTGTAGCTTGTTAACCTCATTTTTCTTTCTTGAAATCTCTCTCTATTTTTCATCAAAAATGTGCACCCATATGGCGGCTAATAAGTGAGCTGTTAAAACACTTGTCGAAAAGAGAGAGCGCATCACACAAAAACTCCTCAATAACAGTCATTTCATTGGTACAAATGCTGTTTGAGTCAAAAATGGGAACTTTTTTGCTTCAAAAACTTCAAAAAAAGGGCTTTTAACTTTAATAAAAAAGGACGATAAAGTTAAACATCGAAATCTAAATTGGATAAAGAGCATTTTGGATTTCGATGTTTAACTTTATCGTCCTTAAATGGATAAAGAGTAAAGTAAGCAGTGAAAAGACGGAACTGAAAATGAGGCAATTTCTCTAAAAAATAAAAGGCAAGTAAAAGAAAACGGATTCAAAACTACAAAAGCTAGTTCAGCTTCTTTCGAGAAACGACAATGAAAAAATTGTATTGAATTGAAGAGACAAATCACTAGGGCCAAGCCAGATCCAGGCCAAAAGTTATGCTTGCTTTCTGGAGGGTTTAGGTACGGTACTTTTCACGACGGACAGGTTGGCTTCTGGCCAAGCCCTGATATGACTCGGGTAACGGTCTTAGAACAACCTATTCGCTAACAACCTAGTCTTTATCAATACTCTCTTTTCATCAAATGTTAGACCTTCATTAGAAAAGATATAAAATAAAATTTGCAAGAATCGCAAGCATTCAAGTGACCACCCCAACTGAATGGTCTCAAAGACTGAAGAAGGGCTCCGAATCGTCGTCACGGCTGGTTTAAGCTGGATGCCATTCATTGACGCGTGAAAGTGAGAAGGGGGAAAAAGGAGAAGTCGAGAGATTAGAGACTGCAAAACAAAACCCTTCTTTTTCCTCTCTTTTACGCGATCACATCGCAATGAGATAACCGGTTTGTTTACTTTTTCTTCTTCTGTCGAAAAGAAGACCAATGTCCAATGGTCTCCATTTCTCTCTGATGATCTGATTGAGGAAACTGGTCTAATTAAGTCTTGAACTTGCCGAGTGCATTGCAGTGCCCCCATATGAAATGCTTGTGATTGGAGAGAAAGGGAAACCCAAAAGGGATCAACTTTACAGTACAATATGCTTTTTTACTTGCGTATAACTAGTTTAAGATTAAATTTTAGAAAGCAATGAGTACTAATAACTATTGTAGGCTTGAAATGAGTGTGGATGTGACGTGTGATTGATTGAAGGGGGGCGAAGAAAGGGCGCAAATATTGAAGATTTGAGTGTTTCGCTTGATCAACGAGCATCCGACGCTGGAAAAGTCGTTTACGATTTGTAGAATAGACAGCAAGTGAAATAAATAAAGAAGTGAAAGAGCTTGCAAGAAAAAGTCGATTTCCAAAGGGGGATTGACTCCTCGATCTTTTACTTTTCGGGCAATTGTTATAACCACTGAGCAATCGCTCTAACCATTGAGCAATTGCTCTAACCATTGAGCAATTGCTCTAACCATTGAGCTAAATCTCGTCTGGTCTTGAAAATTCCGGTTCCCGAATTATTAACATACAGATGTTCAAAAAAAATTTCTCCATTTCAACTTAAATTTTTGAAAAACTTTGTGGCTCAAGTCTTAGTGTCAAAACAGTTTTTTTGCGTCACAATTTGTTGACTTTTTGTTGGAGATTTTCTTGATTAAATGATCCTATACATAAAAAATTCATCACCAGAACAACAAAGTACGATTAGAAAAGATTAGCGTTAGAATTTCTCAGAAGTTTAAGTTGAAATGGGGAACTTTCTTTTGAACACCTTGTAACACGTTGTATTGCCGGAATTTAGGTGATGCAATCACTTGACTTCACTTCTACATCATATTACGGGATAATGATTTATCTATTCATGATTTAAATCCATTTATAAAGATTTTCAATCAAGAAATCTTTAAATCTTTCAAAATGCCCAAATCCACGAGAAGCTAGCCCCGCCCATTGTCTTTCAAAAAGTCGAAAAGCTGAAAAGAGGCCAAAAAGGGGTAATAAAGGCGAAGAATCTTGGCTCATAAGGAATCTTTTCACAAATTTCAAACTTCAATCTTCTTCAATTCAATCTTCAATCTTATTTGTTGATATTTTCACGTTGTCTAATCAAAATGACGCCAAGATGAGAGAAGTTGGACTCATCATTTTGATTTGTGGGTTTTAGTTCTTATCAAAACTTTTTAAACCCTAAAATGATACAGTCGAACTTCGATTTCGAAGTTCGAATCTAAAACGTGCCCCAAATTTTCTGCATAGCTCCTCTGGACGGCCACTGATTGCATTTGGCTGGGGCAGCTACGCAGAAATTTTCGGCACGTTTTAGGATTTCAAATTCGTTTTATTGAAGGCCGACTGTATTTGATATAAATATTATGTTATAAATTATCTAGTTACAGTACAATAAACCTTTGTAGACTTCATCGGTAAAGTCTTGACGGGAAATGGAGACTGTGTCGAGCCGTGCATTGTGCGGATGCAAAAGGTTTGTCGCTGGAAAGCTTCTCGAGGAATGATTGCAAGATTTCACTTTAACTAATCGATTGTGAAATTTGGAATAGCAATGTGTGTGATAGATATTAGGATTTTTGTTTTTTAGACTCTTGAGATGACTCCAATCCTCGCCAACGACAATCTCGGGCATTTGTCTCTCGGTCAGCTCGCGGGAAACAGTGAAAAAGCGACTCAACAATCGTTCAACTCAATTTGCACGTAAGTTTTGAAAAAAAATCTACATTCCATTCATGTCCATTCATTCTTTTATGCTTCACTTCACTTCAGTACTTCAGAAGTCTTTAAATCTTGTCTTGTTATAAAATTAAGTGTCTTGGCTAGTCGTAGAACTTATTGATGGAGTTTATTCCAACTCTTTGTCTCAAGAAAAATCCCAAGAGAACTGAATTGGCTTTGGGTTTTGTATATGATAGCTTTTCACAAGGAAAAAACCCAAATTTTTTCAAAACATCCGGATTTCTGAAAAAACTAAAGATTGTAATCGGTGGGCAAATCGGAAACTGAAAAGAATGAGAAAACCGAATCCAGCATCAGTTTTTTTTTTCTAAATTTGGTTAAACAATTTCGGATTCTTCACTCACAAACTTCTGAAAACGATTTCTCATTTTCTTTTGTGCTAAATTGTTAAATCTTTTATTCAAAGTTAAACCCGATCCTTACTTTTTACCCTCATTCTATCACTCACATTTGAAGCCATCTACCCAACGTTTTTTCCCTTTCTGAACACGAGTTCTCCACCGATTCTCCATTCAACCTCTTCATAATTTCATTGTTTCTTTTTGGCTGAAAAAATCGGCATCTTTTGACTCACTTTTCACGGGTCTCATGATTTTTTTTTTGAGGATTTCTTTCCTTTTCACTCAAATAGAAACAATAGGTTCACACATAAGTAAGCGAGGCACAAAAGAAATTTTCTCGGTTTGGTTCAAAAAGAAAAAAAGAAAGAAGAAAGAAGAAAAATGTTTGAAGTTGCACGATAAGTGTTTTGAATGTAAATCCTAAATTTGAGACACCAGAGAACCCAGGCTCGAGCTTCAGACCTGTGCAAGAACTAAAGTCCTTTTTGGGGCTATTGATGTCAACCATGGGTTCTTTGTTTCAAATTTGATCTGAATGTGATCGGAATGAATCTAATTCACTTGTGGTGTGATTTGAAAGTGTTCAAAACAAACGAAAACTTTATCAAAACCGGTTCAGTGGTAGAAAATGATTTTGAAGAGAGGAAAAATGACAAAAAAAATCGCCTAAAGGCACAATTATGGTAATCCGACAAATAAAAAGAGTCAGAACAGAATGTCGACTTTTAGCAAACGATTTCAACATTCGAACCATCTGATCAGCCTTAGCAAGCCTCAGCCTTAGCTAGCCTCAGCCTTAGCGAATTTACGTTTTGGCCTTCTTGATCAGAAGAAAAGTTAGCTAGATGCAAAATAATTTTCAAGTCAAACAAATCTTAAAAGTGCTAGGCTCTATCATAAAATTTGGATCATTTCCAGAGCGTATCGAGAGGTGGACAAATGTTTGGAGCGTTGTGAGGGCACCTCAGAGAACAGCGCCCGAGTGAGGCAGACGTACGCCGGCATTCGCTTCATTTGCGTCGAGCACAGTCAAGGTTTAAAATGAAATTTTTGATCAATAGACAAGTATTCTTCAAATCAAAGTTTTTAAATAACCTCTTAAACCAAATTCCCTCTCATTTTTCAGTTGTTTTTGGTAGTCAAGGAGCAATTTTTGTGGGTAATGAACGAGACAATTTGAGCTATATAATGTTCTTCTAAATTTCAAAAAAAAATCGAACCTTTGATAGTTGGGGATTTGAATTGTGGCGTCATTTTAAAAGCATTTTATTTCTCTAATCCATTGCTCACTGAAAATCAAATCGTGAGTAAGCTAAACACAGCCAAAAGCCGACTTTTTCTTAGGATGACTCAATTCTTGAAATCTTATGCTAAACTCGTTTTTTTTTTCGCCAAAACCTCAACAAGATGAGTTTTTGAAATCGGAAAAAATTGGTTTGTCCATCTCACCGGCAATTTTTCGACTTGAATTGCCACTTAACCGGAAAGAGAAAAGAAAATGGGAAATGGAAGTGAAGGAGTTGAAGCTTTTCTATCAGATGTCACTTGTGATTTGTCCAAGAGACATCCCCCACCCATTACTAGATAGACTCGGCTTGTAGAATGAGAGTTGGATTGGGAAATGGGTAAACACATGCTTACTGAACTTTCAGAAACTTCAAACTTTCAAATGATATAAAATTGGAGCACACAATCCTCAGAAAATCAAAGAGACATTCAAAGTGAAAGCAAAATCAAGGGATAAAGTGACGGCGAGCATAAGCTCTTATACTTTTATAAATAGCATAAATCAAACGCGTGTAAAATTGATAGACCCGACAAAAGGAATAGTTCCAGTCGATTTCCCGATCCCGAAAACCCCCGGGTACAAGTTTACAGCAAAATATCTTCTTTTTGTACTATCAACAAAGCAAAAGAGAAATCCTTGTGGCTGACGAGGTGTTCTTTGTGCGCTCTCCATCTGGCACACCCTGCCGATAGTTATTCCCTTTTGGAATCCGTGAAGGTGAAGGAGCAGTGGGTGAAGGAGTGATTCTCATGCGGCATCACTATGCCCAAATTTTTAGGAGGATCCTTTGTCGATTTTTTTTTTGCACAAAACAGAACAGTGTGATCCGTATGGGCTCTAGATTTTCTTGGTTCTAGATTTTCTTGCCTTTAGATTCTCTTGCCTTTAGATTCTCTTGGCATCCAATGCAAGATTTTGATCCAAGCAATTCAAAATTCAGAATTTATCGGTTTTGTTTTACCTAAGAATGTGGTTTAGACCGTAAACGATACCCTTGAAAATTTGAATTAAAAGATTTCTTCATTTTATTGCCAGCAAATCGTTTTAGAGAACTGCAAATTCTGGTGACTGACTCTTTTCTGCTATCTAGGTAAAGTACTGTTTCTGTCGTAGCAGAAACATTTTGTCAAAAATAGCAAACTTCTCAACGTGAAACCTCTTAAAGTTGTACTACCATTTTTCTCGAGGCAAATTTATATCAAAAGGGATGTATATGTTTTTTTGTGCTCCCAAATCCCCGGGGAGCAATCGGTGACAAAAAAAATATCTAGTCCAAACATTACTAGATATCTCTGCCTTAAACTATAGATTTAGAACGCTTTGAGATTTTGAGAAAACCCAAAATTCCTCTTTTTTTCAATAAAATTGAATGTTATCAATTTTATTAACAATGAAATGTCAATAAAATTGAAAAACTGATTTTTTGAGGTGGGATTTGTAAAGTTGAGAACGGTTGGGTTCTCTTTTATCTAAATTTTTTTTCTCAAGATTTCACAGATAAATCTCTTTTGGCTTAAGTGGTTTGGGTGAAATGAATGACCATCAAAAGCAATTTGAGTTTGGGTGTGTGGGCTTTTCTTTTGATTTTGGATAGGAGACATTTATGGGACCCTGGAGGGTTGGGTCGTCAAGAGAAAGGCGATCAAATTGAACACTGATTATTTGAGATGGAATGGAAATAGTTAAAGAAATATTATTTTCCAGTTATATTTGTTAAGGTTTCGTCCAAAACCATTTTCGGGCTAGACCAGGCGAGAAGCCATAAAACCATAAAGCCAGAAGCCATAAAGCCTTGACCTGATTTCTGGTTGTGCCTTGCTTGGCTCTATTCCTGGTCTATTTGAAAACTTGGAGCATTTAACAAACAATTTTATCATTTATTTCAATTTCAGAATTCTTCGCCAGCCTTCCATGCCTAGCTCGGTAAATCCATCAGATTGAACTTTGAAAAAAACTTTCAGAGAGGAACCAAAAGCGATGGCCTCTTGCAAATCAGAAATCAATTCTTCTTTGGAAGCGAGCAATCGTTTCAGGTTTTGAACATAAATGATTCTAACTTTTGCTTTCAGCAAAGCGGTGGTCAACCGAGAGCAGCACTCGATTCGACAAAGATTTGAGTCACTTTGCAAGTGAGTCCAGGGGTTACATTGAAACTGAATATAATGCTGTTTCAAGCATTAGAAAACAAGAGCTGTTTGCTAAATCGTGGGACTGACTCATTTTCTACAAAAGGTCCATGTATTGTCGATATTGTCGATATTTGGATATTGTCGAAGAGTTATTAAAAAAGACAAATTAAAGTAGGCCCAACCCAAACTGTCCAATATTTTAATAACTTTTGATACTTCTTCGTTTGATTTTTAAGTTAACTTTGTCTTTTTTTGAAAGTCATATCCGCAATAAAATCAAGAAAAAATAAAAAAGCTTATGAACAAATTGAGTTAGACTCGAAGTTGGGTAAACAAGGAAAGTCACAGGAATTGGAAGGCAAATGTTAGATTTTATCCAGGCAACTCGGTGCAATGATCGATTGTGTGGAGCCAGTGACGAGAAAGGGTTGTGGAGATGATGCGGCATGGATGATGCTTCGTTTCATCACCGTTGGCTTCAGCAGGTTGATCGAGAGAAATTGATAGTCAGATTAGCTTAAGCTTTAAATTAAGCTTTAGATTCAGCTTTCCTAACCCTCATTTCAGTTTCGAGCAGCTCTACAGTCAATTGGGTATCTCGGACCAATTGCCCGCCTCGTGTCGTTCATTGCTGAACTTGAGGTGAGCGTTTTGATAGAATATTAATGAATTATTGTAAAGCCTCAAAAGAACGAAATGATTTCAATTCTTTAGACACAATCCAATGGAAAGACACCCCACGAACCCTCGTTCGCTTCTCAGTCGATCCACCGCCGATCTCTCAGCGAAAATCCCATCATTTTCGATATTTTTCTTGATTTCTTTGTTTTTATTTTAATTTAACCTTTTTCCCCTCATTGTCGAGCTTATTTTTGAAAGAGATTCGATCATTTTTCTTTTATGATTTAGAATGAAATAGTCGAGATTTTTGAAATATTAGTCAATTTGAAACAGAAATATTTATTCAATAAAGCCATCAAAATCAATCAAAATAGTTTCAAATCTTTTTCGGGGTAGGCTAATTTCCGCCATTTTATTTGCGCAACAGGGTCATTTGCGCAACAGGGTCATTTGCGCAACAGGGTCATTTGCGCAACTGGGTCATTTGCGCCACAGGGCCATTTGCGCAACTGGGTCGTTTGCGCAACTCGCCATAACTTTCTTCTAAGTAAGCCAATCTTTATGATTTTGGTGTCATTTTGTATATCTCAATAAGTGTAACAAAATGACACCAAAGTCATAAAGATTGACCGACTTCGAAAAAAGTTATGGCGAGCTGCGCAAAAGACCTAGTTGCGCAAATGACCCAGTTGCGCAAAAAATTTGGCGCAAAGTAGCCTATCCCTCTTTTTCCATAAACGTTGCCGATTTTCATGGTAAAAGGCGAATTTCGTTCTCTTAAAAAGTTTTAGCTTCACGTCAAAGTAGCTTTGTACGCATTTTTTGGCATTTTTTTGATCTTCAAAGTGATTAGGGCATTTTTCAGTGATCAAAATATCAAAATCTTGTCCGCCTTTTTGAAATTTTCGTCTATAAATTAATAATTAGCCGATCAATGTGTGGTTTGCTTTAAATAAAAAAACGTTAACTATTACATTTAGCTCATTTATAGGTAGCTTAGATTAGATTTAGCTCATTTATAGCTCATTTAGCTCAGCTCAATTCGAGTCCGCTTTGAAGCAAATCCGAACGGGAATTCTTGTTTTTCCCAAAATCCTTTCAATGGACATAGAATGAAATCGGCTGAATCAATTTCTCTGAAAATTTGTCGATCTGTCTAACTTTTCATTCTTTATCTTTTGTCTTTTGACACCAAAATAGATTTTTTGTGAGAAAAAGTGCTCAAATCGAAACTTTGAGTTTCAGTTTGACTGCTTGATTTCACATCTTTAAAAAAATTGACTAATGCAAGCTTTTCAGAAGTTCTTAAAAAACAATTTGTAAATAAATCATTGGATTTTCTGATAAAGCAAACCGTAGATCGATTGGTTCGTTATTTATTTCAAAAAATAACCTTTAAAAAAAAGCGGACAAGACTTTCCTGCTAAGTCCTGCTACGGAGCTATATCTGGGGAATATGCTGGATGAGGGGAGATATACGGCTCAAAAATTTGCATAAATCCTGTTATACTACCTTAAAATTGCACAATTTACAAGTTGTTTATAGGGAAAACATCGAACCATGGAGCAAAACAGAAAATGTAGGAAATGAAGGAATTTGGTTTAATTGAAAGGACTTACAATCTTTAAATGCACAATTTGGTTTTTATAAATAAAGGTAAAATAAAGGCATTTTTTTGAATGCATAGTATTGGGTTGATGGAAAAGTCCTTCCCGATTTTTTGGGGGAGTACCTTAAATTTGTCGAATTTTGACGTTTTATAGCTCATCCTAAAGCTGAATTCAAGACGGATCGATTGGTAAAAACCGTTTTGAGATATCTCTTTTCTAAAAGTTTTTACAGCTCTTTTAGTAAAGGCCAAAAAATGGCTGTTTTCACTTTTCGTTAGTTTTCCGTGCACAAACCTAGGCTAAAAAACATGTGTTTCGTGATCAGCGTCAAAAATAACCCCTAGACACGCATTTTCAGAATCTTAGCAAAAAATTTTTGAAAAATATTGTCACCGGTGGAAGTCGAACCAGCGACCCTCAGATCAATAGCCTTTCCGCCGCTTCTCGATTGATTGACCCAATATATCAGAAGCGTTTACTACAGGGTGTTCAAAGAAAAAGCCCTTAATTTTGCCCTTAATTTTTCCCTTAAAATTTTTCCCTTTTCCCTTTCCCTTAAGTTGCCCTTAATTTTTCAAAAAATTACTTGTGGCTCCTGGTCGTTGTGGTGCCAAATCACTTTGGCACCACAACGACCAGGAGCCAAAGTGAATATTTTGGGCTGGAAAATTTTTGATGTTTTCTCATGATTTTCACCATATCATGGACTCCCAATACAAGAAATTTCTGAGCCATTATGGTCGCGACCACCCTGACACTTTTGCCATAAAATGAAAACTTTGTACTGGCATTGTAGTGTCATATTAGAGTTAACATATAAACTAAAATTTTTAGCCAAAAGCCACTTTATTCATATGACAATCTGTCGTACATAAGAGATTTTCAAATTCAGAAGATTTTAAAGAAGTGTTCCGTAAACACCGATCAATAAAGTGGATGGGTAAAATTTGTATTTATCCTAATGTGTTTATTATGCACCACGATGTCAGTACAAAGTTTTAATTATTATGGCAAAAGTCTCATGGTGGTCGTGACCATAATGGCTTCGAAATTTCTTGTGGTTGGGAGTCATGAAATCGAGAAAAAGTGGAAAAAATATCAAAAATTTTCCAGCCCAAAATATTCACTTTGGCACCACAATGGCCATCAGGAGCTACCAGTAATTTTTGGGAAAATGAAGGAGAACTGGCTTTTTTTTTGAACTTCATCTCGTTTGGCTTCCCGGACTTCATCTCGTTTTCTGAGTGGCCACCCAGCTCACCCGAACTTAACCCATTGGATTACTCAGTCTGGAGTGTTCTTGAAGCCAGGGCATGTGCAAAACCACATAAAAATATCGAAAGTTTGAAGAAGGCGCTCATCAAAGCATGGGATACCCTCGATGATGCCTATTTGCTCGCCACGGTCAACGCGTTTCCCAAACGTTTGCAGGCCTGTCTGAATGCGGATGAAGGCAAATTTGAATTTAATTGTTAATTTGTTATTGTTATATGTCGAATAAAGATATTTAAGTTAACTTTTCGAGATGGGTTGCATATTTGGTTAAAAGCCAGGCCTTTTGTGTGTTGCGGTAATTCTTGGTCACCCTGTAGATAGCCCTTGTATTGGGTTGGGGACTATGACTCAGCGGCAAACTTTAAAGACACTTTTTGCACGCATAAAGCCTTCTTTAAATATACATTTTCTTTCATCAAAAGGATCCACTATTTCTCTACAAAATGACTTTTGAGAGATTCCACAAAGCTTTTCTTTCGTGGAGTTTATGAACTTTCAAACGCAGCTGATCAAAATGGCAAAGAGTCCGACTCATCGTTTGAACAGTTTCTTCCACGTAAACCTTCTTTGGTGTCTATGTAAAAAAGATAGAGCACATTCAATTACATAAGTTGCCAAATTTGCAGGAAGATCCCTCCAACCGTTTTTTCTAGATGACACTTTGTAGTTTTTGTGAAAAAATGGCCTTTTCTTGAGCTGAGGCGCGGTTTGAGTTTTCTTTTAAATGTCATTTTGTAGAGAATTAGCTAACTTTTCTACTGATATCAAACGCGTATTATTTGACGAAGTCTGCTAGAAGTTTTAGAAATTTTTTTGATTTTCGGCGCCGAGTCATAGTCCCCAACCCAATAGATAGCCTGCCATACCTACTGCCTGCCATACCTAAGCCTACCATAACTACTGCTTTATTTGCAGGAGTTTGATTTTTCATTTACGATAAAGACGTCGTTGTGGTACCAAAGTGATTTGTGACCAGGAGCCACGAGTGACCTCTCACAATTGGCCGATAAAATCTTCATTTTTTTAAATATATATTAACTCGTGCTGCGTGTTGCGTGTTGCGGTAATTCTTGGTCACCCTGTAGATTCATAAGCCTGCCATAACTACTGCTTTATTTGCAGGAGTTTGATTTTTCATTTACGATAAAGACAAAGATATTTAATTTATCCTCAAAATTTCAAAAACTCAATTTCCCTAAAATGAATCGTTTTCTTTTCATCAACATTCTTTCTCGAGCGAGACATCTCACAATTGGCCGATAAAATCTTCATTTTTTTTTGCGATCATTTTTGCGATTTTCCAGTCAGTCTATTCCAAAAAGGTGAACGATCGAATTTTGCAGATTTTTCTGATAAAAGAGAGATTTGGCGCCAGATTTCGTTTAATAGAGTCGAGAATATCTTTTCAATCAATCAGTGAACAAACAACAAAAAAAAGACAGATTGCAGCTTGTAAAAATCCAGGCCAGAAACTGGCTTCTTCTTTTAGTTTGTTTGGAAAAAAAAAATACCACATTATTCGTGTGAGTAAATGTATTTTATTCGTTCTTTTTCATCGTTTCCCCTATTTTGTTCACTTTTTGATTAACTGTGGTGGGAATTTCAGTTTTTTTCATTCCACTATTACTTGTTTCCCCGTCTGATTCATTTTGTTCTTTCAACTAAATCGATGTTTTGTCTGGAAATCGTGCCAAAAGTCTTTTCTCGGAAAAAAACGGATGTTGAAATGTTTTTGACCAAAATAGAATAGAAGGAAAGGTTAGAAAGAAGAAAAATATTTAGAAAATTGATGAAAGGCAAAGTATCACAACCACAAACGTGGTGTGGCTTCTTTCCTTGTCTTGCCTGGTCTGCCTGTCTGTCTGAATTGATTTTACTGCAAGTCTGGCCCACGAAGTCTGGTCCACGAAGTCTGGCCCACGAAGTCTGGTCCACGAAGTCTGGCCCACGAAGTCTGGTCCACGAAGTCTGGCCCACGAAGTCTGGTCCACGAAGTCTGGCCCACGAAGTCTGGTCCACGAAGTCTGGTCCACGAAAAGCATCTATAAAACCAGAAGTCTGATCCTAGCTTTTAGAACATCCTTGGCCCTGATTTGACGTGACTGTTTGTACCAAAAAGTTCTTGTTCTAACAATGAGTTTATGTAATGTAATTTTGTTATGAAGTTTATGTAATTAACAATGTATTTAAACCAATACTCTCCATCTTTTGCACTTTATTTTATTGTATTTATTGTATAAACTTCGTTTAACCAACCACAATTTATCTGTTATCTGTATTGCTATCAAAAACATCGAGAAATTCAGCTCTAAAGTTGGACTCACAGTAGCCATTGTGAGTGTCACAGTTTAGGAACAGATTTGCTTAAAATCAAAGCTAGATTAGATTAGATTAGATCAGATCAAGGACAGATCAGACTCGGGAATGGACTAGAGGCACCGCAAGATCCCATAAAAGCGAAGAATCCTTTGCTGAAGTGTTTAAGTTTAACCAAATAACTTGCAAAACCGAATTCAAATAACGAGAGTGAAATGTGGAAGGATTCAGAATCAATTCTCTCATTCACAAACAAAATCGAAAGCAATAAACGAACACTGACTAAAAAAAGACGTGAAATGAACCCATTTTAACAATAACAATATTTGGAGAAGAGAAGCTATTCAGCCTTGGCTGAGTGTCTGAGAATTGAGTGGAATTTGTACTTTTCCGTGGTGGTTTTACTTTAAACTATCCTCAAGTGTAAATGGTTATTCAGCTGACTATTCAGCACACAAATCCAATTTTCAAACAGTCTTTAACTGTATCTTAATGTGTTAATAAGTAGTTCATGATGGGAACAACTTTTGGGGTAGGCTAATTTCCGCAATTTTTTTTGGCGCAACAGGGTCATTTGCATAACTGGATCGTTTGCGCAGCTCGCCATAACTTTCTTCGAAGTCGGCCAATCTTTATGATTTTGGGTTCATTTTGTTGCACTTATTGAGATATACAAAATGACACCAAAATCATAAGGATTGGCTTACTTAGAAGAAAGTTATGGCGAGTTGCGCAAAAAAAATTGCGGAATTTAGCCTACCCCCAACTTTTAAAATATTTTGGTACATTTGCGTTAAAGCTCCACAAAATTTGCATTTCAAAAACGGAAAAAAGAACCTCATTTGCAATAGATTCTCGCAAAATTTGCATACAAGAACTCAATCATCATTTGTCGAGTTACTTTGCGAAGTTTGCGAAGTGATCAGGATCGAAATGACAAATGACAATTTATTTCAATGGATTTTCAATCAAATTGTGCTGCAATGGTCTTCAGAAATCACTAATTTTACGTGTTTTTGTGATCGTTTTTAAAACTTAAGCTTTATGGGAATATAACGCAAATAATGTAGGCAAATTTTGTGGGGATATAAACAATATTTTCGTCAAAGTAAGTGATCCAGAGTGATACAGGTTTAACATCCGAAACTGGTTAACCCTGACCTTTGGCTAGGCAATTTTGTTCAATGTTCGTTGTTCAAAAGGTTTTGTTTTCTAAATTACATTAAAAATCAAGAGTGATACTTTCCTTTTATTAAGGAAATTCCCCATTTACTATCTAACAATAAAAAAATCTCTAAAATCTAATAGTATTTAAAGATATTTTATCTGTAGGTTAGAAATCCTTAGTTAAATATCTAATAAATTCCTCATTCTCCTCATTCTCCTCATTCTCCTCATTCTCCTCATTCTCCTCATTCTCCTCATTCTCCTCATTCTCCTCATTCTCCTCATTCTCCTCATTCTCCTCATTCTCCTCATTCTCCTCATTCTCCTCATTCTCCTCATTCTCCTCATTCTCCTCATTCTCCTCATTCTCCTCATTCTCCTCGTTCTCCTCATTCTCCTCATTCTCCTCATTCTCCTCATTCTCCTCATTCTCCTCATTCTCCTCATTCTCCTCATTCTCCACATCACCCATTTTCCAGTGTCCATTTTTTCAGAGTTTCACAATTTCCCTATGAATTTCCAAATCCCCGCTTTCCTTTTCCTATTTGCTGAAGGGGGAAGAGTCTGTGCTGTGTGTTTGGAGGGGATTGAGGGCAACCGACCAATCGATTCTCTCTTTCAAAGAAAAGAAAACCATCTCTATCTCTGAATCTCTTTTCAACTCACATATTTCATTGCAGAGATTCTTTGTCTCTTTTTCCTAAACTCTTCACATTTCTCTAACCCTTTCTCCTTTTTCTCAAAGTCTCCATCTTTTTGCTAAAATTTAGCACTTTTTCCTTTTCTCTCTTTCTCCCAATGTTTTTACACTTGGCTCCCTTGCACAGAAACTCCTTTTTCCGAGTTTCTCTAGAATTTCTCTACTCTCTAATTCGTATTCAGTCTAAGCCCTCGTATTTGTGCTATTTCTAAATCTTGCAGTAAAAGAGGGAAAAGAGAAAGGAAAGAAGGAAGAGTTGGGACTGAAATTGATTGTTGACTGGGGGGAGAGGGGGGTGACCCTTCCCTAGAGATAGCCCTTTCACTATACAAACCGTGGTACACGTGGAACTCTTCCCCTCTTGCCCTTGGACTGTTGATGGCTTAAAATCTTTCCGTCTTCTCCCGACAAAAATCTTTATTGCCTCCTTGGCAACAATTCAAAATTTGACGTGGAAAATCGTTCATTGCATTGAATTCATTGCATTGCATTGCATTCATTGCAAGAGTTGGAGAAAATTTTATTGATATACTGCTAGAATATAGTTCCGGGTCGTATTTTGATGACTAAAAACCTTGAGGTTAAAACGGGCAACACAAAACTAAAGCTGAAGTTAAAGCTGAAGCTAAAGCTTTAAACAAAAGCTGTCTAGGCTGAAGAGTAGACCCAATGGTAAACCTTAGACTTAGGCGTAGCGCTAGTCCGGAAAAAAAAGCTTAAGACTTATTTTAAGAATTCCATCAGTTCTGAAAATATTTCGAGATATATCCAGTTCAAGCTTTAGCTCAAAATGGCCATATTTTCAACACTGAATTTGAAATTGAAATTTTCAAAGCAAAGCTTAACTTTGCAGTCTAAATATGCAAAGTTTTACGTCAAACTGTCAAACTATATTCACTCAACGATCAAGAACAACCATTTTCACTTTTTCATTTGAAATTTTCCCCATAGCCATCAGCCGAACTCTCAAATGATTGCTGAAATCAAAAATTTGGGCATAGATTTGCCTAGGGATTTCAGATTCGTTGATTTATGATTCTTTCAGGCTTTCACTTCTCTGTATATTTTTTTTGACAACTCCCTGTAATCATGCGAGATGAATAAAGCAGGTGGAAACGAGATGGGGGCAGGGTGAAAACCCTGTGAAATTAATTTAACGGCAGAGAGGGGAGAGCTAGCCCAGAAAATTGGGACAAGCTGTTGGGAGTGAAATCTGTGTTTACACTGTTGTTGTTAACAAGATGATTCTGAAATGATCTGGACGAAGATGTTGAAGAAGGAGGAGAAGGCAGCCGATCACTGGGTGAGCATCCGATAGAAATGGGGATAGGTGGGGATGGATGGGTGGGAAGGGATGGATGGACGCGGGAAAGGGACGCGTCGCGGTGAGTCCCGCCCATTCTTGGAGGAGAGGTCATAGGTGGAGAAAGGAGAGGAGAGATCAATGGGGAAATGGAGAGATCGAGGAAGAATGGATAGGGGAATGGGGCAGATGAATGGAATGGAACGAAACGAATGTTCAGGGTTTATGGATGAGAGAAAATAACTTTAGACTTGGCAGAGATTGGGACACGTGAAAAGAAAAGAGAGAAAGAAAAGAGAAAGTAAAGAGAAAGAAAAGGGAAAAGAGTAGCACAAGAGAAAGAACAATCAAGAAAATAGAGATTAAAGAGACACAAGTGGATAGAGAAACGTCAGAAATGCTGTTAGTCTTGAGAATTGCTGGAGACACAGAGGAAAAAGGGTCAAGAAAGGTTTGATTTAGGTGTAAAAATGTGGAAAGAAATATAAAGGATTTGAAGAGAATCTAGAGAAAATGAGAAAATTGGCAGCTGATGGGATGGATGAGGGATAGGAGAAAGGGGGACGGAGGAGCGGCGAGCGGCGTCGCTATGCCGCTCCCCCCTTTCCCCTCAACAACACAGCTTTCCCCCTTCCCGATCTTTTCCTTCTTCTTCTCCACCTCTTTTTCCTATATCGAGGGACCAACCCTTTATGGAGTTGGCCAAGGTTCTTTGGGGGTTCATTTTGGTGCATTGGTACTGCAGCTTTAAGAATTTCCCCAATCCAAGTTTCCAAAAGCCCTTGTTCACATTTCTTTTAATGTAGAAATAGTAGATTTCTTTCGTAATTTTCTCTTTTAAGCTTTTAAACGAATTCTTTTGGTAGAAATCTGTTTGTTTCTTTTATTATAGATCCTTTGTCAAGTTCGATCTCGATTTCAACTACCTTAAAAGCTTAGATTCATTTCAAATCTTATAGAAAATATATTTTTTTTAATTTTATGGCTATTTTATGGCTTTTCTTAGAATTTTATAGTATTTTTCTATTTCTATTTTCATTGAAAATCAATTGATCAATCGAAAATCAATCGATCTTTTCTTTTGAAAAAGTTTTGATTGCTTTTGATTCCTCGATGGCTTCTGGCATTTTGCCAGAATACAGATTGTGCATTAATTGTCTTTCATTTCATTCATATTGCAAAGAAAGGAAATTTCTGATCAACAATTATCAATTTTTCAGAATTGGCTTCGAAAAAATTGCCATTGGCAAGCAATTATTTAAACAAAAGGATAAATGATGAAGTGATGAAAATTGGGAATTGAAGAAATTCGACAACTAAATCATAAGCTTCTTGCAATTCCTGAAGATCTAATATTTTCGAAAGATGTCGATGATGGCAAGTCCACCGATTGCTGTCGATCATCACACGGGATTGCGCACTTCACAAAGGGAATCCCGTCACGTACACGTTTCTTCTTTACCCGATCACATCAACGAGGACCACGTCAATGCTCATTTTTCAAAGTAAGTAAGCGACGGAGATGGGGTTAAGTTTGAAAATTTGCATTTAAAATAAGATAAGGAAAGGCTTAGAATAGGAAATTTGTTTAAAATTTTGTTGAAAACTATTTTACTGATCGTTTTTACTATTTCAAGTTGCTGCGTTTTAGATTTGAATTTTGGAAATTGGGCTAAGGCGTCGAACAAGTTTAATTCTAGATTTTAATCACAGCTAGCTTTAGCTTCAAATTCTAGTTTTTGAAAAGCAAATCCAGTTAGCTTTAGCTTTAGCTTCATTGGCTTAAATCTTGTAGATCATTGTAGTTTAAATTATTTACAATGATTTACAAGATTGTCTCTTTCATTGTAAATAATTTTTGAGCACTCTTTGTGAAGCTCATTTGATGCTTTTTGAAATACATCAAAATATGCAAATTTCTTGAAAGCTGTTAATTTAATTTGTGTACTTAAGTTTAAGAGGAACTTTAAAGCATTCCCCAGATATGGAGCGTTTACAGAAAGAAAAATTCATCCTCGTCCCAGTGCACATTTATGTTTCATTATCTTCCAAAAACCCAAAAAACGATTCCATTTTTTCAAAAGCATTTTCCTTTTTGATAGTTCCTTTCTATTTGTACTAAAATTGTCCAAATTTAGCCTTCTCCCAAAAAAAGATGTCACAATTTACGATCATTTGAATTTGATCCAAAAAAGGGGAAATCCCCGGGGAGAGGTTAGCGAAAAAAATCGTTGAAAGGCTATAGAAAAAGGTGGAAATTTTATAATAATAGAAAAAGAAATGTCTCGTGAATATTTTGAATCCCAAAAAAGGTTAATCAATAGAATCAGTTGGATGGGATAAAATGGATCGAAAATGGTCAAACTTTCTGCGCGTTTTTTCGTTGTTTGTTGGGTGGGGAGAATCGAAAATCTTTTGGGAAATCGAAAATTTTCGGGGAAAACGGAGGGTAAACGATATGGAAATGGTTTGGATGGGAAAATTGGCGATGAGCCGATTTGTAAGGATATCATCCCTTTTAAGGGATCGCTGAATATCTTTAAAGCTTTAAAGCTTGTTGAAGCTCTTAATCTTGACTACATTTCTCTATTAGAAGTTTTGTCATTGGAGATGTGCAACTCATTTTACAAGCTCTTGAATGAGTATTAGGTAGTTTGAGTACTAGTTGATCCATTCTAACTGGGAAGTTGATCCATTCTAACTGGGAAGTTGATTCAATCCAACTAGTACTCATTCAAGAGCTTGTAAAATGAGTTATATATCTCCAATCGGGAAACTTTTAATAGATAAATGTAGCCAAGATTAAGGGCTTCAATATTTTAAATAACACAACATACTAGGATTCAACCTTGACGCTTGGGATTTACCAAAAAGAACGCAAATACTGAGTAGAGGTTCCTGATCCAACTCCACATGCCAATCATTTAGGATTCCTAGCTCAATTTATAACAAGATCTCAACAAAACATCATAAGCATGTATACAAGAAACTTTTCTTGACCTAAACAAAAAAAGAATTAAGGTCATTAGATAGCTTTAGGAAAAGCTATAAAAGTTATTCTTCACTGCTGTTCTTCATTTGTATTTCATTTTTTCAATTTCAGATTCGGTCGGGTGCAGAAAGTGGAGCGAGTCGTTGATGGGTTCATTGTTTCATTTATGGATGTTGGATGTGCCCGAAAGGCCAACTCGACCGAGCAACGTTTAGACGGATTTTCATACAAAATCTCCTTTCACGATCACTCGAAAAGGTGTTTAAATTAGGAGAATTTCGGGTTTATGGTTGGGGAAATGGATTCATTTTTTGGTAGTTAAGTTCGTTTAGTTACCCGACCTGTTTATAGTATTCGGCCAATCCCTTAGGATCAGCTGCTTTGGTAATTTTATACCACAAATTTAGCATTGATCCTCCGGAAATTAAATGTTTAGTTTATTTCTCAGGATTTCACTTGGAAATCAACGGAAATCAGTTTTAATTAGAGTCATTTAACGCTTTTTCGAAAAAGTGAAGCACTTTGAAAAAAAACTAGCGTATCATTTCCTTCAGATTTTCCCGTTCTACTCAATTTTGATTCCATTCAATTCATCGTTTATTTCCTCATCGAATAAGATCTAAATTAAGTGTATCAAACAAAATTTAAAGCAAAGATTATGGCAGTTTTCTTCGATATTCATTTTTTTAGAAAAAGGCACAGCTAGAAAGGAAAGCACACTAGTTTTAATTAGACCAGTATTGGCCAGATCATTTCCAAATGATCTGGCTAATACTGGATTCATTCTTTAATTCATTATTTAATTCAAAAAGCAGAATCTAAAGGAAAACTAGTAACACAAGCCGGCAAAGACGCCCGTTCCAAAAGATCCAAAATTCGAAATCTATGTGTAAAAGGATCATTTTGAAAGCTGACCAATCCCTTTAACCTCTTTCGATTTCCTTTCTCCAATGACCAAACTCTTCTTTACACAATCTTTCCCTCTTTTTCCTTTTTCTTTCGAAAGTTTTCTGTTCCCGAATGTCTCCACAACTGTCGCCATTAACTCATCACATTTCTTTTGAGGCAAAATTTTCTAGGCAGGAAGTTGTAAGGCTTAAAAAAGGATCAATAACTTATTATGTTCAATGAATGACACAGTAACTAGTATAGGGTAGATTTTGAGGATAATTCTCGGACATTTACATTCTCGGAGCAGGTAGAGCTTGGGTATCAAGTGGTTTTCCAAAAGCTTTTTGAGTCCTTATGAGTCTGTCAATAGTTGCTTGTAGTTAAAGATTCGAATTCACCAATTTTTCTTTCCCTTTTCTCTAATTACTCTTGAAATTTTCCAAAAAAATCGATTTCGATTTGTAGATTTGTAGAAATCGATTTGTAAGCAATTTCGAGCCACCAAAATTCTCCAAAAAATGATTGTAAGATCTGGCTATCTGGATCTGGCAAACGCGTAAGATCTGGCTCAATTTTCTTGTAGTATCGCCCGAAAAATGAAGAATTAAGTACACCAGAAAGGGTATAATTCCGATTTTTTGAAGTACTTTCCGTTGAAGTAGTTTTTCCGATTTTCCGAAGTACACTCATTCCGTTTTGCGTTCATCAAAATGCGTAAACGCATTTTCTTAGGGCATTGGGTTCAAGCAATGCTAGATAGAATATTTTTTTCCAATTTTTACGCAAAGTACACAAGCAAAACTTTTAGCGCTGATGGACTAGAGTGTAAACAATAAAGTAGCAACTAATGGGGGTAGGGATTTTCACAAACCATTCACCCAATTTCGTTTCGAACTCGAGTTTTTCGGCAATCGATCTCAAATCTCCGCGAAATTGCGCATTTTTTAGCTCAGCTAATTTTTTTTTTAAAAGGATTTTGGCAAGGATTTCTCCTTTCTTCAATTTTCTTGACCTTTTCTCCAAGTGACTCGTGTTTTTTTTCAACAGAAAACTAGGGGAAAAGACGAGCTATTTTTTATGCCCAAGGGCTTTTCGGGAAGAGTCAGAAAGGGGTGACCCATATTTGAACTGAAATTCTCTTGAATGAGAAAAAAGATGAAGAAAAAAAGGGGAGGGGGGAAGAGTGGAAGAAGAGCACAAACAGATCATACACAAAAGTTCCATGAGTGTTGGGTTTTTATTTGAAAAGTTAAGGTCTAGATGTTGTTTTTAAAGCTTGAACGATCCTTTGGTTGGTTATACGAATTTTGGCCTTCTAAATCAAGGCTAAGAGCCTTATTTGGCCCTTAGCCTTGATTTTCGTATGCAATTTTCTATACAGAAATTCACTGTAGAAAGTTGGTACTTGTTTATACCTAGCTTTACCTCAATGGTCAACTTTTTTTGTTTAGAAATCTTTGTTTAGAAATGTTTACCTGGTTTTTGTTTAGAAATCTTTGAATACTGTGATCGTAGTATTGTACTTTTCAAGTCTAGAATTGAGAATTGATTAGATAGGCCTAGCCTAGAGCTGGTAAAGCTGAGCCAACTTACGTACACGTAAGTGTACGTAAGTTGGCGTACATCAATGATTTTCAGAGAATAATGATTAATGACTTAAAATTGTACTAACTCTAGAAGAACCTTTTAAGCGAAATATCCCTGTTGTAGTGTAACTTAAGTGACTTTAACTAGCTTCATTCTTCTTGAAATCTTAAAATTCTATTCAACTTTTTTCTTTTTTCAAAAAAAACATTCGACTCAAAACAAGCCATGATTTCCGGTGATTCGGCCCAATTTTTCTAGCGGGAAACCCCTTTAAATAATTTTTTTTCGAAAGTGCAAATGCGAATTAGGCTTCTTTTGAGGGGAAAAGACAACAAATACATTTCTTTTCTCTTTCGTTTTTCCCTTTTCCGAATCCTTGAGCTCTAATTTAGCCACTCTCTTACCCTGAAGAGTCTTTTTCTTTGGTTCATTCTATGATTCACTCTTAATACGTAAAAGAATCTCTCTAGTTTCTTTCTTCTTTTTGAGGACATTTTCGGATAATGACCCTTGGAAAGGGATATGGTTTTTGAACGGAAAAAGGGAAAAGATGACAAATCTTTGAGTAAAGGATTCGATAAGTAAGCTGAGATCTAGATTTTGCGATTCAAAATATTTACTAAATAGCTTCAGTTCTAGAATTGATCAGGTCTAGAATTTAGAATTGATTAGATAAGCCTAGCCTAGAGCTGGCAAAGCTGAGCCAACCCTAAAAATAAGGAAGGAGATCTGTGCTTCTCGACCCTAGCCCTCCTCCAATCCACCCCTTACCCCACCCGATCTCCCTTCAACTTCCGGACTGACTGTTCCTTCTTCTCATTCTTTCATTCACTTCTTTAACCCTTCCCCCCTTTCTCAAACCCCATTGACCCATCAAGTCTCGACACACGCCACGCATACACGTGAAGTCTTTCGAGAGTGGAGCTAAAGAAGAAGAAAAAGAAGACTGCAGCGAACTCTGAGCTCTCCTTTTAACCACAAAACAGTTCCTCTTTCACATTCACTGACCACTATTTTTGGAAACGATTCTTTGAGCGTAGAATTTAGTATTATAGCCCAGCATTATTTAGATTTAGTATTCCAATCGAACCTCAACTTAGGCTAAGCTAGAACCAGGCCTAGGAATTTTGTGGTCAGTTTTAAACTAAATCTAGCAAAATGTGCCTTTGGACCAAGACACTTATCCTGTTGCTTTTAAAATTTTTCAAAATCAATCCTGACTTCTGCCGATGCCTTGCAAGCTCTAAGGATCAGTTGGAAATGCACTTGTTCTTGTTGGAAATGTTCTTGGCGATGAATGGGTTTATCCTTTTGTCTAATTCTATTCTCTATGTAATTTTTTTTTTACCATTTTTGCTTTATTGATGCTAATGACTCAAATATTGAAATGAGAAAACGTTTTTTATGCCCCTTTTTTCCTTTTTTCGCATAGCATTACGTCGTCTCACCGTTTTCCCCAATCGATTTTCTATACAGACATTTCCAAGACTTTTTTTGCGATTTCGTAAGCTGAAAATACTACTTATTTATAAAGAAATTTCAAAATTTCAAAATTTTAGCTCGGTGATGACCTCGGCGGCGTCGATGTCGAGTCCTCGGGGGTCGAGCTCGAGTGTCGAGGGGATAAAGAGAGCCGAGAGTCCGCATCGATCAAAAGAAATACAAAGGTTGGATTTAGAAGAGAACGATTAGAACTATTAAATAGTTATCTAAGACAACATTACATTCAATACTTTAGGTCACAAGGCGCTCAAAATTCTCGCTATTCGACCTCTTCCCCATCGACATCAACGGGGAAACGAGGCGAGCCGGAGAGGAGGAGAGAATCCACGAGTACGAGAAAGATTGAAAGGTATAATGATTATATTTTGATATAAGATAAAAGAATGCGGTAATGAATTGAAAATACTTTAAGAATTACGACTAGAAAACTGTTAGGCTCTTCGTTTTCCAACCCTTATCCTATCCAAAACTCGTATTAAGCTAATATTTTGTCTTGCAATGTTGCTAGATCGTTTTATGGATTCATTAGACTGGTGTAGGAGATCTTAACGACCTAACTAAGTCTTCTAATTAAGTAGAAAAATTGGTTATTGATTTGATGGCAAACAAGGCTTGATTGAGACCCAATTTTCTAGATCAAGTTATGGCTTGGCTTGGCTTTGGCTCAGCTTTTAACTTTTTCATCCATCACTGGTGGAAAGTATACTAATAGAGGTACTAATTGTAAGTACTAATCATTTCCTGATATTCTGCTATGATGTTGTTGATGCGTTAGGGAAAAGAAGGGAGGAGTGGTCAGAAGAACTCTCAGCTGAGTGAGGGGAATCTCTATTCTCATCTCCATCTCATCTCTATTCCCATAGAAAGGCGATCGTGTGTTTGTCTCCGTCGAAGCAGTCCTTATGGGTCAACTAAAGGGGAAAAGAAAGAAAAGAAGGCCTACTGAATTCTAAGTGAAGAGAAACACAGCTCTATTTGGAGGCAATTCCCCTCAACAACAAATCCCCGGTGTGACAACACTACACAAATATTGGTTGACTGAGAGGTAAAGGGATCTCGTTAGGGATTGCGAGTGAGTCATTGGATAATTTGGCTTCAACGATTTTGAGTTGCAAGCGTGATTTCTGAGGGTTTGATTGATTTGATTGATCAAGATTGATTTTTGACTTACAAGATTCACTGCCAATTACCACCATAGTGTAGGGCTAAATACTAGTTCTATACGAGTAACATAGGAATGGTTCAATGATTTCACCGGAAAAATTCAACCGAGCTCTAGGACCTATAAGGCAAGCCTGTAATTCAGGCCAAGCCAGATCCATGTCTAGCTTTTGCTTTTGACTTTTGTTGACGAGACTTTTGTTGATCAGATCTGCAGCAAAGCCAAGTAGGCAAAGCTCTGGCTCCTCGGAAACTTAGCCTTGAAGTAACCAGAAACAATGGCTATGGAGTTGGATAAAAAACAATACATATATTCTAGTGGACGCAGTGTGATACAACAGCTTTTTGATACCATTTTTAACAGATCTCTGATACCATCACAGATCAACTATTCAAAACTCTATCCAGATAACCGTTTTCTCTGCTCTTTATGCAAATCTCTCTCTCTTTTTTTCCCCAAATGACGTGTATTTGGGTCATTGCCCTAATGGAAAAGATATAGATCGGATAGGAGAAAAAGAAGGGAAAAAAAGGAAGACAATGAGCATAATTTGTCCCTTTCTTGATGTCTAAAATTAGGGTTTGTGACAAGAAAAGATAAATAAGATCTCTCACTTTTGTGTGAACAATCTTTCTTCTCTTTTTATACACTAAGGACTCAAGGTCATCAGATTTGTTTATGAGAAGAACTGATTGAGAAATTTTGAGTGTCAGGGGTTTTTGTGGTTATTAAAATTTAACAAGTAACTCTTGTAATTTTCAAAGAGTTAGTTTCACTCAAAAATTCCAAAATTTCTTTCTTGACTAGATCAGTTGAGTACAGTACTAGTTCGTAGCTATTTTACAGTACTTTGTACTATGCAGGCTAAGTAATTCAAGTTTTTGTTTGTCTAATTTCATTAAGCTTCAAAATTTAGCACCATTCGCTCTCCCGCGGACCTCTCTGGACTCAGCTCGACGACACAAGGATTGCAGGTTAACTATTAAATAATAGAATGATAATTATCTAAATATATAGATGAAAAATAGATCTAATTATCTTTATATATCTAATTTTAAATATCAATTGCTATTTCTAATTTTATCTATATCTATACAAATCTCAGGGTGTCTACCTGGAACGTTTACCCAATCGAAGCGAGCATTCTTTACGGTCGGCGATCATCGAAGCTTTGAAGAGGTGATTTCATGGAGATTATATTTGATAACTGAATAACGAATATATTCATTATACTGTAATTATCCAATTCTAGATACGGTCGAGCGTTTCACATTCAATTCGACGGAAGCGGTGATGAGCGTCGAGCCATTGTGCTATTCAATAGGTACCTTTTTAAGCCCTAATTTCAAGAATTATATAATATCAAATATTTAGAAGCTCACGATACAGATATAGGTATACAAGATTTAGATTTGCTTCTTTGATTTACGAAAAATTCAGTCTTCAACTCTTGTTTCTAGGGTTTCTGATTTGGATCGACTGCAGAGTGAAACAATTCAAGTATTGGGTGCTAGAGTCAAATTGCGATTGGCGAATCATGTGGCTGTTTCGGAGGCGAATAATGCCTACTTAATGGTTTGTTGAATTTTATTCAATTTCTATTTATTGATTGTACAATAGCTGAATATCTTCTAATCTAAGTATGAATTCGCAATTCACGGTCGGTACTTTGTGTTTTGTGAAACGCGTGCTTTCTGGCACACTAAAGTCGCGGAGATCTTTTGAAAAAGGAGAACTTAGTATGCCAGAAGACGTGCGTTTGCTGGAATGCAAGGTACACACGACGATTTCAGCAGAGAAACTGTTTTGAACTCGGAAATTTAGGCGAACTCGGCGATAGCCTCGGGAACCCAGATGGACATCTCAGCGTCTACATTAACCACGACAGCCGAGCTGCCCGCAAAATATTCGAGTCATAACGGAAACGGAAAAGAGCCGGAAAGGCCACTTTCAGCTGGATCCGGTGGAGAAGTTGATGTCTTTCATAATAAGGTTTGTTAAAGCAAAAAGCTATCGAAGTTGCTCTCCGGGAATTCCGAACTTGCTTCTGATTGATAAATCTAAAAATATTCTAGCTGAATAGTTGAGTTTTTTTACTTTATACGCATCAGGGTATTCAGGCAAGTCGAACTCTTTACGTCGGCGGGTTGGAATCGAAAATCTCTGACGAAACGCTCAGGAAACGATTTAGATGTTTTGGGAGGTGAGAGTTGAAAAAGATTTACTGTAAAAATCTAAAATCTTATGAATATGAATCCCTTTTTCACATTCAATATACTAAAAAATATGAATCTCTTTTAGTATATTGGATGTCGATGTGAAAAACTACGAGTCTCCATCTCCATTCGCTTTCATTCAATTCTCCGATATTTTCTCGACTGTTCGAGCAATCAATCATCACGCGAATTTACCGGTTGCGAATAAAAAGGCAAAGGTTTGTGAGAAGATTTGGTATTGAATATATTATTTATATAAATTACTGGATACTGAAGCCAAAAGCCTGGCCTAGAAATGCCCAGGTCCAGGCCTAGCCTGACAGGGTGCTTAAGAACCATTACCTGTTCCAGGCCTTGCCTGACAGGGTGCTTAAGAACCTGTTCCAGTAATCATGTAGAACTTGGAAATATCTAGATATCTAAATTATCTAGATATATTGCTATAAAATTATCGTATTTTAGAAATTTCAACCCTTCTTCGGGCGATCGATGCAAACGAACAAGCTGTGGGTGGGCGGCATTCCGCCGAACGCCTCCGAGGAATACGTGCAACAGAAATTAAGCGCCCTCGACGGAGCGAATAATGTCATTTTTGATATAAAAGTCGGTAGATTATCTAGATATTTATTTATTAATAATATCAAAATTTATTATCTAACAAAGTTTAGACCCGCGAAGCTCTCGTCGTCTTCCAAGGTCCTGAGATTGCCCAAGCCGCTCTCAATAAAATCCGAAACAACGGACCAAAACCCTTGTACGTTTTTAAAATTATTTAATTACCTACTAGATTTTTTATACTTTTTCAAATCGTTAAGCATTTTCTTAATTACCAGCTCTTTTTTCTTAAGTTTTCCAATAATTATGAAGTTTTCGAAGCAATGACTAGTTTTGAGTTGAAAAAATTGAAAAACTATAGCTAACTATAGCAAACTGAATGTTTTGATCAAAAATGGATAACATTTAAGCCCTGTATATCGATTTATCAAATAGTATTCTTGCTTGACTCAACTCTGCAGGCAGCCCTGAGAAACTTAGCAGCTTAGATAGTCGATATGATGACGTGTAGCGGGACAAAATGTGGGGGAACATGTAAGGAAGCCAAAAAAAGGAGTGGACGTTGATGAGACTGGAGGAGCGCCGATAGAGTGGTCCTCAAAAAGGGGCCCAGGCAGCTCTGAGGAGGGGCGGGGACCATGAGGCCCTCACCGGCCACTCCTAGACCACTGGCCACCGCTTCAGCTTACCCCGGTCTCCAGGCCCGTTCCCTTTCTCCTCCTTTCCCACTTCTCCTCATCTCACCCTTTATTTCCATCGTTCCATCCATATACGGAACACGTGGCCACCTCTCACTCACCCCTCTCACCCACTCCTCCCACCCCTCGGGGCCCCTCATCTCCTACATTCAATCCCTAGCTTCTTTTTAGTCATTTCGCAATGTAATTAGTTTTTGTAGGGTAATCCCTGGATCTTATCAGCTTAGAGGCTCGAATTTAATCAACAGGTCTACAAGGATCATCTTTTGCTGGACTTGAACATTTCCTGGATCCTAGTCTTATATTAACACTCATTGAGTTGGGTCTACTACATTTTCTATACTTTTTCTTCTTGAGTTGAGTCTTAGAAGCTGGTATTTAGTTAACAGAATCATTTCCCAACTCTATTACTAAAATTTAGTTAACAGGTCTAGGAGGATCATTTGCTTCAACCTTCTTATTATACAGTATTTGTTCAATAGCCTATTAAACGTAATGCTGTTAAAATATAAAATTCGGTGAGAAAACGATTTGGGGTCTTTGTTCTTGAGGGTGGAAAAGTGCAAGAGTTGGCCTTTTTGCATAGAATGGCAGCAGGGGGTCGTTACTTGGCTGTTCCCTTGCCTTGTCTCTCCCATATCCTTCCCCGTCACAGATGGGGGTCATCTCGCATTCACACTCTCACACACAGACAGACAGACACAAGAAACCCCTTTCCCCTTCATTTCCTTAGCCTGTGTGTGGCATTTCCTTTAGTTTCTCGAGCATTTCTATTCCGTGGCCTAGTTGAGCTTGTTAGAGCTTTTTGCTAGGTAGGCTAAATATTTGGGTACATATGCCTTTCCTTGAAGCTGAGTTGGTTATTTTTTTAGGCTTAATTTACCATTGATGCCATGAGTTTATAAGCAGATTTGCACTATTTATAGATTTGCCTAATATTTTGTACTTGTTTTTACTGTATTTGATATTTCTATCTAGTAATTGTCACACTAAAATGTCTAATGGATCCTGTTTTTACATGGAAATTCTTTACCTTTTATACGACTTAAGCTGAACCAGCGCTTTCCTATGCACCCAGTAACCGCGATCACTACAATTCCATGTCAATCCTTTACATTGTCTAATGCCTAGGTGCTTTCAGCTCAACCTTTTTGCAGCTTAAAAATCAGCCTTTTTTAAGCTCAAAACGCCCAGCAACCTTACAATTAGATGTTAGTCATCCACGTAAATCCCACTCCCATTAGACATGAGAAATTTCCAACCCGAATCCAATTCCATCTTCATTTTCTCGACCGTTTCTTCGCGGATTACTCTGAAATTTTGTCTACAAGCTGAAAATGTCGATTTCTATCTGTAGACAAAATTTCAAAGTAATCGGTCAAGAAAACAAAGGTGGAATTAGGTTCGGATTGAATTTTCCCATGTCTACCCTTCATCCCCTTGGCCTAATGGACTTGCATCAAGGGATCCTCATCGATTCACCCCTAGTAACCCAGTCCGCCTTTTTTTCTCCTTTTGTACACCCACTCATCCTACGTGTCATTTAGCATTTCTAAATCTTTTTGACTGGCTGCTCATTTCTTTTAAGTACCGTGTATTTTTAAGCTTTTAGATTCAGGCCTATGTTTAGTTTGGCCTATTTTCAGTTAGCCTTAAAATCTCTTCAAGCATTCGACAACAGTTTTAGACGCATTTTTAGATAATAATATAATATAGCAATAAACAAAACAAATTTAAATTTCAAATTTTTTCAGCACCTTCAAAGACGGGAGTGGTGAGGCCCGAGTGCCCGCCGACTTTTGCTCGGATCGGTTGCACGATTTTTTCATCGATCGAAAACATAGTCAGGTTGGAGAAAAAGAAAAAAAAAGTACTAAATCCGGCATAAAGCAATACTGGAATTCAGTTTTGTGCTAGATTTAAAGTTTCTGTGTCTAGACGAACCGGTCGGTATCGATTTAAAAAAGCGCTAGTTGGTCCGATTGAACGTCTACCATTCTCAGAGTTCCAATCAGTACCAGCCGGTTGGTTTAGGCTGTTTAAAGTAGTAAAAAATATCTATTAGATAAATGAAACATAATCATTTTAGCTTCGTTCCTCCACCTCACCCCATCCTGCGTCAAATCATTCGGAGGGGAGTCTCCCCGATCGTGTCCTCACACCGCCACCGAATCCACCACCATATCTTGGCGGCCTTTCAGCACAGGGACAAGAAATGCCATCGTGAGTTTTACATTTCAAAAAGATATCCAAAAATTTCCATTTTTTATTTTGAATCCTAAATCAAAGATCGTTTAGCAGTCGAAAGCTCAAAGCAATATTGATTCTGGCATTTGTTTTTAGATTAAAGTCCAGACTTTCCATATTGAATCAGCTATTGAAATCGTTTAAAGAATCATTGAAATTGTTTAAAACGATATTTTCAAAAAATCTATGATATAATCATTGCTAGAATCATTGTGCATTGCTGATTGATCATTGTTAGAATCGACTAGAAAGATTTCCATTAAGAGTTGAGTAGAAAGAACTATTGCTATAAGTCGAGAAGTTTCGTCATAGCATTCATTCCGTTCATTCTTCGACCTTGTGTGCCTAGGCAAAATTTCCATCAATAATGACCAAGAATGGCCATTGTGGGTGAGAAAAGGGGAGGGGGGTTGGCGCCCGTTTCGCTGTCTATCCCTCTCGCCTCTCGCCTCTCCCCCTCAGCCTCTCCTCCTCCAAATATCGATTGTCTATTTCCAGGCAGCCCTTTACCCTTTTTCCTCTTCTCACTAATGAACTCTCTTTTAGTCTTAACCAAAAAAAAATTCATAATTCGTTTCGTAAAAAATGCGACACGCGATCTTGTTTCACGTTTTTCCAGGAAAATTACTCGCTATGGGTGGAGAGAAATTAAAATTTCCGACACCTATCGGGAATTCGTTTGTGAGAAAATTTTGAGATGAGGGATTAGAATTCGAGAGGATTTAATTAAAGGAAAAGAGTTTAGGGAAAAGTGAAGGGAAAATGGGTGTAGTGATGAATTGAATAAAATGATAAGAATAGGATTCTGGAAAAATGATAATAAAATGATGATAATAATAAAATGATAAAAATGAAAAAGAAAAGAAAATAATAATGAATCTCAAGCCAAAAGCTCTAGTAGCAAAAAAAATCTAAACAATATTTTGATAAATGCAAATTTACAGGTATATCTCCTCACGTGATTATCACCGATCATCGGATTCGTTGAGAAGAGATGGACGGGGATCGATCTCACAAAAAAGACGGGAAAGATCGAGATCGAGAGATCGACAATCGAGAAGGGAACGAATAAAGCCACAAAGCAGACAGCCAAGACAAAGGACAAGGAGAAGTCGATCCAGAGGAGGCAATAGGAGGTGAGGAACCAGTTCAAGTACAATGAAATTGAAAGCTTCTTTATCATTGACTCTAGAAGTTATTCTTAATCAAAACAAAAATAAAGACAAATACGACCGAATCTCGTTTCTAAGCTATGGAAAGCTCCTGAGAAATTGATTTGCCAAATTACATAATTCTAAAAACGGCTAAGGAGATAGATTATTTCACTAACTATAAGATATTGTATATGAAAATTCATGGACTCCTTTTCAGTGGATCATCATCTTCTTCATCTGAAAGCCGAAAAACATACGAGAGTTTCTCCTCATCGAGCTCAGCTGATAGCCGTTATCGACGAGATCGAGATCGGCGCTCGAATGGAAATCACGGGACAACGAAAAGAAAAGACAATGATCGAAAGTACACGAAAGAACAAGAGGAACGACCGAATAAAATAAAGGAAGCCGAACATGTAGGTGCTTTCGAGTAGACATAGGCACTACAAACTACAAACGTAAACTATAAACGCTTCTAATTTGCTTTAAATCTGTCGGATTTATATGATCTATAGCTCAAAAAATAGAGAATCTCAAGAGCTTTTTGAATGCCCTAAATTGCACTTAAAAATATCAATGATAAAGAAAGTTACAATGGTTTTTAGTCCTGGCTCGAAACAGACCATACTCGCGCGTAGTCAGGCTTCAAACCACTGTAACTTTCTTTAGCATTGATATTTTTAAGTGTGATTTAATCCATTCAAAAAGCTCTTGAGATTCTCTATTTTTTTGAGCTATAGATCATATCAATCCGACAGATTTAAAGCATATTAGAAGCGTTTGTAGTGTGAAAGTTCGTCATTTTTGTAGTTTATAGTGCTCAGGTCTAGTTTGAAGGGAATGAAATGGAAGGCGATTTTGGCTGAAAGTGAATTGGGATTTTGGTTTCGAAGAGACCAAAATAAGTCGAAGAACTGAATTAAAAATTATTCAGTTAAGGCTTTCTGTATGTTTTCAAAACCGAATTCCAAAGCATTCGCCAAAATTGGTTTGGCCCTATTTGGCGAAATCTAGAGTCAAAAATCTTCAAGTTCACCTGGGAAATTGACAAAATTTGGTTTTCTCGAATATCTTAAGCATATTCTAGCATAGCAAGCAAAAGATATTCAGTTATTTAACCATTTTTGTCGTTTTTTTCTTCGGGTTTTGGTCCATAGGCACATCTCGTAGTTCCATTTAATTTTTAAGCTAGGCTAAGCATGGGGTTAAAGTTCTTCGTGTCTGTGATAATCTTTTCATTTTTTTTTTCATCAGGATTTCGGAATGTTTTTCCCAAAACGAAGCACATCATTCCAAAAAAATCAATTCAACAAGCACGCTGAGCATTCAACAAACAAAAGAGTTGTGAGTTCCATTTATTTTCCAACACACGCTTTTCAAATCCCAAAAACATTATCCCCAATGTAAGTCCGTCCTGATCGAAAAAAAAGTGTACAAGGAACGGTTAAAGATTTTTGATTTTAGGCTCGAGAGAAGGAGATGGTCCGATCGGCGGATAGTGGATTTGGAGAAGAGACAGCACTGTTGCCCCCACCGCCGCCGCCAGCTCCATCACCCCCGCCACCACCTCCACCAACGATTCTATCATTTCCATCGACTTCTTCGGCGACAAGGGATCCAGAGGGGATAAGCTTAAAGGTGAATCGTTTGCAGATACCGTTTTTCCCTAATAGTAGTGCACCGAGCCTAGTTGATGACTATTTTACGGTTTTCAAGTTTTCACAGAAGCTCAGCACTCTAATCCCCACTCATCGTCAGCTACATTTTCCGACCCCGCATCGATAGGCTCTGATAAGCGGCTTTTGAGATTTCGAGTAATTTAGGCGAAGGGTGCACTACTATTAGGGAAAATATAGTATGTAGAAGACTTTCTCGTTTCAAAAACTCTCAACAAAACCGTTTTGCAAGTGGTAAATTTTAAGTCTTGGAAGTAGATTTAGAAATAGATTAAGTAAAGTAGATTTAGATCGTTCCTGTATCCCTGAAAATCTTATTAATCTTGAAGTCGATTCTGTAAAAATGATTTTTGCGGGGATTTGCTATGTAGAGTTTCTTGGAGTTCTGGATCTGATTTTACTCGCTTTTTAAACTGTTTTAAGTCTCATTTGAAAGATAAAAACTTTATCCAAAAGAACCTGGTCATGGATTTCTTGCCTGGGTAATTCTTTCTTTTCTTTTAAGCTTAAACCATCCTTTTTAGCACCCTGCACCGATCGCTTGTCCCGCATCTACCTCGTCAGCTTCGCATCATCTTGGAAATCACGAGAAAATCTCCACTCCTCAGCCCTCTCAATCGCAACCTTCAAAAAGGCCTTCATTAGACGTTCCACTTCCATCTGGTTCGATGACTCTCACCTCACCGAGTGCCATCAATACATCAGCTCCACCAAATCCATTGAAGACTCCACCCGCACAGATGCCAAGGGTTTGTTTTTAGACTGTACAATACATCATTTCAGTTTTTAATTATTATTTTAGTAAAACATTTTCAGAGACCCCGTCTCCCGATGGCTTGTGCTAATGGAAAAACCCTTACTGCTCCGTTGGAATTGCTTGATGCGAGCGTAAAAGATCCTCGAATTGGAATGAAAGAATATCCAACAAGAAGGCCAACAATTCTTTTGAAAATCTCTAATATCTGGGCGATTCATTTCAAGAAAGAGAGAGCTGCTGGAGCAAACACGTCGAGTATCGGGTGAGTTGCACATTTTTTGCCACACCGTAAATTTTCTAGTAGAGGCCCTCTATAGGAGCGTAGTCTAAGTTTACTCTCAAACAAATGCTCATATCTCGACACCAGTAAATTTTTTTTTGCTTGCTTAGGTATCTAATTAAAGTAGAGAAAATGGGTAATTTATTTGATATATAACACATATTTTTAACTTTAAGCAGTCCTTAGAAAAAATTATTGAAAAATGATGAAAATTCGGCTTTTTTTTGCCACTTTTCAATCATTTTCTTCTAAGCACTGGTTAAAGCTGAAAATATGTGTTATAGCTCAAAAAATCACCCATCTTTTCTACTTTAATTTAATACCTAAGCGCACAGAAACAAACTTACTAGTGTTGAGATATGAGCGCTTTTTAGAGAGTAAACTTAGATTACACAACGTCCCTATAGGAGGCTCTTCTATTGAAATATTTATGTATGTATCTTAAAGACAAATATTTATATGTGTTTAGCTTTTATATTGATAGCAAGTATTCATTTATTTTAGCAAACCGTTGACGAAACCAGTTGAAACGAGTTTATCTGGGCGAAACTCGCAGCCAACCCCGACCACTCCAGGCTCGAGGCATGGGAGTATCTCTTCGGAACATGGTAAGCCGAATCTTTTAGTAAATTCTATTAATAAACCTATACTATAAAACAATCCTAGACTTTATTTATCTCTTTTAGAACCACTATCCAGACGATCTTCTGGCGCGGTGAGCCCAGGGCCACTCATTTCTCCGAAACAAAAACCCTCAACGAGCCAACCAAGCTCTTCTGCTGGAAATGGTTCGTTTTTAAAAATGAATAGAAATTGATTAATAAAAAAGATAAATATTGATATTTCAGCACATTCAAAGAGCTCTGATGAAGAGGAAGAGGTGCAGAAAGTGAAATCGCCACCACCGTCGATTTTGGATTTCATCTTGAGAGAATCGGAGGAAGAGAACAAAAAGACCGTGAAAACTTGTAAGTGATTTTGAAAAAGGATTGATTTTATCTAAAATATATCTATTACGAAAAATTTTAGTATCGACTTTGTACAAGAAAGTGAGTGCACTGGGGGACACGTTGAACTCGTTAGACACTTCGGTGAAACAAATCAAAGAGGAGACTGATAAGTGAGTGGAAAAACTTTAATAATTAGCTAAAAGTCAAGAAAGCTTAACTTATCTGTTCATTACATGCAAATTTCAGGTCAACCGGTTCTTTGCCTAAATCGGCATCCTTGGAAAAGCACCAATCGTTCGAGGTTGAGCTGGAGAAGTTGAAAGACAAGGAGAAGCTAAAAATTGACGCCGAAAAGGTAATAGATATGAAAAATTGGGATTATAAACGAAATATAATAGTCAAAAGCTGGTGCAATTAGCAAGGCCTCATCTCTGTACGGACATTTTCTCGACCTTTTTTGACCATTAAAGCTAAAACTTCTTTAGAAACCTTAGAATATATTGTCATGGACCATTTAAAATAAAAATTAAAGAAGTCTAAAGTTGCACTACGGGGGGTCGAACCCGGATCGTAGACAAGCGCGCTCTCGACTGCGTTATAACGATAACCACTCGAGCCAAAAAAACCCGAGTAGTAGATAAAAAGGTATCCAGCTTTTTGACAATATCGAGCTTCTATTATCTCATTTATTCATTTCCAGTTGAAGACGCTCTCTCGATCGGCCCGGATCTCGAACAATTCCTCAGCTTGTTCCACTCCCGTCCACGATCCTTTATCTTCACTTCTTCCTCAATCTCATCCAATTCAATCGTCGGCTTCCACTCCACAACATCAGCAAAACCCATCGAGCCTCTCGATTTCAATTCCACCAAGCACGGTTGCCGGCGCATCGACTCCATCGGCTACTTTACCCAGTCCGGTCAGTTTCTTCAAAGTTTAAATTATTAGGGGAACTCGGGAAACTTGCTTGGTTTTACGTTGAAAAGAAGCTCTCGATAAGTTGATCAATAAGTCAACTCTAAATTTGCGTAGTCTTGATTGACTTTGATTGAATGGCTCAATTGACTCGTTTTCAGATCTCGCGCAAAGCCTCCGCCCCGCAGCCCTCATCAATCTCCAGCAAAACAGTGCCTCCACACTCAGCTCCAATCCTTCCCGGTACTCCATCTTCTGCTTCTTCTCGATCCTCAACCCCAATGGTTTTTCCACCGAATTTCTCCATTCCTCCACCACCAATCCCATCCACATCTTCCTCACCGACGAGGAATGAGCCACTTCTCTCAGCGCCTCCACAACCACCAGCACTACTGGTTGGTTTGAAAACAGAGATGAGAAAGGATAGAGCTTGAGCCTGAGCCTCTCGATAAGTTGATTCTAGATCTTTATTTTTAAGCATTTCTCTTATGAAAGTTGTTCAGAGTGGTCATCCGGTGCGAAGGGATTCAACGGGAAGCATTCATGGAACTCCATCCACTCATCATCCACCACCAAGCTCTCCAAAAGGCCATGGAAACGAGGGATCCACTGCGCCCACAACACCGAAAACGCATAGACCCGAGGTACTGTGAATTGGTTTTTGCTTGGTTGATCTATTATGATTGATTCTTTGATGTTCTACAGATAAACTTGGATACATTTGCAGATGCAATCGAGCTCCAAGCGTCCGGCAATGTTACCCGGGCAGACGCGAGGACCCGACGGGAAAACGGCGATTCGGGCTGAGTCGTTTGGTGGATTGTCACGGATGAACAGCCTCCCACAGACTCCATCTCCACTCGTGCAGCGATCGATGTCCGTCAGTGATTCGAAGGTTTGTAGCTATTTGATAGATTTTTAGAATAAAGTTAGATATTAGATCTTAGAACTACATAAGCAAGATTCAATTCTTGACCAAATTTCTTTGATCCATACCTTCATCTTTCAGAAAACCGCTCGTGAAGCAAATGATATGATTGAGAAATTCTACAATCGCACATCTTTGTCGGCGGATATGAAAAAGTTGCCGAGAATCGAGAAGAAACCCTCGATTCAATCGGAATCTGGAAAAGACAAAGAAAGGGAAAAGGAAATGGTTTGCAAATTTTGATAATTTGATATGAAATTGACCTAAAAAGAACTTTTTGCAAGTGTTTATATCAAAAAATTTCAGGACAAGCACCGTGAGAAGGAGAAAGAGCACAAGCACAAACATCGTGACAAGGAACAACGAGAGAAGGATCACAAATTGGTGAGTGCCAGGGAAATATCATTAGAATTATGGAAGGTTAAAATTTGTAAATTTCAGAAACGCAAAGAGGATGGCACATACGAGACAAAAGAGGAAAGAGCAAAGAGAAAAGAAATCGAACGGTCAAAGAAACAAAAAGATGAGAAGAAAAAGGAGAAGAAGGAAAAGCTGAAGAAATTGGTGAGTTGGATAGTGGTGAACATTATATAACAATAAAAATTTAGGCTGAAAGCGAGAAGAAACGAAAAGAGAAGAAAGAGAAGAAAAAGAAGAAGAGAAAACACAGCGAGAGTGAAGAAGAAAGTGGAGAAGATGAAGGGGACGATGATTATGCGGTGAGTCATTGGATGAGATAAAAATATAAAGAATATCTTACTTTAGGGAGAAATCTAGAAGCTATACTGTAGCTGATAGGGCTGATAGGCTATAGGCTAATGGTTATACTGTAGCTGAAACTTTTACATGACGGATTGAGAGGTCTAGTTGCAAATATAACCTGTCCTTTACTGAGGAAGATTCGATTTGCCAGAAAGTTTGGGTTTACAGCTTTTGAGCAAAGCTGAAATAAATTCCTAAAAGATCCTGGATTAAAACTAGAACTATGTCATAATGTAAATTTTTGCTAAAATAATAATATTCATCTTTAGAAAACGATGAAGTTGGTGCGTTTGTTGGCTGAAGAGGACGGGCCAATTGGAGGATCGATGTATGATAGAGTGAAGAGAAGGAGCAGCGGATTGAATAAGGTTTGTTAAATGAGAAAAAAAGCAAACTCGTAAACACATTCTAACATTCTTCATCGTAAACATTCTAAAGCAAATAATGATAAATCCGAAGATGATATGTTCTAAAGAAAGCACAGCCAAGGGCCAAGAATTTGTTACAAAGCTAGAATTGATTTTTGCATACAGAACAGACTGTTACTGTTCTACTGTAAAGCATATAGCTTAGAAACTTTAAGGTTAAAGATTAGGCTTAATATTTTACTCTTTTAAACAAATAAAATATTCAGGATGATCAAGAAAAGAAGAAAACGTTGGAAATGCTGCGTGAGAAGAATAAAGATAAGCACAAAAAGCGGCGAGTGATGACGATGAGTGATTCGGATGAAGAAAATGAGGATGATGAAGAAGAGCAGGATAAGGTGAGTGGAAATGGTTTAAAAACTATATTAAAGTATAACTATAAGTATTGGCCTAGTTAAAAACTCTATTAAAGTCTAAATCTAAGTATAAAGTTCTTAAATTCAATTTTACCCAATCACTTTTCAGGACGATGACTCATCTGAAGAGGAGGAGGAGGTTGAAGAGAAAAAACCTTCAAAGCAAGAGAAATCAAAGCATACGGTAAATTTCAAAAACGAACACTGTAATCTAAATCTATAAGTATATTAGAAATCAATTATTTATGCAAATTTTTCAGCCAAAGCCCTCCAAGAACTACTCGACAAGCGAAAGCGATGAAAGCGGTGATGAGGTGAAAAAGAAGGAGAAAAAAGAGAAGAGGGTATGACTTTGAAAAAATGCTATGCTGGCTGATAATTTTTAAGTTAATACTTAGAATCTGACCCTAAAAGCTTTAGAATTTCAACACCGATGACGTTTTTGGCGATAGCGATGATGATGGAAGCAGCGTGGCGACAGGACCATCGCTGTCCACAGAGAAACATCGATCATCCGAGAAAAAAGGAAAAGAAGAGAAAAGTGGGTGGAAATAAAGAGATTCAGTTAACGAATTTATTCAAAAAATGTTCAGGAAACCGAATCCGACGATAATCAAAAAGAGACAAAGAAGAAAAAGATGGAAAATCTCTTTGGGGAAAGTAAAAAAGAGAAGAAGAAAGACAAGGAAAAGGAGAAAAATGAGAGAAAAAGACCGGGAGAGAAAATGGAGGAAAAGGTGAGGATTGGAAAGGATTTCGTAAAAGAATAGGAACTTAAAATTTGGATTTAGCGTTTGTAAAGTACAGTACTGTCAATTTTACGCTTTTATAGCCAAAGTTATTGTTAGTTATTGTTATTTGTTAGCCAAAGATAAGCTTAACGATTTCCTTACAATTCCTGAACTTTTCAATTCTGATTACTTTTAGAAGTCAGGAATTAATAGTTAGCTTTTGAACTGTATGTTGAACTGATTTCTTGATATTTTTTAGACTCCAAAACGCCCGAAGAACAACTTGAGCGACGATGAGAGGAAACAACGCGAGAGAACGGCCTCCATTGCGGGCAGTGAAGAGACCACATCGACAATTCCGGAAAAAGTAAGTGCAAATCAAAACAAAACGTACACTTTTATGCAAACATTGCCTTTTTTTCATCGAATCACTCTTTTCAGCAACAAGTGAAACGCGAGAAGTCTTCATCCTCGGAAATGTCGACCGTTCAATCTCCCCCTCACTCATCTCATCCTCCACCGATTATCGCTCCTCCACTTCCACTTCAACTTCCACCAACACCAACACCAACACCAATGCTCCCGCTGGCTGAGCCGAAAGTTGAACCGGTAAGTGTACAAGATTTTACTTTTTTGATACAAATACACTAAAAGCTGAACAGTTTACAGTAAACTTGTGAGCAATTTTTAAACAGATCGTGTATTTATTGGGTACACTTCTACAGTGACCTAACTTTCACTTTATCGTTTATCGTTACGATTAACTTTTGGCTGTAGAACTGCAGAGCCGATTAGCTTAAAATTGATCTTTTGAATAGCTGGATAAAATTGAAGTCTTCACTTTGATCTAAAAATTTCAGATGGAGGTTGAGGAAAAAGAGTCGCCGACTATTTCAACGCCGGGAAGCGCCGAGAGACCAAAACTCTTAACAAAGGTAAGAAAATGGAAAAGAAATTGCTAAAAAAGATAAAAATTCTTATAGTATTAGATAAGTTAAAATTTTTGTTTTTTCAGGCAGCTATGAAAGTGTTCGTTCCGTCCACGAATGTGCCCACTTCGATGGTTCCGCCGAAAAGCGAGAATCCCGTAAGTTTTCTTTGCTTTTTTTTCGTTTGACAAAACTTGTAAAGACAGTCATAAATTTTATTTGTTTTTTTGGTGGTAGTGAAAGCTTGAAACAAATCTTACATTTAGTACTGTAGTTGCTAAATAGTATTACAGTATTATTGTTCTCTAGTCTATACTTTGTGCTCTCCGACAAGCGTTCGCTTTGAGAATTCAAGCGTGGCTGAAGGCGCGCGTTTATGCGAGCACACGGGCTTGTGAATAAGCTTAGTTTAGATAAAATAGGTTGAAAAAATTTATCTAAATACCCTAGATATTTAAAATCTCACTTTCACTACCCGTCAAACATAACATTTTTGTAGTTTTTTTTCTTCGTCTAATTGAATGCTAAAGTATAAGCATGCAAAAGAGATAAGGAAAACGAAAAGAGAAAGAAAAATCGCTTTTCGCATAATCAAATTGACATTTTTATGGCCGTGCAAAGCTATAAATGGTAATGCAAAAAAAATAAAGAAAGCTATGCATATATTTTAGTTGCATCCAAAAATCGAATGAAATCAATCAGTTCAAAGAGGGGGTTTTCTCGTTATTCAAAGGACTAAAAATTTGATTTTAGCTGGCAAATTTGAGGAGAAGAATTTGTTAAGAAAATTTTCTCGTAATCAATTTCCAAAAGATTGGCTTGTAGATTAAGTTTGCATTTAAGAATTCATTCGTCTTCGTCCAGTCTTCTTTAGGCCTTTCAAATAGAAAACTCACTGAACTCAAAACCGTAAACCATTTTTGTCTGATGTCCATTGAATACAAGAAAGCCCCTCAAAAATGTAAAATCTGTTAAATTTTGGAAATTTTTACAATATCCATTGACTGAATAGCTTTAGTATTCAATTATCCAGTTAATGGAAATCCTAAAACTTTCAAAAGTCTAGCAGAAAACTCAGTTTTAAGTGTAAAAATAGATGAACAAATTGGTACTTGTGATTATTTTTGCAAATTTACATATAAAAACCTTTAGTTAAATGCAAATTTAGATTAATAAGCAAATTGGGAAAATATTCACAAGCACCAAAAGTCTTTTTTGAAGTACTGATTGTGGAGTGTTTTCTTGTGAGTTTCAGGTGTCGACTCCGAGCCAGCTAAAGGAAAACCGATTGGAAGACAGAAAAACAGAATCAGATGATGAAAGAGAACAACAGAAACCCTCAGCATCTGGTGCACAGAAGACACCCGAATTGCCAAAGCCACCACTTGCAAGGAAATCCCCGATTTTCTCCTCATCTTCGTCGGAAATCGATAGCGACGAGGAAATGATTATAGCCGCTTTGCAAGCACCCGAATCAGCTGAGCAATCGCAGGATTCGGTGGAAGTACCCATCGAGCTCAAGCCGAAACAACCTGAGACGCAGACCCTCGAGCTTCAAGAGCAATCGGCTCAGCCTCAACAACACGTTCAACCAAAGGAACCGATTCCTCAGCCAATTCAAAGATCTCAGCTCCAATCTCAGACTCAGTCACAGGCTCCAGTTCAACCAAAGGAACCAATTCAAAGAATGGCCCAAGCTCAACCTCAGGAAACGATTCAAAAAGTATCCCCGGTCCAGCCTCAAGTCCAACCGATTCAAAAGATTGAAGAAAAAGAGCCAGAGAAGCAAGTCGACCCAGTGGACATTATCCCAATCGTTCCACTGAGAGACGACGAGGCTGAATCGGCGGTGAGCGGTATTCAGGATGACTCGGAACCATACGAAGAACGAGAACCAGTGAGAGTCGAGCCAGTCATCCCAATCATTGATCAGGTGTGCTTTCTTGTGTTTAGTCGAGTCAAGTAGTCTTTTTTTGCTTAAATGTCGTATGGCATGCCGCATGAATAGTTTCTGTATAGAAATGTATAGAAAGAAGGCACAAAAATGTTTTGATTGCAAATTTCTATTGATGAGTTCAGGAGACGGCGCAAGCGGCCGAGGCGATTGCGATATTTGACGACGATGAGGAGCCCGAGCCACAGTATCCCAGTCATGACTTCATCGTACAGGTAGAGTGAATAGATGGGAGATTATTACAGGCCAATCAACACTTGGTAGAATGATTTAGGCTATACATTGGGGAACTGAATTGCTACGAAACTTAAGAGTTATATTGCTCTACAAAAAAATTTCTAGGCCCCAGAGGAAGATCCGGGAGTCGATGAAGAGGCAAAGAGAGCCGCTGAGGCGATTTTGGACGACGATCGGTCGAATGACGCCGAGCCGACGCCGGTAATTCCACAACAAACGCAAATGGTCGTCACTTCGATCAAACAGGTGAAATAAAAATAATATCACGAAAATTTTCATCATTGTTTTTTTTCTAGGAATCCCCGATGGTCTCCCCGGTTCCGATCTCAACTTCGACAATGACCTTTCCAACTGTTGTCAAGTCTGAGACTCCAACTTCAACACCAACATCGATCGATTCTTTTGCTATTCATCATCAACAAATGGAAACCGCAAGACAGCAACAGCAGCCTGTCTCACAGCCTCAAATTTTGCCTACGATTGCCACAAGCAGTGTAGCCAATGCGGTAAGTTTTAAGGCTAACAAATACTCAAACAGTTTTCGAATATCGATTTATAATATAAAATTAATCTAATTTAAGTCATCGACCCAACCGCGACTTGTTAAAGCCGAGCTATTGGAGCCTGCGCCTGTCACTTCCACACCATCTTCCTCAAATTTCTCGAGTTTTGTCGCCAAGCCGAGCCCAACGCTCAATTCAACGGTGACCGGAAGTGGCTTCAATCCGTTTGGGGGAAAGGTTTGTAACAAAGAAATACTAGCTATAAGAAAACTAGAAGAAACCATGATCTTAATCTTTGGAAACCTTTGACAAAATTTATAAGCTGTTGTCTAAAAGTACCTGGAACTTTTTGAAAAGATATTAGAAAAAAATTAACCTCATAACTAGGAAAGTCAAGTAAAACATTTTACCTGCTCAAAAATCCGATTTTGATTTGGTTCAATTCCCAGAAATTAACAGTATTTTTTGACCATTTCCTATATTTAGCTGATATTTATTTGCTTTCTATTTCTCTCACTATCAAGTTTAAACCCAAAATCACAAAGTAAAAAAACAATTCTATCTTGGGGTTTTCGTATTACATTGGTGCTGCTTTATATGATAAATCTCCATTGATCTCTCACCGATTTTCCCAGGATTTCCTTGAAATCACAGATCAATTTGTTTCAAAAAGAGGAAAGAATCTTTTTTTTTCGTTTGGGTCAAATCTATCAATTGTGGAAAGAGAGGAAAGAATTGACTGAAAAGAAAGAAAACATGTGATCGAATAGGGGAAAAATCGAGGAGGGGAATGGGGAGAAATCGTGGATGGAGGAGATCTTTTTCTTTCTCTAAACCGTCAAAAATCTTTCATCTTTCAATTTAACGGGTTTCTTAGTTCTAAATTTGCATTTATAAATGTTATAATAGTCTAAATTTTTCTAGTAATTATCTGATAAGTTCTGATAGCCTGATAGCTGGTAATTTCAGTATGCCAGATCGATAGCGATTTTGCAGCACTGAAGTCGAGATTGAGAGCTTAACTAAATCCTAGCCTTGTCTTGTCTTATCTTTTAATCTTTTAATCTCTTTTAATCTCTTTTAATCTCTTTTAATCTCTTTTAGGATGCTAAAAATTGCTATTGATTAATGTTATTGAGACTTTATACAGTAAGCATTATAAAAAATATCAAATAATTATCAATTCTTTATCGAAAAAGATCTAAACCTTTTTTGGTATACATAGGCTAGACAATAGGCTAGACTTTACCGTACAGTTAGTTACAGTTACAGTAACTTTACAGACTCTCGATACAACGATTTTGAAATTCTAAGAAACACCCTTGATTTCTGCGTAGCCCAGCTAGCTGACCGTTCAAGACGGTTATGCAAGAAATTTGGGGCACGTTTAGAATCATCAAATCGAACTCTTTGGCACCGAGCGAATCGTTAAGTCGAGAGTCGACTGTATTATGATTACAGATTGTAGATTACGACTTTCCAAATCCCAAATTTCAGGAACCACCCGCTTTTGGCCCAACAACCTCAGCGATCGCTTCATCAGTTCTATCATCGGTGGCGAGCACTTCGACTCCTCAAATTTCTCAATCTCAACCCCCACCACCAACATCGGTCATCCAATCACAGCCCCAACAACGGCCACCGGTCACTCAAGCTCCGGTCAGCATCTTGCCGACTACCGCAACACCGACCGTGTCGAGACCGGTGAACCCAGTGCACCAGACTCAACCCATTCAACAAGCGCAGCAACCACAAGTGCAACCACAACAACAACAACAACAACAGCAACAGCAAGTACAAGTACAGCAGCCGCTCATTCAACAACAGCAGCCTGTTGTGGCTACAACTGCCCAGGTAAGCTAGTGAGATCAGATCGAATTAGTGTCAAAACTTTAAAACCCCAATTAAACTTATTTTTTTCAGATGGCCGGTCTCACTCAAGGCATTCCAGTCACTCAACAAGCCGCCTATCAGCAGTTGCAACACTACCAGCAATTGCAACAACAGCAACAGCAACATCAACAGCAACAGCAACAGCAGCAGCAACAAAGGGTTTTTTTATAATAGAATCATTTGTAGTACTGTAGTTTCGCCTGAAAATTTAGAAAACCTTTTTTTCTAGGCTGAATCCGTTCACAAAGCGGCTCCCTCACCAGCTCCATCGCCCGTTGTCACCCAGGCTCAGGTTGCACAAGCCGCCCAAGCTGTCGCCCAAGCCCAAGCCCAGGCTCAAGTAAGTAGTTAGATAAGATAACAATTTTATGTTCAACCTTTAACTCTGTTATCAATCTTGTTTCAGGCTCAAGCTCAACAAGCGGCTCAACAACAGCAATACGCGCTTCAATATCAAATCTTAAGCACGCTCATCGCTCAAAACCCCCAGCAATTCAGCCCGCAACAGCTTTTGCATTGTAAGCTGAATAGTTTTGATAAGAATCACTTGCGCAAATCTATTTTTTATCGATGTCAAACTTTTCAGTGCAACAACAACAGCAACAACTCGCGCTGGCCATGCAGCAACGCGTGCACACCGAGAGTCCTGGTAAGAGTTTTGCAAAATTTATAGCAAGCAGAATTTTTCAGCTAACTTCCTCCAACCGAGCAGCACTCCATCATTGGCTCAACAACAACAACAAGCGGCTCAACTTCAGCAGCAGCAACAACAGCAGCAACAGCAGCAACAACAAGAGCAGCAACGAGCTGCTCAGGCAGCACAAGCTGCCCAGGCCGCTGCTCAGCTGAAGAAACAACAGGTATCAATGAAATTCTTGAATATAGAATAAAAACTAGCTAAGTACTAAGCAAGCACTAAGCCTCTTCCGTAGTAATTTTGTGCCAAAAAGTTTTCCATGTCAAAAGATTGCACAATACCCTGTATTGGGCTGGGTTTATTTTGATCGCTTGGGAAATTTGAAAAAAAAAACTCATCGCTTGGGAAATTTGATCTATCAAAATAGAAGATTGATTGAATTTTTCTATAAATGTTAATGATATTCTGTTTGCATTAAATAATATTCTTAACCACTGTAATTTCTAGGAAGCCGAGGCTTTGGCTCGCAAGAAAACGATGGAAGAGGCGACAAAACGCCAGCAACAACTCGCACAGCAACAACAGCAACTGAAAGAAGCGAACGAGAAATTCCAACAATTGTATCTGCAAGAACAACTCTGTCAACAGGTAATGAAAATATCTTAAAAGCTAATGGAAAACGCAAATTTTCAGCAACTCAACCAGCTGGCCCTGGGAATGCAGACGGCGTTCGCGCAAAACAATCACCCACTCGGCATTCAATACCAGAACGAGCTGCAAAAGATAAAACAACAACAGCTCCAGATCCAGTATCACATGCAGATCTACACGCAATACATTCAGGTACGCGGGAGGGAAACTACTCCAATAGAAATGTACCCTTTCTTGCTCACTAATTGCTCATTTTCTCACATTATTTGCAAGAAAATGTTGAATTCAGTTCGCCAGAAAGGGTACGTTTTTAAGCACAAAATACAATCTAAGAATAAAGTCAAGCTATGTTTTAAAGAATAAAAGTCATAAAAGAATAGGATAAGACTGTACTGTAAGCACTTGTACTTTAATGGGGAAAAGACTTTTGCAATCTTTATATACAAATCATTGTAGCTGCAAATAGCATAGTCGATACAATTTTCGTAATTTCCAGCAAGCTCAAGCTCAAGCCGTAGCCCATGTCTCTCCTACGTCAACCCTCTCGGCCAGTTCCACTCCAGCTCCTCAAGTGACCTCAAAACTCGAAACACAACAGGTCCCACTGCAAGCAACCCCGCAAATGCAACAACAAGTAAGCTTTGATAAAACGATTTTAATTTTAAAATAGCTAAACATACTTATTGCTTTCAGCTTGCCGCCGCCGCTGATTCCCTCCACCACCCGTTGCATCAACCGATGCGAGCTGCCAGTGTCGCCGCGTTTCAAGTGAGTTTTGGGCAATAGTTGCTGGGAAATTTGGCAATAATATTCAAGACAATAAGGTCAACATTAGTATTTAAAACAAAAATAGACATTCCAGGTTGCCTCAACATCCGAGTCGACGATTCCAACCCCGATGTCTCTCGAGAGTCGCCAGCCACTTCAAGAAGCGAACAGCAATATTGGCCAAAATCCGACCAAGGTAAAATTCTAGCTATAGCCTAAGGCCAAATTTCTAAGTCAAGTCTCAATTTACAAGTTTTCCAAAAGAGTTTCACGTGGTTGATCGAAAGCAGTTGATTTTCTATCTGCAAGACTTGCAAAAGGTTAACTTGATTAGTTTTTTCTAATTTGACAATTACTAAAGTCAAATAAACTGCCTTGCCTAGCTATATAAAAAATTCGCATTCAAATCCGACCCCATTTTCCCAGCATAGTTTCCTTTCAGAACCATCACTCTCTCTCACACACAAGCGTTCGCTTTTTTTTCCTTCTTTTGCCGGCTTTTTATGTAAAAGAGGCACTGGCCGGTACGGGGAAAGAATAGGAAAAGAGAGATTAGAAAAAAGAGATTTCTAAGGGAAAAAGAATTAGAAAAGGGGGAATAGATCAAGAGATATGGTGAGAAAAGAGTAGAGAGGGAGGGAAAGGTTGTCCAAGATTTTACCCAACTGAAAAAAAAACGGGAACCCTCATCGTCTGGGTGTTCTCAAAAAAAGTTGTGTCTATGTGTGGCTGAGCTGGGCAGGGCAGGGGTGTCTCTTGAAACTCATGGGGGGCAGAGGCCTCTCCTCTCCTTTGGACAAGCGTTCCGCCGTTCTCGCAGCCATATCGAACGCCTTCTCTACTCGTCTTGGTCTCTCAAAAGCCCTGCAGTGTTGCTAGAGTTGAATTTTCTCTTTGAGCTTTAAAAGAGTTCTCCGAGGGAACGGTTGACTGTGTTGGGTTTGAGATAAAAGTGAATGCAAGAGACGCAGATTGGAAATTTTGAAAAATGAACACTGTCTAAATTTCTCTAGGTTTCTCTGCTCACTACTTTTTTCGAAAATTCGATATTCTTTTACTCTTTTTGATTTCTTTTTCTCTATTTTCTCTAGAAAACGAAATCTTTCTTTTTTCATTTTCTCTCATTTCTCAACTCTCTCATTGTTGATGGAGGGTTTTGGAGGGGAAAAAGGGGGAGGAGTGTCTCCTTTTTGTGTGAAAGAAGAACGCACGGATCCCCTAGACGAGCCTAGACACACACGCCCCCAACTCCAGCAAAAACTTGCTCATTTCCAAATTTCTATTCAATAGAATCTAAAAAATATTCTTTTATGCAAATTTGAATATGAATAATCTGCCGATCACGACTCTGGTCGATGCGCTGAGCGCCTTTCAGAAGAAAAACCCGATAGAGCCATTTCCCGCGATCCCTCTCAACTTTCAACAACTCCACCAGCAACAATCATTTCCCAACAATTCCATTGAGTCAACGATTTCTGTGACAAGCCTAACCGCTTCTTTACTCACAAACATGTTGAACTTGGCCCAGCAAAATGGTTCCCTTCATCAGTTGGCTTCAAATTCAGCCCTTGTCGCGAGTTTCTCGAAACTCATGCAATCTGTGAGCTCTTTTTTCTTGGCCGCCACGCAAAGCACTGAAGCGAAGCAAGCGGCTTTGTTACATCAGATATTGGAGACTCCGTCAAATTTCTCGAATCTTTTACTTCTTCAACAACTTGTTCATCAAAATCAGCAAAAAACTGAGCCAGTGAAGTCTGAGGTTAGACGAAGAAAAAGGAGCTTTCAAGGAGAGGCAAGATCGGAGAAATCCGAGAGTTCTACCCCTAAACGAAACAGTCCAAACGAGGAGCACTTTGAGTACACACGGGAGCACATGGAAAAGAGTCTGGATCGAATATTGCGAGAGGAATTGCTAGATATTTATGAGGATGAAGAGAACGGTGAAGTAGAGCAGTTGAAGGAGATCAGTCGGTTACACGTGGATGATAAATTGGAAAAAAATGACGGATCAGCTTTTCGGAAAGTTTCCTCAAAAAGTCCAGCGTTCAGCTTAAATGGAATTTCTTCGAATTCTATTGAATCAATCGATCAATCTTTAACGATTCCCGGGAAAATTTTGTCTCAGCTAGAGGAATTGGCTATTGGACATGGGATGAAAGCGCAAAGACCCGATAATTTGGAGGTAGGATTGCATATGGAAAGAGGGTACTGTAAAATGTTCACTTTATATAATCAAAAACCCAAAGTTGATACTTTTCTATATGTCTTACTGTAATCCGCCGCGTTCCCGTTCCCGTTTTGCAAATTTGCACTTCAAGCTAGCGTTTGTGACACTTGCTGAATAGCTTTTTACCTAGTTTAGCCATTTTTAAGCTATCGAGTTTCCAAATAGCTCTTTTATAAAAAGATTTCCCATTTGTCTCACTTTTTTTTCTTCCTCTCAACTCAAAAAGTGATGTTGTGTAGAAGAATTTTCCGGTAAAAGAAAGCAAAAAGGTGAAAAAGGGGTTTGTTTCCTTTGGCAGGATTTTGCTCTTTTCTTTTTCTTCTTTTTATTATTTCGTGATCATGTGAATGATATTTACTACTTTGCTCCTTTTCTCTTTCTTTTTTTTCCCTTTCTTGGCCCCAATTTGCCCTCAAAATGCCCTAAACCTTGACTTGTTTTCGTTTTTGCACTCCCCCGCTTTTGCACTCGTGCCCGGATACGGTGGATTGTACTTATAGGATAGGCTTGGCTATGTAAATACTTGAAAACTATAGGATAAAAATCTTGTAAAAGTAGCGAGCAAGGATAAAGTACTGTAGCAATGTAAGCAACTAGACTAGAGGTCAGACAGGTAGGCTAAAGTACTAGAAAACTTGATGAAAAATGTGACTTGATGCTTCGTTGAACTATGGAAATTAGAATATTTTATTAGTTCAGTACTGAGCTTGGATTTTAGTAAGATTAAGTGCTTAAACATCTGCAAGCAGCTAATGTGCAAGCAGCTAAACAGGTTAAAGATCTTGTTAGACTCATAAAAGAATTTTTTCTACATGTTACGCAGATATTGTAAAGTCAAATGTTAAAGCACTGACAGGCCAACCCAGCCAAACGCACTTTTATGAATTAATCCTATTCATTTTAAAAGTCACATATTCATTTCATTTTCTAAATCCATCAAAGTGTCGGATAACAAAATAAAAACACCGGATTTCTGTGGGATTTCACATGTGATTGGGCTTTTGTGGATATTTGAGAGAAAATGAAAACAATTTTAATATCATGTTTTGCTTAAATGTCAGATTTCCTGAAAAGGCTACAGGGATTTTGTTCAGTAAGCTGGGGCAAGTTCGAAAATATTTGTTCCGCTTTCACTGATCGCTTTCACGATTTGTTGATTTGCACGAAAATGGGAAAAATTGGGTGGAAATGGCGGAAACTTTTGTTCACACAAGAGTCAAGTCAATATTTATCCCGGAAAGTAGGTATTTTTAGGTGAAAAAGAAAGATCTTTGGAAGTGATTGAGTGTAGAGAATGGGAATGATAAAAACAAGGGGTTTCGGGTGCAGAAAACTCGGCTTCAACATATTTTCGATCTGCGAGTCGATTTCGTTTATTTTTCAGGTAAAAGACTATGTGAATTATAGCTTAATGTAGATCTTGTAGATTGTAGATGTAGATCTTCTACAGTATACCGTGCTTACAGTAAACCTACCTCTCCCTAAAGTATAAAGTAAGCATGATACAGGTGAATTGGGGTTTGACTCTGCTTGAGAAACTCCTTTAATACAGTTAAGCAGGCCTTTTTGGGAGTACAGTCGTGTAGTCGTTAATTGTTTTTTTTTTGATAATTAGGTGAAGATTCGAAGATAAACTAAACTGTTAGCTGCCCTCTGTTTATCAAACGTAACTCGTACAAAGCATTCGGAAAGTGGTGAACGCTCAACACTCAACGTTTTCATTTTGGCTAAAAAAACTCTTGTTATGCTTTGAATAAAATATATCTATATTAAATATTTATCGAATTTTTAAGTACTAACCATAAACTTTCCAATTGCAAACCCCCTAAAATGGACAGAACAGAAAACATGTTTACCATTTTCCCCAGCGCTGGGAGTGATCGCTTAGACGCGTCGTGAAAAAAAGTGCTCTTTTTTTGGAAATACTTGCAAATGAGATGCTGAATTTTGAAAAAAAAAAGAAAGAAATATCTAATCTGTAAACTTTCAGAAAATGCCCGTCATCTGGCAGGGAACGTTGGCGATGAAAGCGCACGAGGCACAAGTTCAAATGCATCTGTTGGCCGGATCACCCGAATATGTGGCCAGGTATGAATGGTTGAGATAAGAAAAGATACAGAATTGCTAAAGAATTGAATATCTAACAAATATCCAAAAAACCTAAGTCAAGTTCCAAAGAGATTAATATTGCAAGTCTTGTACTTGTACTCAAAAAAAAGCTACGGATACTCTACGGATATCCGTAGCTAACGGATGCTCTACGGATATCCGTAGCTATCTACTATTTAATATCTACTATTTAAAATCTAAATCTAAAGTAGAAACTTATTTTAAAATATATCTAAATAATCTATAAGCCTTATCTCCATCGATTTCTTATACTTTTTCTAAACTCGAAATTTCCAGAAGCATTGGCAACACGCAATTGGTGAGCGGACTGTGTCTACGGATAAATCAACGAATGCGTTGCGTGCCCGAGCAAATACAAAGTGAGTTTAGAAATATGGATACGACCCACCCAATGGGCTGTACTAATGACGATTATTTTTTGGTGTCAATAAGTTTTTAAGGGACTTTGTTGTTTATTTCGCAGAAAGTTCTCGGTAACTTTGCCCTAGTTTTCAAGAGGGGATTTAGGCCTAATCGAATCACTTGAATAGTTCGGTTTATCTTTGAATTTTGCACGAAATTATCAGTAAAAGAGTTAACGATCACGCGACTTTACGCCCAAATTGTGTCAAATCGCTCAAATGTGACTCAACTTTTGCAGGTGTTGTGAGCAAGCTGGAGGACGCGACGAACACGGCAATGTTGGTGTGTTTGCCAGTCGGCGAAACGAGGGAAGAGCTGCAGCTGTCGCAATCGATATTCGAGACGGCTTTCATCGAGTATTTCACGCAAAAAGCCGCTGCTGGCATTGCGAATGTGCCGCATACGGTTGGTGTTTTGGAAATGAATCAAAACTTGCTCCTTGTACCTAGTTATCAACTCTCGAAGATCCAAAAAATTTAGCTTTTATTTTCCAATACTTATGCCCAGAATCTTTAATTTTAAGTAAATTTTAAGTAAATCTAACGAAGTCAGGAGCATAAAGTTAATCAAAAAAAGAAGCTATAATTCAAATATCGTAACCCATTTGTAGGAGCACACATCCGCTTGTGTTGCGCACGTTTTCCCGCCGGGCGATTTCGCGAATCATTACCTCAAGCACTACTCGAAAGATTTCTACAATACGATGCTCAAGAAAAAGGTTTGTACAATAGATACGCATTAATCTAATAGAAAAATTAAAGCCAAATCAGGTAATCCAATCAATCCACCTTGCCACTACCGTACTAGACTCAAAATACTACAAATCTGTATCTATCATTGGCTCAGCTCTAGTGCCTTGCTCTAGTATCTGTCAAGTAATGGCAAATAGAAATCACAGATAAGCTGAATATTGTGGTAGTTTTTCTACCGTAATCCGGCTTGTCTTCTACCATAATTCGTTTTCTATTGTTCACTAACATTGAACGATAAATAAGACCAATGTTTAGTACTCAACTAGAGCTATGAAATGTTAAGTAACTAGAGCTCAACTAGAGCTATGAAATCAAGTTCAAACCTGATGTCATACTTGTAAGCTTTAGCCCAAAAAGACTCAAGAAATAGACTTAACAATCAGTAACTACTCTGTGTCCCACGTACAACAACTCATTTCCAGATCCGCTACCTCGTCGTGATCATCACCCCGGAGGATGGACAGAACGCCGTGCCCGTTCAATGAACACCGCTACCGTAATCCTCACCATCACCGCAAAGCATGTGCAATCCTATAGCTACCGTAATCCCCTCTATTTAGTCACCCTTTAGACTGATGATCTTTGTAAAACACAGGTCAATTTATAGCTAGGAGGATCAGAAAACAAAAGAAGAAAAAACCCACCACGCCACCCCACTTATATCATTTTTTTGACTACCTCTCCTTTCGCAAAACTTGCATTTTCTGTAAAATACAGTAACTGATCCACATTTTATTTTACAACAAAAGAATTCTCATTGTTTTAAAATTTTGAATATTTTGAAATATTTTCTCGAATTCTTCTCACCTAAGGGTACAGTCCATGTGCTACCGGTATCATTTTTTTGTGTTTTTCTTTTTTCTTAAAAATTATATATATAGATGTCATGTGAATTTCTCTCCTCGAATTGCGCGTTTCCGTTTATTTACGTGTCACTTTGTTTGAAATATTTTCTCATTTTATTTCTGTTTCTGGTTATTATTGTAAATCTCTCGTTTCACCCTATATAGGCTTTATAGGCTTAGGCTTTCAAGGCTGTTTTTTTGTGAAAAAGACAACGATTTTCCCCTCAATCTTGCTCGTGAAATACTTATATCAAATAGTGCATATAAAATATTCAATTAACCGCCGTCAATCAGAATGCGTAAAAGTGATCAGCATGAAGTGACAGCATAAAACGCTCACAGTTAGGGAGTGAATGCTCAAAGATTTTGTAAACTCTTCAGAGTTATTAAATGGAATAAAAATCTTCTTTCAGAGAATCATAGAGCTTTTTAAGATCTTACAGTCAAGAAGTGAATGCTCAAAGCTTTGTAAGCTCAAACACTGTAAGTACGGTTAGTCGCTAGATGCCTGTTTCCCCTGCATTAGAAGTGTTACACGAACACCTACACTACTGGACAATGAAATATCGTATTTGAAAATAGATCATCACTTTCGCGCGTCTGTAACTCCCTTGTCTTTACCCTATTTCTAAATATTAATATTACCATTGTGTAGCCATTGAAAAGAGCTTTCAGAAAATGTATAACACTAATAGTTTAAACTCAAAGACAACGGAGTTACAGACGTGCGAAAGTGACGATCGTTTTTCAAATATGATATTTCATTGTCCAGTACTGTAGGTACCCAAAAAAGCGACCTGGGCTGGCCCACACACAGCGCGAAATAAATAATTGTTTGTAGTTCAAAAAATAGTTTAACTTTGCGATTCAACTTGAACTTGAAAAGCGACTGTGGTGTTTAGAAGAAGAAAATAACCGATTCTCGAGTTTCTTATCTTGAAAATTTCGAAAACAATAAATTTACCAGTTTTAGGCTGGTTATTGCATCAGCAAAAACATTTATTAACTGAAACTTTCAAATCTGATGCATGTTAATGATCTCCAAATATCTTTTCCGCACATAATTATAACGTCTATAATCTATAAAACTTTACCCTAGGATTTTCTTTTCTTTCTTTTGTCGCTTGACCTCCTCTTTGATTTTTCTTATCGCTTCTCTAACCTTTGGTCGGATTGCATGCAGATCCACATATGGCATTACATCAATTGGAAGAGTCTGAAATTAAAAAGATTTGAAAACCCTCTTCAAAACAAAAAATGAACGAGTAAATGAGCAAGATGGTTTGCCGAACAAATGCCGATGTCGTAAAGATGCGGAGATTGAGAATAGAGCGAAATCGGAGAAAAGGCGGATACCATCAGAAGTGTGGTCAATCTGGAGAAAGCCGACCGTGACAAAGCAAGAAGAAAACTTAAGAAGCTCGCACGAGAGACTATGACGGCGAAAGAAGATGCACCATTGAAGCAGATGATTGACGCGATCGGAGCTGGCACTCGGAGACGATAGAGGAGAAGCGATGAGAGCGATGCAAGAGGAACGGGCCAACCAACTGCCCGGCGCCAGCGCAAAATACATCGCAAAGAGAAATGTGATGCACTTTTGAAAGAGGAAGTTCCTAGCCAAGTCAAAGTTGGAGACCTCGATGAGGATGCTGATGGGAAGTTCCGTCCATGAGTGGTCCCATGGAGCGCTATGGAACATTGGAGAATGGAGAAATGTGGAAAAAAAGGTTTATGGCTGGAAAATTTAATGACCCAGAAGCGACGGAAAATTAGGAAAACGGAATTTTGGTAATCAAAAATACTAATGTTGGTGCAAAAGTGGGCAAATGGGAAAGTTAATTACAAATCCATCAGACTAATCTTATACCTAGATATATGTAGTATTGTCGGATCAATGATAGAATACATAGTCAACTCCTGCCATAATAGGGGAGGTCAAAAACAAGTTTTCGCATCTTTGAGCGCATAGTTGAGCGTATCAGCTTCGACAATTTTTGTGACCGGCGTCTTGAATGAGTAGATATCTCAGAGTGAAAAATAGAAATTTGCGTCTTTACGCGTAAGGTTTTTGGTGAGAGCCGATCACAAGCTACATTTTTATTCTGCATGCATAAAATACTCAATCACCCAAAAATCACATAAATGCAAAAGAAATTTACAATAGATACACTAATAAATTCTTATCGCACAAACAAATAATTTATTGTATTCATTGTACATGCTCAAATATTTTATTGCTGGTGTTGACGTGAAGGTGAGAAGAACGAAGAGAACTTGCAAAACCATCCAAACAGTGGAACGCTCTCTTCTGATTCGATAATCGGTGAAGGTCTAGAGTAGAATAATAGGTAATAATAGGTACAAGCATATGTGAATTTTTCATGTGTGAATGCTAACACAACTCCCTTATACGGTTTAAACTTCGATTTCACGTTCACCTCATTCTAAACTCCTAACTTGAATACCGTACATTTTGTGAACAACTCGAAATTTCCGTCTAGTATAGCAAAAACTTACTCAGCACTTGATGCAGTTGGAATAGGAGTGATATGTGGTGAAGAGAAGGCGTTCTTCTCGTGTTGCGCATTCTTTATTTCATCTTCCTCCTCGTCTAATTCCAGACGTGCTTTTTCATCAACACGAATTGCTTCTTTCACTTCGAGCTAAATTTGAAGCATTAGTTGTGTAAAGTTTGATGATAAACTCCTCATGCCATGAAGACTAAATTTAGGTAAAAGCACTTAAGTCAAAACACACCAATCGAAGCGGCGACAATAGTCCGTCCTCGAGATCGATCTTCGCTTTCTGTGCCCGTTCGGGATTTCCATTCACAGCACGAGGAGACAAAATGAGCGTTCGGATTGGCGACTCGAGACCAACGACTGGTGCATCATTTTTCTAAAGCACATAATATAATTCAAAACAACATAACTGATCAAACAACATAAACATAATTTAGCTCGTAGTAACATAAACCTAATACTACCATTTCTAGATTTATAAATATGTAGGCAATAAGCGTTTTACCTTGTTCAATGAAGTGACATGTCGTTGCGGGGTGGCGCTTGCAATAGCTGTTCGTGGCACATCAATAAGAAAAATTTCGTCATCTTGTTTCTCTGCTTTCAGTTGACCGATTGGTGAGCTCTCCATATTTCCGTGTGCGACATTGTTTGCATCTCTGGACACCTCAATCACCTAAATCATCAAATTTTGATAAATTTGTTCTAAACCACAAACTTCGCGCATGCCATTTGCTGCAATGTGGTCACACGATGAGAGCATTTTGATATCCTGCACATGTAACATTACCATCTGACAAAAAAACGTACCCTGCAACCGCTGAGATCACCTGATGAAACATTTATCTTCTAAAAGAAAAAATCACAATAAAAAATGAAAATCTTACCTTGCACTTAGCAGGCGTCGACTTGTTATGCCCATTGAAGATAACTTCGGATAATTTGGCAACAAGACGCGGTCCCTTGTTGCTAAAGTAAAATATATCAAAACATAGATTGCATGATAGTAATTAAACACAAATGAGTATCTACTCCTTACGGCGGAATGCTTGATCGGTTGACAATTGGCTTTGCTGGAGAGACTTGAGGCTTAAACGACATCATCGCTGCACGCATCTGTTGTTGAGCAAGACGAATACCGGCCACCCGAGTGTCCTAAAAAGAGTAACCAATAGGGAACGAACAAATGAAAAAAGGTAGTCTATTAGAATAAAGCATCATAAAAAATACCGAATTAAAGAATGGACAATGCTCGGCACCGAGAATCTCCCCGTCATCTCCAAATCCATCGTCATCGTTTTCCGACAAAGATCCGTCCGATGAAGTGTTGTTCATTTTGCCCAGAAACTCGTCCAATTCTTCCTTGATTTCTTCGGCGTTTAGTCCTAAAAGAATAGCTAATACTATTTCACAAGAGAGTCAGTTGTACCACGATGAGCGGCAAGCAGAGTGCGCAATTTTTTGTTCTCGTTGACCAACTCGTGTCGCATCACTTCGCATTCTTCCTAAAATTGCAAACATTTAAAATGTACAATTCGAGCCAACTAACCGCATATTCCCTTGCCAACAAGGCTTTGTGCTCCTCTACTCCCAACGCAAGATGCATTCTCTAAAGAAAGCACATATAAAGTTCGACTTTAAAATTTAACCATATTTGCAACTTTGAGTGCTCGCATCGCTTCAGTGTGAATAACAAGCATCGAGACGAGATCGTTTCTAAAGAAAAACAAATGAAATGAATCCCTAATTGCATATCAACAATCAAGAATTCAACCTACTTGTCTCCGTTGATTCCGTCGATAATCTGTTCAGCGTCTTCTCTTGATCGAATAACCTCAGCGAAGCCGAATTTTCCGTTGTAGTTTGGGCGTTTGGCATAGGACTTTGCTTTGCGCAGTTCTTTCAACCGAAGGCGTTCCAGGGCTAAAATATAGAAGCTAAACTGACATTGTTTCATCAAACTCGTCTAATTTTGACTCTTAAACCAAACTCACCATGCTCGTTCATTCCAACCGCTTGTCCAATCATCATTAACCCACTCTCCCATTGATCCCATGTCTCTTTGTCGTAACTAAATGCACATTAGCAGATTTAAACAAAGAATGTTCTTACCTCTGGACACTGACGATCTCCTTGAAATGTAAATGAATAGCCGCTTTTGAGAGCGAGTGCGTGTAATTGTTGTCGAGTACTAAAAATAGAAAATCACAAATTATAAACGTTACAACCGACTTTTCAGAATTGACTTGAATGATCGTTGCTTTGGCGGCTCCTTGTCGTGAGTTCCTTGACTTTCTGCTTTCATCTTTTCGCGGATCGGCTGAAAGTAGAAAAGTTATTGAAAGTTGTTATGATTAAGTGCATAAAATACTAAAAAATAGCAAGTACAGTGCAAAGACGGTTGTTGGTTGTTAGTTTACTACAAATTGGCACCGAATTAAAATCACACGGTAATCTTTAAATTCCCTTGCAAACTTAAAAAACATCTGGTAACTCTCTCTTTAATCGAAATTACTTGAAGGCAAAGGAAAAAGAATCATACTAGTGATGAAATGAAGAAGTTTTCGATGCTTAAGCATCCAATAAGATGCAATTTCCAATAAACTTCGTACGAAACTTTTTCATAAACAACAATCATAAAAGAAGCATCAAACGGGAACGAAAGTTTCGAAGTTTAATTTTTTGTCGAAGAAGCGCAATTGTTCAGGCCAGTAGCGCATTGATGAATAAGTAGAATCTGCTTTCAGGAGACTTTTCGCTTTATTTGATCGTTAAATGCAAACGTCAAACTTTAGATGTTAATTTTCGCCTGATCTCACCGCCTGATCGCTGAAGATTTCAGCGTTTCATTCGATTTGCTTTTGATAACAGCAAATTTTTAATGTTTTTATCGTCTATTTCTTGCCAAATTCATCGTTTTTCCTGAAAATCATCCTACAGTAATCCCCGTCAAATGTCGCAAGAGAACTGACGTAACTTTAATGAGTTTAAAGTTTCAGTTCAGTTTGAAAAAAAAGGCGAATACCAATTAACTTCATTCACTTAGGTCTTTTAGCCGTTGGGCATAGGTAAAAACGAGGGACAACCTTTGCAAAGTGGCCTTTACAATGAACGACTCATTACTTCGAACTTTCAAAGCTTGTTTCGAATCAAGTACTAAAGACCAGTTTTGGTAATTTACCATGGAACACTTGTACTCGTTGCCTTGAAATGTTTTCAAAATCTAGTTCTAACTTTTACTACTGAAATTTCTGCTATGTTCTTGATGTAAATATTGTCTTTGGACAACTTGATGGTGAAAAAAAAGAACTTTACAATCTTGACCTCTTAAACGGCAAAAAAATTTCGAAACATTTTTTGATTTAGTGTTGCAAGAAAATGAAGAACTGGCTGTGAATTAGAGAATGTGAGAATTAAATGTTACCGTAAATACTGTAATAGTACCCCACCCCCTCGTACAGTCGCGTAGTCGCAAAAGTTTTTTAGTATTTCATTTTTTTCAAAGCGCCCGTACTTTCAAAAAATGCCGCTTTGGTATCAAAAAATAGCCCTGAATTTCAGCTATTTTTTGATACCTAAGCGGGCATTGTAGCATAAACCAGTGTCGAGAAAAACTCGTTCAAAGCTAGACTACGCAACACTCCGCACCGTCATTATGGGGGTGGGGTACTATTACAGTATTTACGGTAGGAATTCTTGAAAACTAAAAAGATGTGTTTTATTTTCGAAAACCTCGGGAAAGGCTGTCAAAAAGCGGCGATGGGTTGTTTTTGGGTTTTCAAACAAGTGCCTAACAAAATTCAGTCTTTCTATTTTAATTTCTGAACCATCAAACATTATGTTGAGTATTAGAGATCCAAATAGTTTCACTCTGCGTTTTATTTCAAAAAGCTCATCCCCATTTTTAACACCAATGCAAAACTGAGCTATGAGATTTGGCAGATGCAAATGCCAAATTTCGATTTGATCTGCAAGAGTCACAAGTACCGGAATTTTTCGTGTTCTCTGTTTTTACTCAGTTACTTAGTATCATTACTCTGTTTTCCCTTGCCCACAAAGCCAATCATTGCCTCATTTTTGCAAGATTTCTCTGAACATATCTATTTTCTTTTTTTTAAGCATAATTCTCAAGATCTTCTTTTCAAATTGGGATGATTATTCGGAAAAGAAATTTCTCGGGAGTTCTTTCAAGGAATGAGTTGTCTTGAAAAGGATCTCTCTCAACAATTCCAATTGACATTCCGAAAGAGTCTTGTTGGAAATTGAGGCATTTTTTGGGGGAAATTTTAGTATTCAAGTCCATCAGTTCAAATGTTTCTCGTTTCTCAAAAAAAATTCTTTGGCAAGTCCGGTTTATTCTTGGACTTTGCGAATCAAATTGTGATCGATTCAAATTTGGGTCACAGACCAAATATTTTGGGGGTTTATTTGCAGGTGCAAAGTATTTCATTAGCTCAAGAAGTACAGTAGGCTTATCAGGGGTTCTAGGACTTATCAGCGGTTCTAGGACACGGCCTTTCTGGTGCACAAAAGTCCCCTAATCTCCTGGATATCATTTTCATATAAAATGATGGGAAATGTTGCTTATGATTTGTCGCTCATTCATAATGCTTATCGCTCATTCATCCCATTGTTTTTATTTCGATTTCACTTAAAATTTCGCCCGTCTGGCCTAAAAAGTCTAAAGTTTAGTTTTTCTTTTGAATTTTTGTAAATTCACGAATTCGTTTGACGAATTTGGGCTTGAAATCAGCTTGAAATCAGCTCAGATTTCAAATCGCCGCCCCCGTTCACCCAGGCTCAAAAAAACGAAAAAGCGTAAAGTTTTTCAGAAAATCTAAAACGCAAACTATGAAAAGAGAATCGGTTTCACTTTTCACATTGAGTTTTTCCCAAAAAGTGAAATTAGCGTTTGTAACCCGAGATATTTGGCTCGATTTCCCTCATCCAAGGGGATTCGTTTTTAGAATGCAGAGGCAAAGTACCCACACAGACTCGGCTCATGTTGTGCTCATTTTGTGCTCATTTTGTGGTATGAACTTTAGAAATGGCTAGTGTTCGCTAGAAATCTGATTAGAGTTCTCGGGCTAATAAGTTTTCTAAAAGACACCTATTATGGAAAACAATCCTAACCAAAATGTTTCAGCTCAATCAGCTCAATTTTGGTATTATTCAATGAGTAATCACAAGGCTCAAATTATCAAAATCAAATTATCAAAATGATATCAAAATTAGACTCATTGAATGTAAACTGACGATAGATTACGGTTGTTTTCTAAAATAGGTGTCTTTTATAAAACGATAGAGAAGCTAGATGATACAGTGCCCACCATAGATTAAATTAATGTGTGTTAAAACGTATCTACTTTCGAAAACTCCCGTAATCAAGCCTTTACTTTTATCGAAAATCTGTTTACTTTTAGCAATTCTGAGAACATGAAACTAAACGTTGACAGACAAAAATGAACCTTTTTGTCAAGATTACGGTAGCTTTCGAAAGTTGGCAGGTTTTAGAAAACGGAAACAAGGCCTTTCTTTTGAACTAAAATATTTGGAAACCGCATTTAACCCGTCATTTTTTTCATTTTTAATACAACCAGTTCTGCTGTGTCAGCTTTTTTTCATTTTAGTTCATAGGAAAGGCCTTGTTTCCGTTTTCTAAAATCTGCCAACTTTCGAAAGCTACCGTAAACCAGCTGTGCTGGGCGTCTGTTACGCGGCCACACGGATATTCTATCTAGAGGTACTGAGGGCACGTAGCACAAATCTGATTGCAGATTCGGATTCCTCGCCCCCGAAAACCCCCGCGTACAAATTTTTAGCTTTCTAGCTCACTTCTTTGTAATTTTACGTTAACGTAATTCGTATTGTCGCGTAGGCGTGACAGACGGACGGACGGACTATATTTTTTTGTATATAGTAGATTCTATACATAGTTCAAATGTTTTTTTGTCAATTAGATTTCTGGCTGACAATTTGTTTATTTCGCAAGAATCCGATTTTCTCCGCATTCCAATGTGATATTGGGAGTCGAAAAACGGAAGTTTTATTCTTTGCCAATCGTACATTCGCAAAGAAAAGTTCCAATAGTTTTAAATAATCTTCAGAATTCAGAAAGATTTAAGAATTCAGAAAGATTTAGTCTTACAAATTTTCGTTACTCTTTCATTTTTAAACCCGAAATGAGTCGTCTCCATATTTCTAGAGTTCGGCAAACAAAACCAAAACCAAAACAGACCAAAACCAAAACCAAAACCCAATTTGCATATAAATTAACATGTAAATTTAAAATTGTAAAATGCAAATTTTAATGTAAAATGCAAATTTGCCTTTCACTTTTTCTCACTCCACAAAATCTCGCGGCCGAAAAAAGGACCAAAACACGACCTCGAAATTTCGAAACAAAAAATAGCCTATGGGATAGATTTTTGGACGCTGATTTCAAATCTGCAAGCAGATTTTCGCTAGCTCCTCCCAGTCGCGAGATATTGGCGAGTTTTGGTTAGTTTTGGTTTTGGTTTTGGTTTGTTTTGGTTTTGGTTAAGTTTTGTTTTCCGAAGTCTACATATTTCTATAACAAATCCTTGAGACTAAAGATTTTATTGTCAAGATTACGGTAGCTTCCGGAAGTTGGCAGGTTTTTAGAAGTTCTTAAAATTCAGCCAAATCCAATAAACAATTAGAATCTGGTAGTGGGCGAGTACAAAGTTTTTTTTGTCAAGAAAAGCCCCATTTTCAGAGCACAATTGCCATAACTCGCCAATTGCCATAAATAAAAATACCAATTTCAAGTGAATGAGTTGTGGGAAATTCTTGTGAGTTCGGGTTTTGTAAATAAGATTGAAAATTGAAATTTGAAAAGTTCTATTGAAATGATGTCTGATGTTTTTTTTCTGGAGTTGAGTGGAGACTTATTTAGACTCCGGTATCGAAGTTTGAACAAACGCACTAACCTCAGCACTAACCTCAGCACTAACCTCAGCACTAACCTCAGCACTAACCTCAGCACTAACCTCAGCACTAACCTCAGCACTAACCTCAGCACTAACCTCAGCACTAACCTCAGCACTAACCTCAGCACTAACCTATCTAGTCGCTTGTCTATGAAATAGCTAATTTTTTCAGTTTTCCCCAACCAATCACCAGATTCTTTTTGACTAAAGATTCCTGTGGAACAAATTATTTCAAACAATCACGATTTTCATATTTTCGATTTTCACGATTTTATTGTCAAGATTACGGTAGCTTTCGGAAGTTGGCAGGTTTTTAGAAGTTCTTAAAATTCAGCCAAATCCAATAAACAATTAGAAACTGGGGAGTATAAATTTTTTTTTGTCACGAAAAGCCACATTTTCTAATAACATATTTTAAAATAACTTTTCATATTAACCAAAAGAACTTTAAGCGTTTTTCAAAGCAATTTATCTTCAGTCAAGACCAATACAAGTCCAGTCAGTCAGTCACCAAGTCTAGTACATCGTACAGTTTAGTGCACTTTAGCTTCGTTTCTCCAACTTTCTCATTGATCATCTCTACTTTTAGATGCTCTGGTGAAGAAATTTACGTGGATTAGCCATGCATTCACCCAATAATTTCAACAACTTGACAATTGTGTAATTAACTTGATGTAACTTGCTGGTTAACCTTGTAGCCATTTTGAGAGCATCTTTTAGAAAACACTTTACTCGTCAAGAGCACAGTTGACTTTAAACCCTTGAAGGCCTTATAAGCGCTTGTTTTAAATTGATAGAACTTTAACCGTTTTTCAAAGCAACTTATCTTAAGTCAAGACCAATCCAAGTCTAGACTTCAACCCCATTCCCCCCATTTTCTCATTAATCATTTCTATTCTTCTGTAATCCCTTTCAAACACTAATTAGATCGTCCCATTATCTTAAAATCAGCAAAAACTTTCAAAAATTTTCCAAAAAAAAGTTCTCTTTTATCTTTTGTTTACTATGCCATCACTAACTGAATCAGTCATTAATCCGGGATTTTCTCGGGTACAAGACACAGAATTTTTGAATGACTTCATTTTGAAACATTTTAACTTGCTTATCCAAATGATCAAAGCAAGAATGTTACTGATTTAAAGCCAAAATTCAAACGATTCTTGTGCTGAATTCAGGTAAAGAGTGGCTTGTTTTTGCTTTAGCCTGCCTTTTTAGGAAATTTTTTTCAAAAAAATACATTTTCAATCTGTTTCAAGATTTGAAAAGCAACCTCTAATGGAAAAATGATTTGCGCATTTTTTTCATAATCTGACGGGATCGGCTGTTTCCATTTTGTGTCCCCGCGGCGATAATCTAAATTTATAACAAATGAACATCATTTTTACAGTACTACAGCACTGGACAATGAAATATGATATTTGAAAAACGATCGTCACTTTCGCGCGTCTGTAACTCCGTTGTCTTTGAGTTTAAACTATTAGTGTTATACATTTTCTGAAAGCTCTTTTCAAGGACTACACAATGGCAATATTAATATTTAGAAATGCGGTAAAGACAAAAGAGTTACAGACGCGCGAAAGTGACGATCTTTTTTTCAAATATAATATTTCATTGTCCAGTAGTGTATGTGCACTCATTATGCTCCAGCTCTACCATTTAAACTCTTTCCCAGTTTGTAAACTTTTCTAATAAAGGAAATACAATGCTTGCAAAGTTTTGCTGAATATAATTCTTAAAAGCGACATGTACAAAACTCAGAAGTCTTATATTTTTCCGTTTTTTTTTGTGAGTACAGCAGGCCTCACTCATTTCCTCCTTCACCCCAACAAATTCCCTCGAAACGACTCAACAAAAACTTCTCTTTTTTTCGTTTTCTCATTGAATAAGTGTTCTTTTACATATTTCTTTTCCAAATAATTAGTTGAAATAGGAAAAGAATGGAAAAAAAAATTTTGACTTTTCCCTTCACCGTATTTCCCTTGGGGAATCCCTCGCCAACAAATTTCCCCTCAAAACACAATAACCTTAACGTTTTTGTGGAAACTCAATGGAAATGACTAAAGTCTTTTCCCTTTTTTTTGTGCTGAACTTATCTAGAAGAAAATTTTTACTGATATTGTTGAAGTACTGGTGTTTAAGGAGTGCTTTTTTTTGTATTAAGATTGTAAAATCTTAAAACTAATGGAAATTTAGTGTAAAAAGCTATACATAGCTCACAGATTTATTGAAAATTTTTGAATTTGAAAGGGTTTTTTAGTTTTTTTAGGTTCGCATTCAGCTAGATCTCTAAAACTTACCGTAAATACTGTAATAGTACCCCCCCATAATGACGGTGCGGAGCGTTGCGTAGTCTAGCTTTGAACGAGTTTTTCTCGACACTGGTTTATGCTACAATGCGCGCTTAGGTATCAAAAAATAGCCCTGAATTTCAGCTATTTTTTGATACCTAAGCGCGCATTGTAGCTTAAACCAGTGTCAAGAAAAACGCGTTCAAAGCTAGACTACGCAACACTCCGCACCGTCATTATGGGGGTGGGGTCCAATTACAGTATTTACGGTAGTTTATCTTTAGTTTTTATCCAGTCTCTATACTTTTATATCTTTTGATATTCTTCGTGAACCCAGAAAAGAATCAAAAGTAAACGGATTGGGTAAAACTAGAGCCAAGGTTACGGTAGTTTTCGGAAGGTGACACGTTTTAGAAAAGCAAAATATTTGAGTTAAAGATAAAGAACATTCATAGTGCTAAAAACGATTTCATTTTTGATTAACTAGATTAAATTTAAGCACCTCAATTTTTTAAAACTCGAATCCATTCTCTTCTCTCTCAATTTACTATACAAATTGTCCCGTTTTACAAGCGATTTCCGGCTTTCTTCTCAAAAATCCTTCCCATCAACTAGCTTTCAATGTTTTGCCAAAAAAAATGAGGATTTCAAAATGTCATTATACGAAAATAGCTCGTCATCAAAAAAAAGCGCTCAAATTTTGTTTTGTGTTTTTCAAAACTTTTAAAAGAGAAGAGAATCGTCTAATCTTTCCCAAATTTTTGTCTATCTTTCGGAAAGAGCAAAACAGGAAAGAGACATTAAATATTCTAATTTCGGCGAGGCAAATCCTGGAATGGATCCAAAAGCGAAAAGCTCTTTGTTGTGAGGGAGGAAAAACAATAAATGGCAAGTGATTCGTCTATTTTTGGTGTATTTTGCAAGTTTCTCAAAAATCCACGAAGCTTTCATTTACTGGAGAAAACATTGCGTATTTCTGTGTCCACTTTGTTGAACTCTTGCTGGTATTGAAAACTTTCTGATAGCTAACAAAGGAGCACGAAAAGTTCGGTAGGTTGTTTATGGTTTCATTTTGAGGTTTGAGCGTTCGAAAGTGTCAGTGTGGCAAAATGTGTATGATTTTGTAACATAAAAGTCCCAAGCTCAAAGCCAAGTTTTCTTGGGAATGAAAAAATAGAAAAGTCAGTTTATATTTTTATCTCATAAACGTTTAAACTACCGTATTTCTTCGAATAGAAGACCGGGTAAAGAGTATCATCGCGTACTCCTGCGTAGCAGCCCTTTTTAAAATTTCTTTTCTGCATAAAAGCTTTCAATCAAGTGCTATAGGGCTGGAAAATGGCTCAAAAATACGACATGAGCTAACAGATTTTTGAGCCATTTTCCAGCCCTATAGCACTTGATTGAAAGCTTTTATGCAGAAAAGAAATTTTAAAAAGGGCTGCTACGCAGGAGTACGCGATGATACTCTTTACCCGGTCTTCTATTCGAAGAAATACGGTATACATTTACTTATTGTTTTGTTAACTTATTTATCAACTTTGTTATATGCAAATGAGATTTATGAAAGCTTTTTTCAAAATGAAATGTATCTTTGGAGTCATTCAGTCTTTCTTTGGAGTCATTCAGGTTACTCTGAATATCTACAGACTGATTGTTAGTATTGAAAAGTATTTAACTATCAAATTTCTGTATTGATAGAGCTTTCATTAAAGCTTTCACTTTTGCTTATAGATTAGTGTATACTCAGATTACTGTATACCGTATTTTCTCAAATAGTAGTTAGGGAAACTATTAGGGAAAATACAGTAGGTGTATTTCTGTTTTCTAAAAAGTGCTCTTTTCCCCGACTACCGTAACCCTTTCTCCAGTTTTATTCATGTTATTTAACTATCTGATTCTTGGAGGGTTCACAAAGGATACTGAAAGTTAGAAAACTAAATAGATTAAATAAAAACTAGAGTCAAGATTACGGTATTTTTCAAAAGTTGGACAAGCAGTTGGACAAATAAAAGTTGAACGCAACTAATCGGTCTCTAGAGGTTTTTTCTAAATGAAGTTTCTTTTGAGTCGCTGCTTACAAAAAAAAATACTTGCTCTTCTATTACCTATTCTTTAAGCTCTTTCCATTTGCAGACCCGCCAAAAAACACAGCTGATTTTATCGTTGACCGGTCATTTCTCAATAGCGCATTCATGAGACATTCCCCTTTCCGTTCTGGAATGTCTTTCTTTTTTTCTTTCATTCTGCTAAGTGTTCAAGAATAGCATTTCCGTGAATGTTACTTTATGATATAACTGCAAAATCTATCACGCTTCGTTTTAACGACTTGAAGGCAGAGAGTACCGTATTTTCTCTAATAGTAGTGCACCCTGAGCGTCGCCTAAATTGCTCGAAATCTCGAGAGCCACTTATCAGAACCTATCGATGTGGGGACGGAAAATGTAGCTGACGATGAGATCTAGTGGGGGATGAGAGTGTTGAGCTTCTGCAAAAGCTTGGAAACCGTAAAATCGTCACCAACTCGACTCGGTGGGGTGCACTACTATTAGAGAAAATACGGTAATCGCTTTGCTCTTTTGTACCCTTTAGCTTTATTCAGAGTGCTTTTTCTAAAGGATTGGATAATTTTGACAACTACTGTAATCTCTCTTTCAGTTCTTTTCCGAGTTACTTAATTCTGATCCCATTCGATAAACCTAGCTGCGAATCGAATGAGATTCAACCAGGAAAGTAAACCAGTAGAACCAGTAAAATCTGAAAGAAAGATTACGGTAGCTTCTTCCACCTCAGAAAACGAATCCCGGAACATCTCTATTTTCAGAGCTCAAACTATGAAAGCTCATGGCTTTTGTTTTTCAATAACTTTCATACAAAAAATCAAAAATCAATTTCAGTGCCCTCACTCAACTCATCCATCGCATCCACTTCCCTTCAATCCTTCACACTCTTCGTCATCACCAAGAATGTCCCTTTCTCCATCAACTTCTTCTCTTCTCCGTCTTCTCATTTCGGCTCTTTTATTGTGTCTCTCAATGCAATTCGTTCTTCAAGAATTACCCTTGGAGAGGTTCGAGCGACGGTACGGCATACTTGGTTTCGTTTTCAAGCTCACTTTTCCCTATTCTACAGAGAAACTCACACACAAAAAAAATGAGTGATTGATTGCTTTCAATAAAAGCTTGAAAACGTCTGACTATAGGAAATTTAAAATCTGATTTTCAAAATAGCGCAAAGTCTTAGCTTTCGACTCAATTCCACGAGTCAAATCCCTTTTTTTCATAGATTTCTCACGTCGGGGTAATCAGCTCGAGTAGTATTTCAGCATTTGAGCATCGAAGAGTTGCAATTTTCAAGTATAAAATTTGATTCTTCAAGTACTGATCAATTTTCGAGAACCCAAGCAAATGTTCTAATCATTTTCGATTTCTCTTGCGACCCTATCGATCAGTCAGTTTACTAAAAAGATATCAAATTGCAAAGGAACCAAAGACAAACAAGACATCACTTTTCCTCGCCTCATTTTTCCTCAATTGCAATCTGCCCATTTCAGGTCTCCCGATGACCCGTTCCAACGGATTGCCCGTCGATTACCCTATTCTGTAGCTAGATGGACTAACAAATACATGATGGAGTGAGTTATAAAAGAGAAAATATTTTAGCCCCCATTGAATCAAACTTATCCACAAATTTCAGCAATAAACCGTGAAACGAGCCGACAACTTTAATATACTAAAGAACGCTTGTTTTTGACGCTCTCTCTCTCACTCACCCAGAAACTTTACAATTTTTTTTGATCTCACTGTTTACTAAACTTTAGAATAATAGTGTATTCTTTTGATCATCTAGTAAAATTTTCAATAAACATTCGTTTGTTTTCAGTAATTGTTCACATTCGAAATTTTATGTTTATTAATAACAAGAAACAAAGAAGAGTTTTTAACAAAAAAGATGCCATAAATCAACGCGGGCTTGACGATCTCCTTTGGATGAATAATAAACGAGACAAGACTAAAAGTTTAAACAAATATGCTGTTGATGGTGGGTCAACAAGCAAAAAAACAAAGAGCACCTAAGCGGTTTTCGGAGAGATTTAGAGAATCTGGTTTCTCGTTCAGTGAATCTTTCTCAACAACGCTGGAATGCTCTTTTCAGAAAAAAAGCAAGAGAGGACAAGTTAAAGTTCTGTGTGAATCGATTAAATTACACAAAACAACAGAAGAGTTAGATTGTTGACAAAAGGAAACACGGAAAAAGAAGCAGGCAAATTTTATCTCCGGAAAAAACGCAAATCAAATGAACAGAATTTTAGTAAGCCATCTCTCTAAACACGACAAATCATTGCCCATACCCGAATTTTTCTTGTACAAAAACAATGAATTAATGACGACGAGGTCGGCCACCACAAAAGAAACACGATTACGCAAAGAAACAGGAGAGAATGAGTAAAGATCATAATGAAACCCATATGAAGTGAAGGCCAAATAAATAAACAACTTCACCGGATCAATGACAAAGACTTCAAACAAATGAGTACCACTAGATGAAAGGTGAAAGACAATATTTTGATCGGGAATTGCTATTGAAATCCACGCGTGATCAGTTGATTTGGCCTTCATTCACGTTTTGCCTCATGGTACCCCTCATCTCTGTGTGGCTGACGTGAGTGTTGGCTTTGCTGCTGACTATGAGAGTAATACTAAAGTTAACATTTAAAATGGGACCACTATTACAGCCACTAACCTGATCATGGTTTTGGTGTGGGCGAGACTGATATCGATCACCATCACGACCACCATAGCCCTAAAAATAAATGTTTCAGTAAAAAATGCATCGAAGTATACCCTTGTAGATCCACGCCTGTCAAAATTGGTATTGTCATGTGAAAAGGGTCCTCCACGATGATAACCTAAACTATTCTATTCGCGAGTTAATTGAAAGTCTATGGTAAACACCTTCAAGAACAAAATAACGCTGAAAAGGTGTAACCAAATTTAATTGCCAATTCAAATTAGTTACTTTTCTTTGTAAAATCTAAGAACCACTGACTTTTTCCGCCTCGTGATTGTGAATGAAAAGGTGCAACATTGCCGCCATGTGATGGTCCACGTCCACGATAAGAAAAGCTATATCCTCCGCGTGAAGCACTTTTTGGTGGTCCACCTCTGTTGAGTGGTCTTCGAAAGACTTGATCACGATCCCGATTGTTTTCTTGTGGGAAGTGTTCTAAACAAGACATTTTCAAGTATTTTCAATTATAAATGTTGCGCACTTCTACAAGTTGGTTCGACATGTCCAGGCTCTCCACAGTGTTTGCAGAAGTAAGTGTTTTGGAATTTTGGGCACAAGACATTGTTGTTCTCACGAATCCTAAATACCATGTTTAAATGATATTACAGAATTTACATGCTCACCTATGTCTTGTTGCATCAGGATATCCTTTCTCCAAGCAATATGAACAGTAACTGTCCGAAGTACGCTTCAAATTCTCCACAGCCTCTTTGTCCATCTATAATTTTGATTATAATAATATAATAATTTGATAATAAAAGTGGCCAAGAACCAACCTTGCAAGACGGCTCATCAATATTTCCGTCTTGTTCAACATTCTCTAATCCATCTAAAAGAAAAATCGGCCTCAAATACGAAAGAAACCACCAACAATTATTAGGCTGCAACACACGGACATCTGACGACATTTTTGTCTCTGATAAATTTTGCTGCTGCATTGTTGTTTCAATCGACATATTAGGAGAATCCTTTGTACCAATTTGCAAATCGTTCATCTAAATGAAAATATATATTAACAAGTAAATGCTCATTTAAACTATATTAATACAAAACCTTTTGTGGAAGAGATAGTCCATTGTCTGAAGTGTTCATTGATTCCAGTGTATTGTCGAAGTGTTTCAATTCTTCTGGCAAATCAATGGAAGCGTTCGTCGAGTCACCCTCACGCAATCTTGCTGCCACTGCTTCCTTCAATGCTTGGCCTGGATTCAAATCCTTTGAATCGGTAGCACTCTGTAAACGCACACAATAAATTTGTTGTGACAATAAAAGTCACCTTTCCATCAGGCTCCTTCCTCGTTTCTGCTCCAGATTCGTGACAGCTTGATGGCGTTTGTGTTTGCGATCGGTGGGGAGTTGGAACAGCTGAACTTGGCCGTGTCTAAAAACATATTTTAAAGTCCATATTTTTGTATAAATGAAGCTTACATCATTTTCTCCATCTTTTGGTGGTTGGCGTCGAGGTTGATAAGGACGACCATTGGTTTCATTTCCTGAATGACTTAGTTCAAAACCATTAGATGATTTCAAGTCACTTGGGTATCGGCCACTTTGTTGTGGATAGTTTCCTTGCGCATAGGGCATTGAAGAAGGAATAAATGACGGTGTTTGGGCGGAAAACCTAAATTGAAGATATAATGTATTTGCTACTTTAAATTTCTCACCTTGAGTCGTAATGGTATGGTCCAATCGTTGCAGCCATCAATGGCACGGGCGTTGCTGCAGGTGGTGGAGGAACTCCTTGTACCAACATTTGTTGTCCCATCTGACCCATTGCCTAAAACACATAGTTTAGCTTAGTGCATTCAAGCTCTTACTCTCATGTCATAATTGGGATCTGGTTGCACTTGTGACATTCCTTGGTTTTGAAAGTTGCGTGAAAGGCGCTGATTTATTATGTGTGGAGGAGCGTGCTCCTAAAGCTATGATTTAAAAATAGGTTCAATCATATGTTACCTGTGGTGCGTAATGCTGTCCTCCAGTTGATACCATAATCTAAAGCACTCAGTTAAGATCTGCCTAGAAAAATTACCATTGAGCTATTTGCTCCCTGAAACATCGGCTGATGTGCCGAACTTGGTGCAACTGGTGGTGGAGCCATCTAAACACATTAGAAATTATTTTCTTTTTAATCGCAAACCATTGAAACCATCGTCATTTGTGGTGGCATTGCAACGCCGCCAGGCGGTCCATAAAACATCTAAAGATCAACATTTAGATTTTACTCATGATTTAAACTTGCCTGTCCTTGTTGCATATGCGGTGGCTGTTGTTGTCCTTGCGGCGCGATTCCTTGCATTGTCATTCCGTGTTGCGCGTATTGATGCGGCCCAGCTCCGATTTGTTGTTGATTCATCGGACGAGCTAACTAAACAATTAGTTATTGTTTTGAATCAGTTCACAGCAAATCCAACCTGTTGTTGAGGCGGACCACGCATTTGGGGAGGTCCTGCTGATGGTTGTCCTCCCGACGCGACATCATACTCGTGATACCTAAAACTATTTGCTTGATGAGCGCTAAGCGACAAGCCAAATTACCCCTGCATCGGTGGTTGAGATCTTGCCCATTGAGGTTGCGTAGCTAAATAGGCAAAATCAGTTGAAAAGAATAATTACAAACCAAATTGTTGTTGAATAGGCATCGCGTAATGTGGTGGATCGTAGATTGGTGGTTGTCCCATATGAAATGGTGCAACATTCTAAATTTAAACATTTGCTTTGCAAGATGAAGGATTAAAATTAAAAGTAATTAAAAAAATACATGTCCTCCGTAAAACGGCTGAGGCATAGGTGCACCGGACGTCTCATCAAACGAGCCGCCATGTTGGACCATTCCATGCTAAAATTAGGCCATAGATACATGATTGTAACAAAACAACGTACTTTCATGGCATTTTGATCCATTGCATATTGCGGACGTATTTGTATAGGCGGGCCTTGAAATTGCATGTGTTGCTGGGGATTGTGGTTGTACTAAAAATTGAAAATACTTGATAATAGGCGACTACAAAAGAGAATTCGTTTATATTAGTATTTCGAATTAGCTGTTAGACAATCTATTTCTCAAAAGAAATGTAACCAAGTAAACTTTTTTAGCTCACGATTCGGCAAATTAAAGCATAGATTAATTCTTAGCAAGGTTGGAAAATGCGCTAAAAGTTTAGTTTTCAGAAAAAATCTTCAAGCAAAGGTTTTTAGCAAACTCTAAAAACACTACTTACTGGATAGCCTGCAGGCGGACCAGTTTTATGTCGATTTCCATCATCCGCGTTTGCAATTCCAGAATCAGGCGTCGTTCTCGTTGTTGGTGGAGCTGACGTATTTGTTGCATACGCTCCATTCATTTCACCGGCTCGAGTGCTCATTGAACTCTGAAAGAGAAGATTATTTGACTACTTAAAAGGACAACGAAAGTTAGAACTGAAAAAACGCGTTTAACATTTCCTTCCTAGAATAAACTTGAACGATTCAAACGATCTAACGAAAGTTAGGCATCAACAAACTACATGTTAGTGAAGGGATGGTTTATAAGCAGGACTATACCTAAACATTAATGCGGTGTTACTTTATGCAGCACTAACTAAATACCTCGTTATTGATTTAGAAATGCATAATTAAGCTTACTCAAACAAAAAGAAATGTGCTACAAGTAAAAATTTCAGAATTCTATTGTTGCGAAAAGTTTTCAGTGTGCTAATTTAATGTTTTGAGAGCGAAACGCGCCAGCAAAAACGAAAGGGTCAGCGCAATGGGTTGACGTTTTTCATGAGATTGAACAAGGGAAGAGAAAAGGGGGAAATGACTCCCGTAGTTGGCAAATTTCAATCAAAGCTAAACTTTAGCACACAAAAAACGCGCGATTGCTTGATTAGAAAGTGGAATTTCCCCAGATCACTCGACAAAGGCTGAAACCAATGCAAAAACAACACGCTTTCGTGAAATTCTTCAAAAATTGTTACAGCTAATGCACTTTTTAGGCTCATCAACCACTCTTACACTAATTTTTCCACAAATACTTCACAAACCAGCCAACTACGAGAATCTCGGTGGAAAGGAACATCATTAGCGCATCAAATCACCAAAAGGGAGCCTAACGTTGTGCGATCTCTAAAAAAGAATTTTGCTAATTAGATAAAGAATGATTGACGACGCCAAAAAAAAGTCAGACAAAGTGTGACATTTAAAGCATTTAAAGCAAAGAAAATTTGAAAATATTTAAAAATAAAATTTTCATGTTTATCTGTTTTCTACACATTCACATCGTTTTTCCTTTGAAAAAGTAGCAAATTTTTGTTCAAAAATCCAATTGACTCTCTTGTTTATTTGATTTTTGATCAAAAAGGACCCGCCCGTACCCAAAAAAAGATTAAACGGTGATTAGAAAATTGAAAAGACATTGGGAAAGGCCGACTTCTCGATTTCCCCGCTGCTCAACCTAGTCATTTGAAGCAAGAATGACCTAGAAATTTGCGGGTAAAGTAAGGTTTGTTACAAACAAGTGAAAATTTTCAGTCCAGGAGCAATTAATTTTAAATGTAAAATTTAAGAATCTTGTGCAGGTTCGAGTAACAGAATCGGTCGCGGGATTGCCGTCCATTTTGCGTGTCTTGGCTCAAAAGTGACACTCACTGGCCGAAATGAAATTGATTTAGAGGTGATCTCGCAAAATTCAATGAACTTGAACTTGCAAATTTAAAAATAATTTTTCCTAGTTTTCAAAATATAAACGGTACTCACTACCGTAATCCCTGCCATAGGACACCGTGGGTGTTAGGTTTTCTAACATTTGTATAACTGTAACTTTTTGTGTCAAAAAAAGAGTTCCAAAACCTAAACTAGACGATTCCAATTACTGTAACAGAGTCCACAATTTAGGAAACTCGTTCATTTTGTATAAAAGCCGGAGCCGAAGATGGGAAACTTCTTGTAGTGGATCGCTCGATCACGAAAGTGTCATAGGTCGACTCGTTTCGGAAACAATCGAAAAGTTTGGACAGCCAGATTTTCGAATAAATGGACGAAAAAGCATAATATTTTTGAGTATTCAGATCAACAACGCGGGTGTCGGTGATCGTGACAATTCCGGGAAAAAGCCGAGTTTCTTCACTCAAGGAATGGACTCTTTCAGCTAAATTTTAAAAATTAACATTAGATGGTGGGTAAAATACTGTAATCGTTAATTCTCGAGAAGCTTTAGTCCTGTTTAAATGGTTCGCCTGGGTGCTCGACATTTGGAGAAAACGAAAGGAGCCATTGCGAAAATCTCGTCGATTTGTCCGTCCGAAGTGCAAGCGGCTTGGCTTTTTGAGTAAAAGCGCTTGACAGTACAGTAAAATTTCTACCGTACTTTTAAAAGTGCAGTACTTGTCTATTTGAAAAAAGCTCGTTCCAGTGCGTCTACTCATTCTAAAGCGTGTCGAAAGCGGCATTGGATCAAATGACCCGGAATCTGGGATTGGAAATTATGTGATAGGTAGATAGTACGGTTTAACAATCCGCTTTCTAAAACGTGTACCATAAACTTTCCTATAGTTTTTAAATCAATAGTTTTTCAAGTTTTTCAGGCTCGGCGCCGTGTGAGCCACAATCCACCGAAAACAGAGGATTTCTGATAATACTAAACATTAAACTTTTATGGCAATTATTACATAATCTAAAACTACTAAACTAATAGAATCTAGGGTCGAGAAATGATTGCAAAAGATTTCGTATTATCCCAGCAATGACATTGGGGCGAACCCGAGGATGTGGCTCGACTGGCCGCTTAGCGGAAAGATCTGCGGAAAGGTGTTTAATATTTATGGGGACTTTTGAGCTCGCAGCTCGTTTAGCGCTCTTCAAATTGGTTGGTGGAAAAACAAACAAGAAATACTGCGTAGGAATTAGAACAAACTCGATTTCTAGATTTTTTTTACAGTTTACTAAATTTGATATTCGAAAAATCAATTCATCGGAACTCGATCACCAAATTTCATGAAAACGAGTCAAATCCAAGTTTTTCTTGTTTAAAGATGGGAAAGTCTTCACTATTTAACAGTTTTCCAATCTACGGGACTAAAAATGTTAGAATCACATTTCAGTTTTGGTTCTTCCAAGAAAGTTCAACGAAAGTTTGTAAAAAACGCAACTTATGCCACAGTAGACGCTTTCCACAAGCGTTTCTGGGCGAGCAACAGCGCAAAAGGCAATGATTTTGAAAAAAGTAACTTAAAGTTGTTAACGTTGGGTGTATTGATAAGTGTGTTTCTTTTTAGCATTAAACTTGTACAAAATTAGCTTTAAACCTAGTAATCTAGTGGTCCCCATAAATATTGAACACCCTGTATCATTTTACGATTCAGAAAAGAAAAAGCAATGAGGAATGGAAAAAATACGTCTTACCGTCTTACCAGTAATTGAGTTTTTAATGTCTTTGCTCAAGTTTTTGATATGGTTTTGAATAAATGAATGTCACATATCGAAACTTGGTATAACCTGGTAGTATAGCTGTTTTCCAAACTGAGTCAGGCTTATTTTGAATCAGCCCAGGCCACATTTTGTACATTTATGTACCATTTTTCACTCTGCCTAGTGGTAAAAGAAAGGTCCAAAGATGCTTGAACACATTGTCATCATTTTCATCAGCAAGTTTCAACAAAATCATCCTTCACAACTACTCGAAACATCAGTTACCGTTTTACTCTCACTAAAATTGAGCAAACAGACTGGTCACAAATCACACAATCCCATGAACTCAAGCGCACTTTCAAATTTCTCTTTTCCAGAGCATTTCAAAATCCTCGTGTGTCTTGTTGTGTTTTTCTCGAATTCTTTCCCCAATTCTTTCCCCAATTTTTTCTCATCCATTTCCCGTGCTTTACCACTCTAAACTGATAAGCTATCACATAAAAGCACAAATTTTTTTACGGTTCATTTTATTCGGTTTCGTTTTCATTGAACTTTCTTGAACTTTTTCGTCATGAAGCAATTCGAAGGGAAAGTCGCCTTGGTCACCGGTAGGTTAGAAACGAGTTCAACGATTGTTTGCAACTTCTAAAATTTTCTATTTTTCTCAGGCTCAAGTAACGGCATTGGTCGAGGGATCGCTGTTCATTTTGTCAAAAATGGAGCTAAAGTGACGCTGACTGGGCGAAGTGTAGAAGCGTTGGAGGTACAAGATTTGAATATCTAAATTGTAACAGAAATTTTTGATAATATCAAGAGCAATCGAAATTTTTATAAAGTTACAAAAGTTTTCCTTTAGGAAGCCAAGAAAGAGTGCGTGGAAGCTGGCGCAAGTGATGGAGATCTTCTCATTCTCCCGGGAAATCTCGGAGAAGAGGAATTTATGGATAAACTGATCAATGAGACTGTCGAGAAATTCGGTCGCTTGGATTTTTTGGTTAGCTGCTTTGTCTTTGTTATCTAAAATCAAATTTAGATCAACAATGCTGGAGTGAGTGATGAAGATTTTTCGGGGAAACAACCGGGTTTCTTCTCTCAAGACCTGCAGAGTTATGACTACATTTTGAAGATCAACTTGAGATGGTAAAAAGATTAACTATAAGAGGGAAATGTGGATGAAAAATTGCTTGCCATTTTAGTGTTATATATCTGTGTCGCCAAAGTGCTCCCCATTTGGAAAAAGTGAACGGAGCAATTGTGAACATTTCCTCGATTGCCGCATCCGAAGTTCAAGGGGTTAGTCAAGCAACTCGCTTTTTCTTAGAAACATTCTGCAGTAACGTACTACGGTTCCAAATATTTAAATTCTTCGAAATCTTGCCCAAACTGCAAAATCTTTTAATCCAGAAACACTAATTCCAAATGATTTGCCAAAACGAGAGGAATAACAAGACGATTCGTGCCGGGGTTGGATTGACTAGCGTTTATAGAAAAAAGATGGAGACTATACTGGTTGGGGGGCAGTGGATGGGACCTCAAAAATGCCTCTGGCAAGTGCCTAGAAAAGAAACCCTAGAAAAGGCACTGGCAAGTGCCTTTTCTAGGGTTTTCGGCCACGTTGAATCGATTGGTAATATTTTTAAAACGTGTTTTTGACTTATTTCTTCTAGGCTGATAGGTTTGAGACAAATCTAAAGTACTTGAAAATAAAATAAGCAAATAAGTGATGAAAATAAGCACACGTATTTTCAGTGTGGCTTCTCCTACTACTCTGTCTCAAAAGCGGCTCTCGATCAATTAACTCGAAATCTTGCCTTGGAAATGATTCGACGAGGAGTTCGCGTTAACGGAATCAAGTAAGACGCAAGAATAAAATACAAGTTTCAACTATTAATAGTACTCCTTAAAAAATACTCTTAAAAAGTACTCCTTTTTCCCTAAAATACTCATTAACTTTTAGACCGGGTGCGGTGAGATCAACAATAATGCTGAAACAGGGAGCAGATCAAAGTGTGATTGATAAGGTAAATATTTAAGTGAGACAGTAGATTGGAAGATATTTGGAAAATATCAGTTTTCAGATTCACGATGATTGCAGCAATCGTTTCGATATGATTCCGGCTCGTTTCGTGGCCGATCCGATCGATGTCGCCAAATTGACCGCTTTCCTTTGTGATAAGTGAGTACAGGGACACTAATTCGTAACGCACGCTTTCTGGCGCACACTATCCCCAACTAGTACACAAATTTTAGCTACTGTAGATACAGGTTCAACATCTTCAAAAGCTACAGTACTGTGACTAAGAAAACTATTGGAAAACTGTAAATACGGGTCAATAGATATAACAGCTACAGTGCTGTAGAGTAAGACTGTAGGGGTGATAGACGAATCGTAGCAAAGATACCGTATGGTAAAGACCAGATATGTTAGTTATCTTCTATTGTATTCTAGGCTTCATTTCCAATTTCCCGATTCCAGTGATCAATCTCGTTACCTCATCGGTCAATCAATCCGTCTTGATGGTGGTTCTTCTCTCGTCAACACGATGCTTTTGGGCAGTTTTGCCGAGTCGATCGATTTTAAAAAAGGAACAAAAATAGAGAAAATTGATGTAAACAGGCAGAAAATAAATCTTTTTATTCTCAAATACTCGTTTTTTTTTATTTCGCAGCCCCGTCAATTGTTTTCTTTTGTTTGTGTCGAGTTCTAAACGAGATCGATATGCAAATTTGAATGTGTAAATACAGATACAAAAATTCGGACTACGAGATTTAACTTTTACTAGTTGATTTCAAAATCTTGTATGTATCGAGGTGTAATATAAGAATTCGAATCGCAAACCTTAAAGTGACCAAAGATTTCCGAGTGGGGAGATCCCGGCGGCGAGATTTTCGACAAGAACCGCCACACACATCAACCAGAAAATGTGGAAAAGTGAAAAATATTGAAAAAGCTCATTCTTTGTGTAAAAAATAAAGTGCTTCTGGTGTTCGATCCTCAAAATTTCAACAAGTTTTGAATCTCATAAAAGAACTGACCGTTGAAAAAAAGCCAAAAGCAACAAGATACTGGCTGTCAGTCGACAATGAAGAGACGGGGATTAGGGAACGCTATACAAGCTGTTCAAAAAAGAAACGTTCAAAAACGTAAAGGGTTTTGTTTGTTCACCAAATTCCTTGCGATTCCGACCTATTTAGCAAAAACGGACAACATATTCGGAATCAGCGTAAAATTCTGCATCGGATGGTCTAGGTCGCATTTCGATTGACCACCTTGATTTCGTGACCTTCCCCTGTTAGTTCGTTGGGAGTTTTATATGGAAATTTTACCAATCTGCAAATTACTCACTTTACAAAGCATACAAGAGTCCCTTTCTCTGATGTCAATTCAAAACTTCTGAAAACAAAACAATCAATTGTTTTTTATTCATTTATTTACAAGAATAAGTTTTGAAATGACAAGCCTAATAAGATTCGATTCAATCCCATTTGTTCTTTTGTTTTATTCTTTTACTTTTTGTCTCATATTTCTCCATTTCTCCACTTCAAAAACTCTCTACCGTACTCCCTTCCCAAAAAGTCAATTCTCATTATTCAGGCGCATACTTTTTCTGCTGGATTTCCCCTGTCCCAATCTTTTTTTTTTTTCTTTTCTCTTCCCCCAATCCACTTCATAAATACTAATCAATTCCCCAATTCGCGGGCCACTTTTTCTTCGAATACCATCACCTTTTTTTGTCTCCTCCGAATCACCGAGAGTCTTTCTTTTCCCTAAATGTCATTGTATGCTAATTCCTCGGTTCCTCTCGAGACAAGCTGTTTTCCTAATTTTCTTAGTGGTTTATAGTTTTGTGAAGATTACGGTAACGCTATTCAGATTCCTGTAACTTTATCCAAGTTCTAATGTGTCCGACTTGTTTTCATTTTTCTTTGATATACAATTTCTGAAATCCTCTACCGGTTGTTTTATATATTTGCCCGATGGCTGAGACGAGAAGTCAATTGTTGAAATCGATCGACGAGTTGCGTCCTCTACTCCCCGTCAGTGACGCCATTTTGGAGCAACATGATCGGTAAGAGTTCGATTTGTGTTAAAACAAAGGTGAAAATTTAGAATGCTTAAATCCTTTGTCTAAACTAACTAAACTAATCCCACATACCGGTAGACCGTGTAGACGCCATGTGCACAGGCACGTGTAGACCGTGCCGTGTAGCCGTGTAGACTTGGTTCACTAAACCCTTTCGTTTGTACCGAAAATGAGCGTCAATAAAGCAACTCGAGTCAATCCAACCGAACTCCATTTTACTAGTTGAATTTATTGCGGTTCAAAGGAAACACATTTGAGTCAAACTAGGTGTCATTTTTGTTTCAAAGCCGATTTCCAACTAACACCACAATCCATCGTTTCATTCAGAACAACAATCCTCCGCCTCACTTGTGCCTATTTGAACCTCTTGAAATTCAAATCCACCCATATGCCCATGCCGAATCCATATGAGAGTTATCCGACTGATTTTGAGACAATGATGTTGCAGGTAAATTTCAAAACCTAACCTGAATAAAGTTAAAGATTTCTAATACACGACCGCGAATTATAGCGAGAACTTTTTGGAAAAGCACCTGGGAAATGTCTAATTTATTTCAAAACTGGCAAATGTTATATAGAGAATTGTAGCCTTTAATCTTGGCAACATTTATCTACCAAAAACCTCTCGATTGGACTTATACAACTCATTTAACAAGCGCTTGAATGAGCGCTAGTCGATATCTTTCCGGCGATCTGCCATTTTTCACGAGTTTCTACATTAAAAATTTTCGTTCGGAAAAGTTTTTTCAGTCAAATTTGTAGTAAATTGTTTTCAACAAATTTATAGTGACAGAACAGCTGATATAACGAGATACCGTAAATACTGTAATAGTACCCCACCTCCATAATGACGGTGCGAAGTGTTGCGTAGTCTAGCTTTGAACGAGTTTTTCTCGACACTGGTTTATGCTACAATGCGCGCTTAGGTATCAAAAAATAGCTGAAATTCAGGGCTATTTTTTGAAAGTACGGGCGCTTTGAAAAAAATTAAATACTAAAAAACTTTTGCGACTACGCGACTGTATGAGGGGGGTGGGGTACTATTACAGTATTTACGGTATGTAATTTAGCTATCGAACGATGAGCTAAAAATCAGGGAATTTCTCTCGTGGACTGGTGGCTGTGTCGGGTAATTTTTGAATCAGAGTCAGAGCTTTTTACGGTACGTATAACTGAAAATCGAAATACTCAATTTTCATCTTTTTCCTGATCATCCTGATCATCAACTTAAATTTTTGTTATGCCAGTTTAGCCAAAACTGTTAAGTATGTTTTCTTAATGTTATTAAGTGATGTTAAACGCTATTTTTGCATTGAAAAAATATTAAAAAGCTTTTCAATTTTAATAGAGAAAAGCGGTCAAATGATAGATTCGGCGAGTTGTCGACTAGCGCTCATTCAAGCGCTTGTTAAATGAGTTGTATAAGTCCAATCGAGAGGTTTTTGGTAGATAAATGTTGCCAAGATTAAAGGCTACAATTCTCTATATAACATTTGCCAGTTTTGAAATAAATTAGACATTTCTCAGGTGCTTTTCCCAAAAAGTTGTCGCTATAATTCGCGGTCATTTTGAGCAGTTGTCAGAGTAAAAAGCGTTCAATGATTGCCAAAAATTTAGTCCTTGGAGGGATTTTGTGTGATTCTTGACGCTCAATTCCGTATTCTTTATACAACCGAGGGAGTGAGCACGCATTTGGGCTTCTCTCAAGTAAGAATATTCTAGAAAACTTTCTCGTGACACCAAGTCGTTGTTATGATACCAAACGCTACACCAGAAGGCCAGCGTTTACACTTTCACAAAGAACAAATCAAAAGCTTTACTTTCAGCACCAAATGTTGGGTCAATTCCTTCACGAGTTCCTCCATCCAGACGATTTTCACTACTTGCAACAATCCTCCACGCATCCCGGCGATTTTCCGCGTAAATTTTGAATCAATTTCACACATTAAACAATAGTTTTAGAGATTTAACGATAAAAGTCGTAAAAGTTATGAATCGTTCCAGTATCAGCCACTCCTGTAATCATCGAGGCCGCTCAAATTTTTACCCTTCGAATGAACGCAAAGTTGCCGAAGCGAAACGCCGGTTTTTCACAACATGGATACAAGGTGGATATTCTTGCTTCAGTGCCGTATCATTCTAATAAAAGCTAAATCTTTAATAGGTCTGATCAGTTCAGTCATCTCCACAAATCTAGTACAGCACTCAATCAAGTCTCAGACTCAAGCATTGCAACCCTCTACTAAACCAAAAATGTTATCTGAAAAACAAAGTCACAGGCTCACAAATATTGTACTCTTTTTAACCTAGTATCAGATCCATTCACACTCCTTGTACTGATAATGGATTGAACCGATAGTAAACCGGTACTAATATCAGATTCATAGGACAAAAAACAGTGTGGCCAACAATTATAGCGCCTAGATTGGCCAAAATTGGGTCAATCGTTCTGATTTTCTGGAGATAAGTATTTCTCGTGGAACGCTACCCATTATTTAATCGATTTAAGCTTTTAACTTTTTTATATAGCCTTCCAAAGTTGAGAGCCGAATATCGCTCGACACGCTACTCATTTATGGAACTTTTGAGAGCGATCTTGTCAAAATCTCGTTGCGATTGAATTTATTAGATTAATAAACGAAATTTTACATGCTCTACGCGGTTTAAGTGCAAAAGTCTATTATCACAAAATGGATTTTCAACCAAAGTCACTTTCAGACCGCAATCTGCACAGGTTTCTTCCGTGATTTCCACTGGGCTGGTTGCTCGCAGAAAGATGTCCTCATGATCAATTTTCAACTCATAGACAAGGTTCATCAGTTTATAAATTGCACAGTTTTCTAAATCTAGAGTGGCACTGACGTCTTGCTAGGACGAGAGATGTTTTTCATTCGATGCACACCCGAGTTGAGGATCATCTTCATCGAGGGGCGGTTGGTTGACATTTTCAGGAAGTGACCAAGCTGGGTTTGGTTCAAGAAATGCAATGGTTGTGACGTGATGACATAGTGCCTAATTTTCCATCATAACCTCATCCCAGAGCTGGCATCCTTCTCGGCTACAATCCGGCGAATCTCCTCAACAAGACGATGTACGAAATGGTGATCCCTGACGATGTTGAGTGCATTGTGAGAGCCCATATGAGATGTGAGTTTGAGAATTTGAATAAAAACATTATAAAATCTAAGCTAAGTTTAAAATGTAAGTCTAAAACCTAAGGCCTAAGTCGAAGGCCAAAAACTTTTTAGTGATTCGACTTCACGAGTACCAATCGGTGACGGTGATGGTTCGACTCTTGAAACAAGGTGAAAGCTATTTTCAAACACATCTAAACAGTTCGATTTTCAAAATCCAACTCGAATATCTAGCTTTTTCAGGCGGTGATCTCATCTATGTGACGCTTCATTTGTGCAAAATCCCGGCACTCAATTCTGATGCCATTTCTCCCTACAGTATCGGACTGATCGTCACGGTTTTCGGGTAAAATATGAGTTAATATTTCGAGAACAGTGACAAAAGTTATGCATTTACTTTTGTTCAGCCATGCCTAACTCTACCATTTTTTTTCGGGTCGTTTGCCGTTGACAATCTAAAAAATTTTGTTTGTGCCTTGACCGGATTTGTTTGAAAAAACGTTGAATTTGCTTTCGTTCGATAGAAAATTTGATTTCGAGTCGAATGAAAGCAAATTCAATAATTTCTATTATGTCTACAATGCCATCGGGTCGCTAAATGCATTTTAGCAAACGGCTTTTGTTTTCTAAAGTGTAAAAACACATTGTATCCACGTTTTAGTAAACAAAAATCGTTTGCTAGAGTGCATTTAGCGGCATTTGTCGAAAATTCAACGTTTTTCAAAGAAACCCGGCTAAGATACGAGTAAAATACGTAAATTGCCAACGGTAAACCCGAAAAAAGGGCGGGGTTAATGGGAAAAATAAACTTTTTCTTTTGGGGTCAGGACTAGGCTGATCCAGATGCAGGCCTGACTTTTAGCGTTCCTAGAAGTTACGACAGAATAGTCCGGACTTAAAAATTGATTCGATTGCCCGTGAACTTGGTTTCAAGGTGCACTTTGTGTTAAAGCAAAAATCTATCCTTTCTGGTGTTAAAGCAAAAATCTATCCACAAATTCTGTGACAAAAAAAGAGTTGAGTGCTCCAGAATGTGGATGTGTTTTCATTGTTGAGCACAAATTATATCTGTAAGCTAGAAAAGGCCAGATCCAGGCCTGCTTTTTAGTGCTCCTAGAAACTTTGTGTGGCTGCAGTAAAACTAGCTTCAGCCTAGCCCTGACCCCAAAAGAAAAAGCTTATTTTTTCCAATATAAAACGAATTTCAGAACCGAACGCTGTCAGATCCAGAGTTTTCTCCAAGATTGCCCAGCCTATACATTGACATCGACTGGGGAGCAGTCTATCGGGTAATTTTTAAAACTGATCTTATCAATGTTTCAATTAATTGTAAGATTTACTGATTATCAACTCGATTTTTCAGTTACTATTCAAATGTTTACTATCGTTACTATTCAAATAGTAAGGTTCATCAGTTTATAAATTGCACAGTTTTCCAAATCTAGAGTGGCACTGACGTCTTTCTAGGACGAGAGATGTTTTTCATTCGATGCATTCATTTCACTTCTTTCATTTCTTTCAGTTACTATTCAAATGTTTACTATCGCGGGAAACAATGCGGTCAAAAAGACGACGCACCGATGCCAAAGAAGAAAAAGAAAATGGGATAAATAATTTTACAGTTTTCATTTGAAACCAAAATACTTCTTGAATTCAAAATAGAAAATACTAAAAAAGATTGGTTTATTTTTAAACTTGTGTTCATTTTTGCACTCATATCTCCCCCAAAACACCTTCACGGCTCATTCTATTGATGGTCAAATGGCTAAGTGTATTGTCTCTCACTCACGCAACCCGGGTTCGATCCCGGTCTGCGATTGATAGCCTCCGAGTAAGCCTTGTTGATCATTAAATCGATCAAACAGGGAGAAAAGTGGGGCAAAAGTAAAGCACGATTCCTTAAGCTTGAGAAAATCTTGGAAAATGGAACTCAAGTCTAGAAAATCGGCTACATTTTTGGGTTTGGATATCGTAAAGATTAGAGAACAGTATGCAAAAAAATATTCGTTCTTCAGCTATTTGAAACAGCATACTATAGTACTAGCAACACTATAGTACTAGCAATACTATAGCACACATAATACTATAGCGTTCAGCATCCTATAGCAAGATAAGTACCACCTTATAGCTAACATTTTTGCTAGATTCAAAAAATATAACACAGCCTCTAGACGAAGTGTTTTTGCCAAACACTCCGATGACAAACCGTGTCTTTGCTATAGCCATTCACTGATAATGTTTCGACGAAAGAAATGTGTCGAAACACCCTTACGATGGCAATCAAAGGAACTGAACCCGGGTTGTGCGGGGCGAGAGACAAAGATTTCCCCGCTGCGCCAAATGTTATCAAGTGGCGACACCAATCTTTCGCCTTTTAGACCCTCGTGTCAAAATGTTTTCTTGAAAATCAGTTACCAATTTGATTCTGTGGTTTTTAAAAGTTTCATTTTACAAATTTATGCAAACAAATTCGAAAGGATAGCTCAAGAAAATGAAATTAAAATATGTATACAGTTTGAGATTCCAAAAGAGATAAAAAAAAAAAGTTCATACAAACAAAAATTGTTAATTTGAATTTGAATTTGTTTTTTTACTTATCACTTTCTTGATCTTTCTTCTTTTCATCGTCTTGGACCTCCTGAAATGATTTTTGATTGAGGAAATGTTTTCGATCTACAAACGAAACGGTTACGTTAAAAAAAATCATTATATTGATCAATAGAAAATAGTCTGGACCTCAAAAATCAAACTTAAATCGTTTTTCTTAAAAACTGCAACGGTAACGTTACTTTTTAATTGCATATTCGTGATCAGGAGATCAAAATACGTATATTAAGTGTGATAGAAAGAAAGAAAGTCATAGAAGTCATAGAAACATGATTTGAGAAAGGTTTATGGTACTCCGCTTCTTTAGAATATTCAATTTTTCTACTATTTATAATTTTTGTTGTTGATTTGCCAAAAATTTCAATACCCACCGGGATTCCGTTGTTTTGAGCGACTTTCGCAAGGATTTCCGGCTTGAGATGACCCTTGAGTTCGCCAACCTGAAATACAAAGACACTGTAATCCTAATTACTTATTTTTTCAAATCGATTTTCCACCAACTTGTGAAAATCGTCGGACATTCGATGGCAACAAATGAAGGGGATTTGTCTCGATTGTCAATGAGTGTCGATGACTGAATACCAACGATTATTAACAAATCTTTAACATTATAGGCAAGGATATTTAAATCCGAATTTGCAAGGCTAGCTAGCTAGCTAGATTAGCTTTCAATTTGTCCTAAAAATGTTAAGCTAATATCCAAACCCGAATCTTTAAGGTTAGCTAGATCATTACGAGTTTGAGTTACGAGTTTACGAAATCATTACGATCAACTATGATCAAACTACCGTGCGCTTCAAGTTCAAGAGATCAAGTAAAATGCGCCTTAATGCCAAAATGCATCCGAACTACCGTACTCTTCTCAAACAATACATTCTTGGGATGATATAAGACACAATTATTCTTTCTATAAGACACAATTATTGTTTCTATAAGCCACAATTTTTCCTTCTATAAGACACTAAACAATAAGCCAAGACACTCAAATTGTACTTTGTAGAAAGTTTGTTTTCCATTTCCTTTTCCTTTTTCTTTTTCTTTAATTTCACCACCAACTTACCCGGTAAATTTCAAATCTAAAACTGATTTTAGCAAAACTTTTCATCCAATATCTCTTTTCAAATGCGAAACTTTTCCTATCATTTCTTTGACGCAACTTCTTTCCTGACTTCTCTTCCCCCGGAAATTGGGTGTCTCCGAATTTTCGGCTGGACAAAAATAATTCTATTTTCAGCGATCTCCACAAGAATTTGAGATTTCTCCTAACAAAATTAGACGAACAATAAAGTTTTTTGGGCTCAAAAAATTACCCCATATTTGGTTGTGGTTGTTGACGCTGCTGACTTGACATCATTGAAGGGAATAAAGGAAAAAATTCGAGTGATCTGGAAAATTTTTGAAATTAAAAGTAGCAGATAGAGTTGCTCAATAAAATAGAATGAATTGGCAGAGAAAAAGAAACTTTTGAAGAACAAAGTTCTCATGAACACATGGGAATCGGCTAAATTTGGCATTGGTCTAAATTCGCTCGGCTTTTTGTAGGCGCAAATGCTCAGAAATAGAAGGTAGTTAAGTATCTTACTAGAGTGTGTTCCTCGCGAGTAATGCGTTTTTTAAAACGCGCACTTGAGAAAAAATTACCGTACTTTTAGCAAAAATTATTGCAAACAATGACGGAAAAATGACGAGCCCCGCATTATATGCGACACTTTTTAAAGATACTCAGCCGTTTAACTGATTCGGTGGGAAATTCCCTTCCAATGTGAAACATTATTTTTTTGAAAAACCTGGAGAGTGGGACAAATGCAACCTTTTTTTCCGCACCTTGCCCATTAGCGCACCTGTTTTCGGGTTTTAAGAAAGCTCTAAAAAGCTAATATTAACCAATTTCTATTCCAAAAGTTGTTTTTCTAGGTAATTTGAGGGTGTCGAATTCAAATTTTGACATAACAGAGCGTGTGGAATCAATTTGAAAGACAAATTTGAAAGACAAAACGGCTAGATCAAATTACAGAAAATTGTCGATTTTTCTCTTTGTATAACTCCGTCCGTTTGTTTCCACAAGCTCTGGTATGTCAAAATTTCGATTCTACGCCCTAAAATTACCTAGAAAAACAACTTTTAGCATAGAAATTGGTTAATATTAGCTTTTTAGAGCTTTTTTAAAACGCAAAAAAGGTGCGCTAATGGGCTAAGTGCGGAAAAAAAGGTGCGCAAATGTCCGGGTGCGCAAAAAGAACGTCGCATTTGTCGCACTTCCCCAAACCTGCGCAAAAAAATTGCTTTTATATTTTTTCGCGCAGGCGCACTTTTTAGAAAACGCATTACTCGACAATTAGGCGAGCCGAGTTGGTGACGATTTTACGGTTTCCAAGCTTTTGCAAAAGCTCAACACTCTAATCCCCCACTAGATCTCATCGTCAGCTACATTTCCCGACCCCACATCAATAGGTTCTGATAAGCGGTTCTCGAGATTTCGAGCAATTTAGGCGACGTTCAGGGTGCACTACTATTAGAGAAAATACGGTACTTGGCCAGCTGGCCGACTGGTTAAGGAGTTTTGTCTCTTAAGCGGATGGTCGAGGGTTCCAAACACGCTGGCAAGATAAGGCAAGATCACAAGATCATTTTAACAACCAACTAGATCTTATCGTCAGCTACCTTTCCCGACCCCACATCAATAGGTTCTGATAAGCGGTTCTCGAGATTTCGAGCAATTTAGGCGACGCTCAGGGTGCACTACTATTAGAGAAAATACGGTATAAACATATTCTAAAATCTTTACAAATCTTATCAAGTAGTATTTTTGTATTTCTCTTTCTCTAATCTCTTCGATGAATTCATGTGAGAAAAATTTGTGGATAATCCAGCAGATTATCTTCAAGGGAATGTTAGACGAAAAAAAAATGGGATTTTCTTGATAAATGTCAAAAATGGCAGAGAGAAACACGTGGTGAGAAAAGTTTTCATAATCACAAAAAGCATTTAAGCAAGGCTTCAAATGAAGATTGAGAAACATCAAAATATCAGTGATTCATTATTAGACTTTTCGTCAAAGTTAGTGCCGAATTGAAGGTGGATTACGGTAGAAAATAACGAGAAATAGTCGAATATTGCGTTTAAACTCTGATCTTTATTTGGCACTAAATTTGGATTTTATGGAAAGAGTACAAAAGGGAAATTAGGTTCGAGGTGAATGCTTGAAAACGACTTTCTGGCATACTCCACCAGAATTTGCTTCAAGGCAAATTTAATCCAGCTACAAATTTAGTCCAAAACCAGGCCAGACCTAGCTTCTGTCTTGTCTTGACTTCTTTCTTCCTTTCCTTCTTTCCTTTCTTCTCCTCCTTATCTTTCCTTCTTTATCTTGGCAAGTTAAGGTACCGGTTAGAGCAGAAAAGGAAAGTAAAAGGTCGAAGGTTCAATCCCTTCTCTGCTTTTTCTTGCCAATTCTTTCACTTCTTTGTTACAGGGCTTGGTTGGAACAGTTCTACACTTCATTTATCTTTTTCACATCGATAAATCAGTGCACCGGAAAGCATGCGTTTACTTAAAGTGCTCAAAGTTTACTTTAAATCCAAACAATACAAGTTTCACCGGGAGTTTCACTTTCAAATGAGTGGATCCAGTAAAATAGAGCGAATAAAATTTGTTGTCTTTAAAAGATGGATAATTTTGAAAACTACCGTTCTCTTTTCTTCAGATGTGTGCGTTTCAACTTAATATTAGGTAATTTGATTCCTCTTATCGAAAGATCGAAAGATTACGATTTTTTTCCAAAATATCCATCTTTTAAGGATCCTTGAGGAACCTTTGATCGAATATTTCAGTAAAAATTTCGTGAGAATGGGTGAACTTTTTGATGTTTGCCTGGCCAAATGGATATGCTGCAGCAAAACAAAACGGGGAATTGAAGAAGAAAAGTTTTAGAATCTTTCAAAATAAAACGAAAAATATTATTTGTGATCTTTTCTCATCCTTGAGAGAACTCTTTTTTGAGGGGAAATCTCGTAGAAAGATTCGATTATTCTTTTCTTTTTTCTCCACATGATTTCTTCACTTACCAATAAAAAAAGAAGTGTTTACTTGAATAAATATCGAAAAAAACAAACAAATGAGTAAGCAATTGAATCTGAAAAATGACCAAAGTTTTTTAATTTAAGAATTCTATAAATAGAAGTAAAATAATAATTTATTGGTATATATAGAAACTTTCTAAGTTATTTATATATTTATAAATAAAGAACAACAATCAGGTCATAAGATATAAGATGTTATAAAAGACTTGAAGATCTGATAGATCCGAAGATCTATCAGTCACAAAAGGTGTCATGATCCGAAGAGCACCTTGAAAAGGTTTAATGAAAAGGTTCTGGTGCACCATTTTGTTCTCCTTAAAAAGATCAAGTGTTTTTTTCAATGTTTAATTCTTCCACCCGGTTTCTTACCGTAAATACTGTAATAGTACCCCACCCCCATAATGACGGTGCGGAGTGTTGCGTAGTCTAGCTTTGAACGAGTTTTTCTCGACACTGGTTGAAGCTAAAATCTTCATTTTGGTATCAAAAAATAGCCCTGAATTTCAGCTATTTTTTGATACCAAAGACGCATTTTTTGGAAGTACGGGCGCTTTGAAAAATACTAAAAAACTTTTGCGACTAGCGACGACGAGACTGTACGAGGGGGGTGGGGTACTATTACAGTATTTACGGTAATGACCGAAGTCACTCAAACGGTTGGCATAAGCCGTGTGGTTAAAGATATAGAAATCTGGTTTTGTCCCCAAGTCAAGTCTGGGATGTGACACTGAGTCAGACTCGTCAGTTGACGCCCAGTGTAACGTATTTAGAGAAGAAAATGTAAGTATAGAAAAAATGAAAAAACTCTGGTTCTGGTTCTAACCAAAATCTTCTCTGATTCACTCTTATAGGGGAAATTTTTGGGGGAAGAGGCGGAAATTGGGCTTTTCATTGAAAAAAAGGCGTGGTGAAGTAGAAAATGATCGCAAAACACAGCTGAAAGCTGAAAGATTTTAAAAGTTAAAAAAGCAAAAATAAGAAAACGAACTACGCCTGTTTATCTCACGTGCAGAAATCCGCTTACAATTGGATAATCCATGCGAAAAGCAAGGTTAATTTGTGTGAGATTGTTTATGAAATTGGCAGACTATTTTAAAAAAACTATTAGTTATTTATATGACTTTCCATTTTATAGAAAAAATTCTATACCAGGGCTGATCTCAAAAATCTCAAAATTTTCATCGGTTTTAAATCTTCAACTTTTTGGCTTTTAAAATGAACATTCACAAGTAGGCTAGTGTTTAAAAAAGCTTTAAACTAATTTTAAACTAACTAATTTCAAACTTGGATTCAACAATCGTTCAACGATTACTGCCCGATGTTACATTCAAGATGATAACGATGAAACCTTTTGACTTTCATTTAGCAATGTTTGTTAGATTGAGTTCCTCTAAAAACGTTCTAAAATGTGCAATCAGAAACAAAACCACCGTAACCCTATAGTCATCGGAAATTTAAGTCGTTTTAATTCAATTTCGAAATTTGAAAACAATGATAACTTTAGTGAAGCAAGAGGTTTATCAATGTTGTCATTGAAAGGTCTGAGCTTGCGAGTAATCGAGCCAATTGTTCAGAAGAAGAATAAATCACAGTATTATCCAAATTTGCCAAACTTTTATATTTATCCCATCAAAACTGACCGTTTCCAATTTGCTTTCCCTATTCTTTAAAAAAACTTTATCCCATGAGAAAATATCCAAATCTCTTTTGTTTTTTCTCGCAAATCCATCAAAATTTTCCCCTCAAATTTCCCGATTTCTGTCGTCGTTATGGCAGCAATTTTCGCTCAAAAAAAAGAGAGCCCATTTTGGCCCAGATAAAAAATATTGGGGAAAATTTTCGGAAGGAAAATCACAACAAAACCATCACTCTGGGTAACGGAAATCAGAAAAGAAATCGGGGGAAACGGATGGGGAAGGAGGAGTTCAATCCTGAAGCAACAGCTACAGTAGTCGCATCGATTAGAATGCGAAAGATGAGTTTTAAAGTCAGAAAGGGCACGTAGCTCATCAGTTTCGAAATTTTACGGCTTTCGGTCTAGGCCGAATCGATTCTGGATCAAGAAACAAAACATCAGTCTTGAGAAAATCGAGAAACTCAATTCAGATCGCATTTTTCTTCCAGTTTGGCTACAGCTTAAGTAACACAATGGTTCGACGGAATTTGAGGCGGAAATACAAAAAAAAATTGGGGAAAAATCAATCTCAGGAATTTGGGCATAACGACGCCATCACACCAGAAAATCGGCTCAGTCGCCCGCCCTCCTCTCAATCCA